CAGAAGATATCACAGAAATTTAAAACTTTAGAGGATTAGCCAGACATGGTGATATATGCCTATAATCTCAGTTACTGAGTAGGGTGAGGCAGGATTGCAAATTCAGTCAGTCTGGGCAACTCAGTTAGACCCTGTCTCAAAATAGAAGTTCAGTGGTAAAGAGCCTCTTGGGTTCAATTCCTTAGTACCATAAAATTAATTAAAAATAACATATTAGAGTTTAGATTAAATAACATTGTGGAAATAGGACCTGAGATGTTCTCCAAGAAAAGGTCATTTCTTATATATTGTGCCTTTGAATATCGTGTTTTACCACCAAAGAAACATAAAGCCATACATAAAAATGAGACCGAACAAACTCAAAAGATAGCAACAAGTGCCTTCTACAAAAACCTATGGGTTGTGGCAGTTAAAGGGCTGTCCTAGCTGGCTTCTGTGAAAAGATAGCCACAGCAAATCTCATAGCTGAGAAAGAAACAAGATATAGCTTAGACCCACCAGCGGCTTGTCCCTATTTTATTCTGCATACTCCTATTCAAGGAATTGCTTATTTTGTCATCAGACATATCCACCCATCTTTAACTTCCACCCTCCCCAATCAAATGCTGGTCAGCAGAATAGCCACCTGTCCTGTCCTATCAAGTTGTCACACTGAAATTGAGTTCAGGTGAGATCATGGCCTGTCTAGTAAGTTAGTCCAGAACACTCTTCAAAGTATTAGCCTCTATAGTCTCTCATCAAAGAGCTGGAAGAGAAAAATAACAGAACTAGAATATACAGGATAGAAGAGAATGCTAAAGATTTTATGAAAGCCATGTTTTGGACAATGAAGGATTTGTGAGAAAACCCAAACCATTTAAATATATAAACAACGTAAAAATAACACAAAGACAATTTAACTAGAATGTGAATTTTTATTCCCAAACAGAAATATCTCTAAACTTTCTGTGGCTTCTTTTCCCCAATTATTTTTCAATCCATTCAGAAACAAACAAACAAAAACCCCACCTAGTTTCCTAAGAGAAGAGTAAAGATAAACAAACCATAAAATGGGAACACTCATCATAAAATAGGATTGTTGAGAGGTAGGGGGGTGAGTGGCACAGAAGAGTACATGCCACCCACCCTGTCAGGTTACCAGTAAATAATGCCTATGACTAAAGTACACCATGGGTCTGCAACATTACCTTGGGCTTTAAAGCTAGGATTAAGTTTGGCTGATGAGTTTGTACTTCAAAGCCCTTGGACAGGATCCAAAATGTGATTTAAATTTAGACTACAGCAACCCTAAATCGGAAAACAAGTTTAAGGGATCTTACTATCATACACACACAATTCTTCCATCTATTTTTTTTTCATACCATGTTTACTTTGCTCGATTTTTGCCTAAAAAAGTAATTAGAGGGGCTGGGGATGTGGCTCAGGTGTTGGTGTGCTTGCCTGGCATGCGTGCGGCCCGGGTTCGATCCTCAGCACCACATACAAAGATGTTGTGTCCGCCGAAAACTGAAAAATGGATATTAAAATTCTCTCTCTCTCTAAAAAAAAAGAATGACCATTGAGGGCTGGGGCTATAGTTCCGTGGTAGAGCACTTGTTCGATCCTCAGCACTACATAAAAATAAATAAATGAATAAAGATATTGTGTCCATCCACAACCATTGATATTCTTAAAAAAAAAAAAGTAATCAGAACTAAGAGTCAGTTGGTATAGAATATATTTTTTCTTAACAGAAACTCTTAAAATCCATAGCTACTTGTTGATGATGAAAGTAACTTAATTGGTTTAATTTTATAATACATGAACATAATTGCTAGATGAAAAGGAAGTTCTTCCAGCATTCTAGAAGACCACTGTTTATTATTACTAGTTAGCGAACCTAAATGAGATAGAGACACCATTGACTACAATTGAATTTGACCTTTTTAAATGTTAAGTTTGCATTCAACTCTTGAGTTGGAAGAGTAGGCCATAATTTCATAGGAATTGCCTGCAAAACACAGATGGGTTATTCTCATTATAGATCTTATCTCTTCTAACTCCTAATTTCTTTTCCTTGTGTTATTCCAGTGCCTAACTTCTCTAGCAAACTGTTTAATACAAACTGGGTTAGCAGACATTCTGATATTAGTGGGAAGGCTTCTAAAGTTTATATTTAAATATGACTGTTCACTCTAGGTTTTTGTTATATTTTCTTTATTAGTTGAAAAAAATTCTATTTTGTTTAAAAGGCCTTTTATTTTTAATTACAAAACCTTATCAATAGTTTTAAGTATCATCTATTAAACAGCCATGCAGTTTTTTCTCCCTTTAATCTTATAATACTTTATTTATTTATTTTTTTATTTTTAAAACTCGATTTATTTATTTATTTATTTATTTTTATGTGGTGCTGAGGATCGAACCCAGGGCCTTGCATGTGCAAGGCGGGAGCTCTATCGCTGAGCCACAACCCCAGTTCCCTTCTAATATTTTAATATGGAGAATTATACTAATATACACTGGAAAAAATTTTTCATTTACTTAGGATATTTTCATCTGTGTTCTTTGGGACTATAATTTCCCTTAAAATTTTCTAGATTACCCATGTCCATATTTCATATTAGTCTCATAAAATAAATTGCCTAGATATCTCTTTTTTTATTTTCTAAAATAGGTTATATAATATTGGGGTAACCTATTTTATATGGTATGGTAAGACTTTCCTGTATATTTTCTAGGCATAAATGTCTTAGTAGAGAAAAGAAGGGGAAAGAAGGATTTTTGATCACTATTTCAGTTTCTTGAATGAATATAGGCTATGTGAATTTTCTTGATTTTATTTTGGTTAAAATTTTTCTAGAAAATTATTCTTTTTCACATTTTTGCCTAACTGTTGCATTTACTGTCCTAAAGTCATCCATGGTATTTTCTGAGAGTCGACATAATATAGTTAAGGACACAATGAGTAAGACATCATGAATTTGAACACTGCATATTGTCTTTACTTTTTCTCTTTTCTTCTCAGTCGTGCTAGATGCCATTTATTTTACTAGTTTTAAAATTAAATCTTTAAGAATCAGCATTTGGAATTGTTGGTTGCTTCCTATTTCATTAATTTCTTCTTTTGATTTCTTTTCTTCATTTTCCTCAAGCTGTCTGTATTGTTATTTAATTTTCTCCAAGTTCGAAGTTTGATTTTTTTAATGTGTATTTTTCAGTTAAGTGGTTTTAAGGCTATAAATTTAGCTCTAACCCTTTAACTATAGCTTGTATATTTTAGTATACAGTACATTCATATCTTTGAGTCCTAAATATTTTATAACTTCTATTATAATTTCCTTTTTAATTCATTAATTATTAAGGAGTATGTTTAAAAGATTCCCTCAATTTAAAAAATTCCCACCAGACAACAACACATTAAGGAAAGCAAACTTCTGGCCAATATCCTTGATAAATATAAAAGTCTTAATAAAATATTGGCAAATCACACAGAAAAACACATTAAAAGGATACTGCACCAAGATCAAGTTGTTCTCATACCAGTCATGCAAGGTTGGTTCAACATATGCAAATCAATAAATATAATTTACCACATAGAGTTATGGACAAGAATCACATGATTATCTCAATAGACACAGAAAAAACATTTGACAAAGCCTAATGCCCATTATCTTTAAAACACTACAGAAGCTAAAGATAGAAGGAACTTACTTTAACATTATATTGGCTATATATGACAAACCCAAGGCCATCATCATACTAAACAGAGAAAAACTTAAAGTATTTCCTCTAAAAACAGGACCAAGAGAAGGATGCCCACTCACCACTCATATTCAACATACTCCTTGAAACTTCAGCCAATCAGGCAAGAGAAGCTCATGAATAGCATTTCATCTTGGTGAACTGTTTCTTTGAAAGATTATATAACAGACCTTCTAATACTTTATTTCTCCCCCTAAATTCTATCTTGTCTGATAACCATATCATAGTACTAATTTTCTTTGGTTAATACCATTGGGTATCTCTTTTTCCATCCCTGTAATTTGCAAACTTCCTGTGTGATTTTGCATTGGGTATGCCTCTTGAAAGTATTATACAGCTAAATTTTGTTTTCCCATTTGAATAATCTTTGAAGTTTTATAGGTTAGCTTAATTTGCTTACATTTACTGTATTAAATTATATAGTGTACTTATTTTGAACTAGTCTTGTGCCAGAATACCCAGGCTCAAATTCTGGCTTGATCAGTAATTAATTGTGTGACATTGGCCAATTTCCTTGTACCTTAATTTTCTCATTTATAAAATGAGGATAATAACAGTACCTACACTTCAGAGGGATATTAGTGTAGAAAGAATAAATAAATGTAAAGTGTTCATATTGGTATCTAAAACAATGTTGATTGTTGTTATAATTATTTTTACATGTTTTCAGTTTACCATACTTTTCCTTTGACATCCTCCTCTACTTTTCCTATCTTCATTTGGATTAATATATTCCCTTCTGTTCTCTGCTTATTTGGACATTTTAGATAATTATATTCTAGCTACTGAACATACTTACTTCACTATAACATTTTCTATTAAAGACCAAATTTATGTGCAATATCTATCCTCTTCTTAAACATGTAACTTAGTATACTTTACTCCTTGAACAAAGACATATCACCTTCTCCTCAACTGTCAGGAGTCTTCTTTTTTGACCTTTCTCATTTTAATATAATAAGTTAGTTGTCAACATCATTATTTTTATATGCAATGGCTAACAAATTTAATGACATTTTCTCATTTTTTTTGGCTCACCACTATTTTATATGTATCACATTTTCCCTCCAAGTTGTTAATATGTCTCTAAGAATGGGTTTATGAGGCATAAACTTTCTTAAGTCTTTGTATATATGTAAATGTCTTTATTTTTATCTCATACCTGATGTTAGTTTTAACTAAACATAACATTCTAAGTTGGCAGTTATTTCTCCTTGGCTTTTGGAAGATGTCCTAGCTACTTCTAGGACATCTTTTAGGCTCAACTGTTGCTAAGGTATACTTGGTGCTTCTTTGTGAGCAATCTATTTTTTCACATAGCATGTATAAATATTTTTTGGTATTGGTTTCCTTAAGATGAATTTCAGATTTATTATTTATTCTGCTTATAATTTGAAAATTATATAAATACTGCTTCATCATTACTTATTCTTTTAGCTCAGCTGTATTATCTTTAAGACATATTCACAGTACTTTGTGTCTGTAGCAAACAGATTATGACAAAGTGAGGAATTACTGTCACATTAATTATATGTCATCATACCAATCTTGCTCTTAAACAGTCAGATAAAAATTAAACTCAATTCTTGAAAACCAAAGTTATAGTAACTTTGCTGCCTCATATTTTTTTTTAAATCATTTTTTATACTAAATACTTCACAATCCCACCATGGAAAATAAAGAGTAAAAAGAGTTATACAGGAATTACTAATATACTTTTCAGAGTCTAGGCTGAAATACAGTATCTCTAAGATCTTTACTAATTTCATTCTTCAGGCCTGTCCTAAACTACTATGTTACATATTTATCTGTGTATTTACATACTCAGATAGAAGAGAGAATGTACGTGTTTTATATGGTAAATTTCTACCTATGAACTTCATTTTGCCACTGACTTCCACTGTAAATTGAGTGATCCTACCTACCCTTACTGTCCAGTAAGGAATATACACAGCAAACTCTGCTATGTGATCCCTATAGGACCTCTGCCTCAGGGACCAAACTAGTAGTCAACTGTGCTACAGGAGAAACAAGAAAAAAAATGTATATCAATAAGCAGACCATGACGCTGGTAGAGCACGTGCCTTGCACATGTGAGGCACTGGGTTTGATCCTCAGCACCACATAATAAATAAAGGTATTGTGTCCATCTACAACTAAAAAAATACTTTAAAAATATATAGGCCAATTAAAGCCTATAAAATAGGTATCATTTAATTACCTATTTTTACCTGAATGCACGTACATAACAACCACATCAAAAACAACCACTTTAAAAGATACATAAAATTTGTCTTCAGTGCTAGAGGACAAAGACTCAGGACGTTTTTATGTCTGCTGAATAATTTCCAAAAACTAGATCTACAGCTCATCAATGAAAATCAGACATTAGCTGTATTTGTTTTCCACAATTTTACTAGCATTTCTCTTCAGAGAAATAACTTAAATACTCAAAAATAGAAATTAAAATTATGACTTCAAATTTCATGCTAAATACAGAAGGCCTCTTTTATTTTGATGTCAGATAACCCAATTTATCTAATCAAATGCAAAAGTCTTGAAATTTATCATTACAATTAGGTCTGCCCTTGCCAAATTCATTGTTTCTGTTCCCATGTATCTCTGCATTTTAATATAGAAATCTTGGATTCTTTTCTCTTAATATCAAAGTCACAAAATATTTTTTAATATTTTTAACCTAAGTCAATTTTAAAAAAAATATTTTTTAGTTGTAATTGGACACAATACCTTTATTTAATTTATTTATTTTATGTGGTGCTGAGAATCGAACCCAGGGCCTTGCACGTGCTGGCGAGCATTCTACTGCTGAGCTACAACCCCAGCCTCCTAAATCAATTTTTTGAGGTATAATTTACATAGAATGAAATGTACTAATTTTAAGTGATAAATATTGACAAATGTATAACCTATATAGCCACCATTTTAATCAGGATAGAGAACACTTCTACCATCCAGAGTTTCCTGTGTTCCTTGCCATTCAGTAGTCAACCCACCCGGTCCCTAGGCAACCCCCAATATTATTACACTCATCACTGGTTTTGCTTGTGCTACAGCAAAATAAAATACAAGTAAATACACAGTATGTATTGTTCCTTACTTCTTTTACTTAGCATAATATTTTGAAGATGCATCCATCCATAGTATTCTATCATCTGAATATATCATAATTTGTATAACTGGTCACCAGACTGTGTGCATTGATTTAGGATGATTTTACTTTTTTAGCTAGTACGAATAAAATTGCTAGGAACATTTGTGTCTAAGTCTTTTAGTAGAAACATGTTTTTGTTTTGTTTTCTCTTAGGATACTACCTAACTTAACCCCTTACAGAATTATATTCAAATATATATATATATTTCAAAAATATATAATTTTTACTTTACACAAATGAAAGATTTGCTGTTTATTCATTCCGAAGGCATCTTCTCTTAAAACAAAACAAAACCCCAAGCTCACTATATAAGTAGCTACCAGTTCTTATAATGTATAAGTATACAATTTACCATGTAACATTTATTCACAGTTCTTCCCTCAACCCCTCAATTTTACACCTGCTACTCACTAGCAGTTTGGAGGTGTAATTAAGGAGACCTAAGACATAATCTATGTTATAAAATATGAAGACATAAATAGAGCAGGAAGTACGAGATCATTTTAGAAAAGTCAATGTTTTAAATACACTCATTTAAAGAAATTATTCAAATTTGCTTTTTAGCTTCACAGCTGTATGTACTAAAGAGACAAATGTTTTTTGAGAGCTATAACTACAGTAGAATAGTATCAATCTATAAGGCTGAGAGACAATGAGGGAGGACTCTATATCTAACTCTAGTCTTTAACTTCTAGGGAAGCACAGTGATTGCAAATAACTAACAACTTAATTTTATGGTTTTAATTCTCCAAAGGTGCTGGTTGGATCAAGTCATTAATCTGATATCATCCTATCATCTTCACAAAACAATGTGGAATAAACTTAAGAGGCTTTGATTTAGTTTCAAGTAGGGTTCAGATCTCACTCAGCTCTATAGATGATGTACCAATGTACCAAGACTGATTTTATTTATCACTTAGAAAGGACTGACAAATCAGCAAAAGTACTTTAATAAAGCATGAGGGAAGTAAAGGGAAAAAATTTATAAAAATTCAGAGCAAGAGATTATATCCAGATAGAGATACCAAGGAATAATTTAAAGGAGGAGGCAAATCCAATGCCTTTGACTGGGCAGACTTAGGAACTACAATAATGGAAGATAATCTGGTATTACTAGTGACTTATTTAAAATCTTTGACTAAAATCAAGTTTCAAAAGGCAGGGTGTCTAAATGCAATGTGGTACCCTGGAATGGAACAGAAAAAGGATAGTAGAAAAAAGGATAGCAGAAAACAGGTGAACAAAAGCAAGTCGAGATTGATCTTTTTTTTTTTTTTTTTTTTTAGGGCTGGGATAGAACCCAAGGGTGCTTTACCACTGAGCCACATCCCTAGCCATTTTAATTTTTTAAAAATTTTGAAACAGGGTCTCATTAAATTGGTGAGGCTGGCTTTGAACTTGCAATCCTACTTCAGCTTCCCAATGTACTGGAACTATATCCATGTGCCATGGCGCCTGGCCTTAACTTGATCTTTACTTCATATCACATAAAAAGGACATAAGAAATATCAACTATAATACATTGAACTACATTAAAATTAAGAACTTTTTTTTTTTAAAAAAAGAGAGAGACAGAGAGAGAGGAAGAGAGAGAGAGAATTTTAATGTTTATTTTTCTTAGTTTTCGGCAGACACAACATCTTTGTTTGTATGTGGTGATGAGGATCGAACATGGGCCGCACGCATGCCAGGCGAGAGCACTACCGCTTGAGCCACATCCCCAGCCCCAAATTAAGAACTTTCATTGAACAAAAGTTACCACTAAGAAAGTGAAAAGAAAAAAAGAACAAATTGAGAAGCTATTTTCAGTATAATTTAAGCCACAAACAGTAAGAAAAAGACTGACAACTCAAATAAAATACTGATAAAACATTTAATAGGTACCTCACAAAAAAGAGCAAATAAATGATCTATAAAAATGAAAGAGTGGTGGCCCTCACCAACTCATTCAGGAAATGGAAATTAAAACTACAACATGGTAACACTACACATCCTCCAAAATGAATAAAATTAAAAAGTCTCACAATGCCAAGTGTTGGCAAGAAAGTGAATCAATGAAAGTCCTATGAAGTGTAAATTTGTACAACCAACATTTGAAAACTATTTGTAAACAAAAGAATGAATATTTGTATTTCCTATGAGGAAGCTATCCCACACTTTCTGTATTGCTATATCCCACACTACTTCTATGGTCTGAATGTTTCTGTCCCCTCAAAATTCTCACATTGAAATCATAACCCTCCAAGGCAATGGTACTAAGAGGTGGGGACTTTAGGAGGTGAGTGGGTCATGAATGGGATTAGTATCCTTATAAAAGAGGCCTGAGGAATTCTGCTTGCTCCTCCCACCATATAACGACAGAGGGAGAAGCTGACAGTCTGCAAGCACCAAAAGATCTCACCAGAGCCCAATCATGCTGGCACTTGATCTTGTACATCAAGCCTCCAGAACTGTGGGAAATAAATTTCTTGTTAAAAGCCACCCAGTTTATTGTATTTTAATGGATTAAGATAAACATGAACAAGGGTACTGTGTAGAATGTTTACTACAGCATCATCTAAAATAGCCCCAAGCTGAAAACAACCCCAGTAGCCAACTACAGTGGACTTAATAAATACTTGTAGTACAAACACATACAGCAAAGAAAATGAACAATAGCAACAACATGAATGAGTCTCACAAACATAATGTTCAGTGAAAAGATATCAGGGGCTGGGGATATAGCTCAGTTGGTAGGGTGCTTGCCTGGCACGCACAAGGCTCTGGGTTCAATCCCCAGCACCACACACACACACACACAAAAAAAAAAAAAAAAAAAAAAAGATGAGGAACACGATTCTATTTCTGCAAAATGAAAAACCAGGTATAACTAAACTAATATTAGAAGACAGGACAGTTGTATCTTTGTGGGAAAAAGGAGTTGATTGTGAGGGCAAATATATAGGCCTCTGGGATGCTGGTAAATATTGTTTTTTTGTCATACCACGGATTGAACCCATGGCCTTGTACATGTTAGGCAAACACTCTATTTTTAAACCACAACATCAGCCTTTTGTATTTTGAGATGTGATCTTGCTAAGTTGTCTAGAATCACAAACTTGTGATCCTCCTGGGATTATAGGAGTGCACCACCACACCAGGTCCAAATATCATTTTTTTTTTGCAGGGAGGTGGGTACAGGGTATTGAACTCAGGGGCACTTGACCACTGAGCCATATCCCCAGCCCCTATTTTGTATTTTATTTAGAGACAAGGTCTTACTTGCTTAGCACCTTAACTTTGCTGAGGCTGGCTTTGAACTCGCAATCCTTCTGTCTCAGCCTCCTGAACTGCTGGGATTACAGGCCTGCGCCACCTCACCAGGCTCCAAATATCTATTTTTTGACTGAGATTCTATCTACATGATTGTTTACTGGATGATTTTTGGAGCTAAACACTTTCTGTATGTGTACCTTTGTGTGTATGTGTTACACTTCAATTAAAATATTAATGATTATTTTCTATTTCCTAATCTTCTCTAGACTATAAACTTATGTTTTACTTTGAATCCTTAAGAGTTCTTGAATTCCCATTCAGATTGAGGACTCCCTTGTTCATAGCCAGGCATGGAGGGTTTGTTTGTTTGTTTAGTTTCATTTTACTACTTTTCCCAATTACCTCCTGTTTAGCATAGGTTCTCATACACCTAAGTCTAGCTTACTATACCAGCTTTTTCTGTAGGTTTCTGTACTAACAGTCTCTTTCACTTCTTCATGCCTACACATATTAGCTATAACAGTATTCCTCAACAGGGCTTGTATCTTATTACATTCCCCACCTAAAGCCCTAAGAGATTCTATTGTTTATTACATTAAATAAAAGACTCTGCAGTCAAATATTAAGTCTTTCTGTCAATTAACTGCTTCACCAATATTGCTCAATATCATCTTTCTACACTCAGATTAAATCTCCTTCCTTAGAGCCAACTCAATCTAATTTAATAGCAATATTCAAATTGTGCTGCCTCTACCCTTACCTCAGCATTCTCTGTACTTGTTTTATTCTTACAAACTGTCTCTCTGCAATTATGTAGTATAAGTTTGTATTCATCTTTGTTACATCTGGTAGGCTTTAATTCACTATTTGTGATATTTTTTTTCTAATTATTACATGGCAATGAACCTCCCTAACTGGACTTCGAGGTTCTGCCTGCTTAACTCAGAATCAGTGGACAACTGAGAATCTATTATGTGTCAAGCACTGAATCAGGTAATTTCACAATATTATTCAATATAAGCATTACATGCCATGAGGTATGCAGTGTTATCTTCATGTTATGGAGAAACCTGAAGCTCACTCAACTAAAATCACACATGTATATTTTAGATATAGAAGTCTCTAAATAAAAAGTGCCTAACAAATAATCAAAATGAAATATTCAGATATATTGTAATATTTTATAGATAAATTTTGAAAATGCAACTGAAAGGTTGGGAAAAAGATGTGCTTTGCACCACTAAAAGCCAATAGATGTTTGGAAAAGTTAACAGAAAGGTAATAACTGTTAGTAACTTGCCATGGATGGCTGATCCATTTTTATGATGCTTCAAAGATATATTAGATTAATGAGAAAAAGTGAAAAAAAGTTACTTAAAGGAACTATCAGGGGAGTCATGAAGGACTATAATTAAATTGCAAAACTCAGTAACATGTAGTAAAGTTTGCACTCTCATTCATTCATGCTGATTACACAAAAATTTGTATCATTTTTTAGAAAGGCAATCTGGCAATGAATCAAAGCTCTAAAAGGCTCACTTTTTTTCAGAATCAGTAAACATCAATTAATCCACACATCCATTCATTCATTAATTCATTTAACATATTTACTGAGCATGGAGTTTAGCTTGGGGTAAATAATAAATGTGATATATAATCGCTGATGACCTCAATGGCAAAGCTATAAAATTTCTATGTATGATGATATGGCCAAATAAAGACAATTTGACCTTATTTCCTTTTATTTATTTTTATTAATGTATTAATTGTACATATTAATGGAATGATAGTTCAACACATATATATGATGAGCACTGATCAAATGTAGTCTCTCTTTATCCCTCACCTCTTTCCAAATGATAATTATCAGTATTCTACACTCAAGTCAACTTTTTAAAACTTCCACGTAAGAGAGAACATGCGGTACTTATCTTTTTTGGTCTGGCTTATTTAACAATGTCCTCTAGTTACATCTATTTTTGCTACAAATTATAGGATTTCATTCTTTTTTTTTTTTAAATGGTTCAATAACATTCCTGTGTGTATGTAAAAATCCCTAAAAAAGCTTTTATTTTATGCAAAGATATACTATCAGACTTTCTTAAATTTAAAAAAAGGAACAATCAGAATAGAAAAAAATAGTTAACCAAACCTATTATTAGGACTTTCTCCATACTCCTCTTAAGTCTGCCTAACCAACCTGTTTTGAAATTACACTTCCTTGCAGTTGTTTCTAGATAGGGTTGATCTGGCACCTCAACTATAGATTGCACATAGTTCAATTACTCTACTGCTGACATAAAGTACTTTAATGTTATATTGTTTTATGGTCTAGATTACGAGATCCTTGAGAGCAGAAACTAAGTTATATTCACATTAGTATCCTGAAAATAGACTAGATAGAAATAAATTTTATAGAAATTAAGTAATAAATTACAAAGGAGTCACACTCGGATATGAATGTAGTTCTCCAAGTATGAATCCAAATTTTCTGAAGATCTATCCAATAAGCAGAAACTGAAAATATAAAAATATAAGAAGATATAAGGAAAAAAAAAAAAAGAAGATATAAGGAACCACTCACAGCCTAGGGATGGAAAATTTCCTATTTGAGGATGCAGCAGTAGCTGTATTACTGCAACTATGTTTTCATGGAAGAATTATTCATAATACTAAAAAGATTAGTATTAAGGACATGGGCTTATAGTAAGGACATGGGCTCTACAGTGATATTGACCTAGGTCTGAGTCTTAGCTCTAACTAGATTCCTCATTCATTAATTAAAGAAAACAATATTAAACTCTCCCTTATAAGTCTATTTTAAGGGTTAAACAAGATGATGCACATAAAAGTGTGGTAGTGTCTAGCATATAGTAAGAATTCAATAAAAGTTAACTATTGGGTTGGGGATAGCGCTCAGTGGTAAAGCATTTGCCCAGCATGTGCTCAAGGCCCTGTTTGATCCCCAGCACTACCAAAAATAAAATAAAATAAAAGTTAACTATTATGATTACCTCTAAAATTCACACCAGCTGATTTAGATGGATAGGTAAGAAATAACCCAAAGAAACCTAACCAGGAACTGTAACTGTAAAGTTATGGAATAGAAACTTCACATTCTGGAGGCACAGTTTTATATTCACCATTTTTTATTACTAGTGATCTAAATTCTCAAGAAGACAAATAGATACAAAAAATGAAGGGCTGGGGTTGTGGCTCAGTGACAGCGCTTGCCTCACATATGTAAGACACTGGGTTCGATCCTCAATACCATATAAAAACAAATAAACAAAATAATAAAGATATTGTGCTCATGTATAACTAAAAAATATTTTTTTTAAAAAAATGAAGACAATAGTTAAAAACAAAATTTGGAATTTGAATATTTGATAAAAGATGACTTTATGTTCAGGAGTTAAAAAGAGTGAACAGAATGAGTGTTATGATACCTGTAAGAAAATGCTTGCCCAGAGAATAGAAAACTAAGTCAGTGCTGTGTTTAAGTGCTATGCTTTGTGCCTATACAGCATAGCAGTAGTAATAGCCGCATAGTAATGATAGTAGTGGCAGTAGCTAATTCTGACATGGTACTTACAATGTGGCAGGCACTGTTCTAAATGAGTTACATTAACTCACTTACCCTTTTAACTCTTAGCAGAAAACATTTAGGCTCAAGTTGAACAGGTCTGAGGTTAAATTTTGGCTCTGACATTCATGGCCAATGATCTTGAATAAAATTACTTTACTTCTCTGAGCTGTAGTTTCCTCATGTCTAACAACTGGTGAAAATACCTAGCCCACTGTGACAATATAAGGATTATCTAAAATTAAATACATAAAGTACCTATCATAGTGCCTTATATCTAACAGATACCCTGCTAGCTGTATCTTTATTTTTGCTGTTAATATTCAAATTATTATTCAATCTTATGACCAAGACATTTTTCTGTAGGCAAGCAGAGTAAAGTTTAGAAAGAAGAGAATCTTTCTCTCCAGAGTTCCTTTCAGTCTCTTAAAAAATGGCACACTTTCTATTATGTTTCTCAGCATGAACTACACATGAATAAAAAATAGAGTATTATAAAAGATAAAAAGACCCTTACATTAGTTTTAAAGGTTTGGGTTCTTCCCCCCTAGGAATGGTAGTGTTAAAAATAGATTTCCTTAAAGTAAACAGTGCCGAAAAGAATGAAAATGGCATATGGCTAGGGGAATCTTCCAAAGAAACTATTTCACACAGCCATCTCCTGTTCTTTTCTCTGTCTTTTAAGGTCACAGTAACGTGATAGAAAATCTGGGACTCACACCATCTGTCCAGACAGTTCTATCACTGCTCATTTCTCTTGTTAAATAGTCAGAACACTTCACACTTCCCAAACACTGCTACTATAAAGAGCAGTTGAAGCAGAATGAAAGAAGCTTTTTCTATCCAGAAATGTAGTGGTTGGAAATGAACAGTTCTTTTGAGGTTTGTGAGTTTCATATCATGTCAGTAAGAAGAAAAATTCACCCCTTAGAAGGAAATTTAAGAACAAAAGGACTCTAATACTAGCTCTAGAAATTATCTTTCTTTAAAAAAAGGGTGGCACTCTTGTATGAGTTCTTTAAGAACAGATGTGGCACTTTCATACTGAGATAATTACACAGATCTCTAATCTGTACATTTCTCATAAGACTAAGAGGAGGAATAGTTTACTACCACTAGTACTACTAATAATAATACAGGTAACAATTACTTAGCATTCATGACATTTTTTTTTCTTTGATACTGGTTATTGAACCCTAGAGGGCTGAGTCACACCCCCAGCCCTTCTTATTTTTTATTTTGAGACAAGATCTCACAAAGTTGTTTATGGCCTTACTAAATTACTGAGGTTGGCCTTGAACTTGCCATCCTCCTGCCTCAGCCTTTTGGCTACTGGAATTACAAATGTGTGCCACAAAGCCTGGTTACTCCACGCATCTTGTCATTCTTCATAGCTTTCTTTTTTAAAAATTACCTGTTTTAATCCTTAAAATCACTTTATGTGGCAATTTATCATATTATTTCCATTTTACAGTTGGGAAAACTCTGGAAAAAGATGAAAAAACTTGCCCAAAGTAATGTAGTTGGTTAAATGTAGTGCTGGGATTCTAAAGCAAGCACACTGGCTCCATGCACTATTTTTTATTGTTATACTTTAAAACAAATTTTTCAAAAACCCCCTAATTATATATTAAAATTGGCATCTCTTTCATATTTTAAGCAAACTATAGTTGAATGTCTAAAACATTTAACCCTCATGTTCATTTAGCCGCAATGACAGTCAAATATATACTTATTAATTTACTAATTTCTGTTTTATTAATTTACTAATTTCTGATTCATTAATTTACTAATTTCTAATTCTTTGAATCAGAGTTTACCCAGCAAAAAGGAGTTTGTTGTCATTTAGAAAGAAAAGAAAAACTATAATAAAAGCTTCAAGAATGTGCTCTAGGATCAGCATCAGTTTGGGGATGCTTTATGACTCTGAAAAAAGGTTTGAACTACTCTCAAACTTTCAGAACAAGTTCAATCTTACATAAAGACTCCTTGCCTTCAGATAAAAATTCAGGGATCCCAGGAGGGTGGGTCAATGTACTTAGAAGAAATCAGGATGAGTCTGGAAATCCTTCCTATTTATAGAATTCTCCTTTATGTTCAATGGCTCAAATATATTAACTAATAGAAGCCCCAATCTCAGGTAGTTGGTGAGGTAAATTTATGCCACTGGGTCACGTGACTACCATGATAATGGCACTAATGATAGTGATCACATTGTAATCATAAAATTAATAATACTAGATAACAATATCAATAAGTCCCTAAATGCTGCTAACTTACTAAGTACTAAGCACTAAGTTATGTACGGGATATTGTGAATAGTGGTTAAAAGTCTGAACTCTAGATACAGACTGCTGTCTGACTGCTTCATTTACTTGAACAAATAACACTCAAGTTCTCAGAGCCTCACAGATCCTCAGGTTGGGTTGTGCCTGAAACAGTGCTATAGCAGTGTTCAGAACAGTGCTGATACAGTAGTTCTTACCTAAATTTAATAGATGAGGCACTTCATGTTCAGAGAAGTTGAATTGTCAAAGTTAGGGTGGAGATGAAATTTCTCAGGGTTGCCTGACCCAAGCCTATGCTCTTTGGGCTGGTGTGCTCTTGCTCACTCTCTCTTTCCATTCTACCCCACTCCGTGGATGGTGTGCATTACAGAAGAGAGCAGGTACTCTAATGTCATTTTTGTCTTATCCAATATAAGAGTCTGAGTAGGTCAGCATTTTAAAAAATTTAAGTATTAATGATACCAATCTAACATACTAAATTTCATCAATTCTGAACACCTCTCTTCCCAATCTGTGAATCATGTGTCATATAACAGTGTTTTCCCTTTATTAGTCACATGTAAAATACTGTTACATCATTCATTGATAAACTATGGTAGCTGTTATGGCCAAAGTATATTCTTTATTTCTATATTACAGGCACATTTCTAAAGCTTGCCCAGCACTCATTTAAACTTCATTTAAACTTCATTTCACCATGACTATCTCCTTACCAACCCTAACCCATTCCTATATAATTATCAGACTCCTATAACTGTGATGGGCAGTGTTTTTTACTTTATTCTCTGAGCTTGATTTTTGTGTTCCTTGCTTTGATATTCTCTTTTTGATGACTTCAGAGTTTTGATCATGACTCCTTCAATTGATAAACCTAGGAATATTTCCTCCTCCCAGACTGTCCTTTTAGGAGGTTCTCCCTTCACGGGTATAACTAGACTCTATGGGTAAGCTAAGAAAGCATAAACTAAATAATGGAGTCTTGACAAATGTGGGTTCTTTTTCTTTCAGTTATTCCCCTGTTTTTTAAAAATTATTCTTTTTAAATATTTATTTTTTTAAGTGTAGATGGACACAACACAATGCCTTTATTTTCGTGTGGTGCTGAGGATCGAACCCGGGTCCTGCCCATGCTAAGTGAGCGCTCTACCGCTGAGCCACAATCTCAGCCTCAAAACTATTTTTTTTTTTAGTTGTAGGTGGACACTATATACTTATTTATTTTTATGTGGTGCTGAGGATCAAACCCAGTGCCTCATATACGCGAGGCTGGCACTCTACCACTGAGCTATAGCCCTAGCCCTCCCCTATTTTTTTCTTTCTGAAATTACTTCTATAGCCACTTTTAATAAATACTTATCTGATTCGTACTTAAATTTTTTTCCTGATTTGGCCTGAGTGCCTCCATTCCACATATGGTCAGTCTCTTCATAGAAGAAAAAAATGTCAAGTTTTACATCATCTTTTCCCTGGAAGGATAGTTCCAAGCTGTCTTCCACCTAGGGTGAAGATGAAAACTTTCATAGATTGAAATAATGGCAATACATTTAAAAAAAAATTTAGAAAAATAAAAGGATTCTTATCTTTTATATATACAGAGCATTAATTTTAAGATACATGTTTTTTTCAAGTTGTAGCACCTCTGAAATTAGGATGTATCAGTAGTAATGTTTAATTTCTTAAATGCACATAAAAATAATGTTTCTTACAACAGATGACAACTCAGAGTAAATGACTTATGGTAGTTAAAATTATCACTGCAGAGAAAATGGAAACATTCTGCTCCAGAGTCCCTTTCTGACTAAAGAAGGAAAGGATCCAAAGAAAAATTACTTCCTTAATAACCAAGAAAAACAATCAGGAAATAAGTCTCTCATCATAATCAATCGATAAGTAAGTAAAGCAGCATTTCATATAACCACATACTAGCACAGATCATTACATTATATACATGATAAAAGAATAAATAAAAAATTAAGGTACAGAAAAAAAATTGAGAGGATTTCCTTAAAGTACTTATCCTATAAATAATTATGTGTCCATCAGATTTGGTATAGCTGTCTATTTCATTAGTAGTGACATAAAAATTTGTGTCCCCTCCACCCTCCAAATCAGTGAGCTTCTCAAAGATAAGAACTGTAATTTATTCATCTTCGTGTTCCAGGTGCAGAGAACAGTACCAGACATGGTGAATGTTCAGTAAATGTTAAATGACAAAAGCTCTATTGCTTTGACTTAGACCTCAGGAAAATATCTGATTAAACCTTTTTAGAAAAATAGGATGATTATTTTTGATGAAAGAAATAATTTTCCAGAGACTAAATATATTTCTACTTGCTTTACAGGATAATACTTCCCCTGGGACAGGCAAATTAAGAGCAAGATGATCACAAAGGGTCATGGGCTTAGGAGCATAGAAATCAAATTGTCTGGAGTAACATTTTATCTTCACCATAATATCCTATCCCTGAGAAATAGACCTCTGAGGAAACTGCTATAACTTAAGACATGTGAGATAAACAAGAAATTGAAGTACTTCTTTAAAATGATTCTAAATTTCTACCCCCTAGCAATCAGTGAAATGTTTTGTGTTGATAATTATAATGACATTAATTCAGAGATAAACATAAAATTAAATGACTAATGAGAAACAATATAACTTCAGATAAAGTGGATGGGATTACTTTTTACATTAAGTTTTTATTATTGCCTAATAAAGTAACAATAAATTCATTTACAAGAGTCCAAGATCCTTCTTTCCTCTCTGATAGATTAAAAGCCAGATTTTCCAAGCTTTTCATTAAATCGTGCAGAAATCACAAGTGGTAACAAACATCCATTGAATCCATTGATACGGAGTGACAAAATTATATAAGCACTGCTAGCTCCAGCAACACGTATACTAAAATTGGAACAATGCAAAGAAGATTAGCATGTCCCTGTGCAATGATGACACACAAATTGTGCAGTGTTCCATTTTTTTTCATATTGAGCAGTTTTCTTAGGCAAATGTAGTGATCTACTCAGAACTGGACCCCCAATTATATTTAAAATATTTTACTCAACTCACTTATTTTTTAAAAAAATTTGCTACATCTATACCAGCAACACTTGCCAAAATAAACTATTGATATTAAAACAAAAAAAAAATTATGTCTGAGTTACATACTATCAACTCTATCATTGAGATATGTCACTTATAAAATAAAGACAAGTTTTGTTACTGACCTTCCCAAACTTGTGTTTGAGTGGAAGTCCTGCATCCTGAAATGCTATAATAATATCAGATTTGTAATCTTGTATAAAAATCCCTAGGTCAACATCTTTGCTATAAGGAATAATATTGCACTGCCGATACCATCCTAAAACAAAACATAATTTTTATTAAAAATTTAAATTTAAAAATTGGTCATTATAATAGCTGATCTTTGTAACAATGGATTTTACTTCACAGGGTTAGACTGAGAATTCTTTTTCAAAACTATTTTTTAGAAAATTAAATTCCAAATGAAATGACTCAGGTATAGGAATCTGTCCATCTATCTAGTCTATCTAAATTTCTTCACTGGTCTGAGCACTCAACTTCTCATAACCTTTCATGACATATTTAATTTCTGTATAAATCATTAGCTTTAAATGTATTAACTGGGTCATCTACTTTATTTTCATTTTTTAAAGAGAATTGGCATTTATATGAGTAAATAAATGGCCCATTATTGAGCTTCCAACCCATAATGGGCCATCCATTTAAAAAGTTAAGTTGCTGTTCAGAATGTTTAATCATTGACATTTTAGTGATGGAGGCTTCTTTTAAGGTGTGCTAAAAACACTTAATTTTATTAATCATTATACCTTTCCTGAGTCAATATTTATAGAATTAACCAGCTCTGAATAGCTCGTTTCTGATGGATAATATTTAAAAAGGAGCAACATTAGCTTCAATTTTCAACACACTGCCAAAAGATATTAAAATGTTTATTATGTCTATTCACTAAGATACTAGAGCATTGTCCTAAAAAAATAAATTACTGAAGACTTCTGAGTTTCCCTTATTATCCTACTAATCTTTCCATCCAAATTATTTAAAAGTAAACAATATTCCACATTTACCCTAACAGACATTGCTAAATAAGTATCAACAATTATCCTTATAGACAGTGCTATAGGAATTCCAAGATAATCTAATAAATAATTATAAACTATAAAAAATGGAAGGCTCATCTAATACAACTTTCTTATTTCAAAAATACTCTTAAATCAAGAAAAGCATGGGTCTAAAAAGTCAAAACAAACTATGACAAATGTTTACTTTGTTTTTTGAACCCAGGGACACTTTATCCCCACCCCCTTTTATATTTTATTTTGAGACAGGGTTTTGCTAAGTTGCTGAGGCTGATCTTGAACTTGGAATCCTCTTGCCTCAGTTTCCCTAGTTGCTAGGATTATAGGTGTATGCTACCATGCCCTGCTATGACAAAAATGTTTAAGAAGTATTTTTTTTTTCTTAGAGAGAGAGAGAGAGAGAATTTTTAAAAAATATTTATTTTATATTTTTCGGCGGACACAACATCTTTATTTATATGTGGTGCTGAGGATTGAACCCAGGCTGCATGCATGCAAGGCAAGCGCACTACCGCTTGAGCCACATCCCCAGCTCCAAGAAGTATTTTTAATGACACAGACTATAACACAACTTTGCTTCTACAGTTAAACCTTAAAGCAAATACCAAACACTTGTGTGAGCAATGTTCCTCTTTTAGCTTATTCTAGTTGTAAGCTCCTTGATAGAAAGAATCATGTAATCGTCCAATGTGGCCCAACAGAAGGATAACCACATATCAGAGTTTATACCTGTTGTACCAGAATAAATAGCTATGGCATTTCATTTCACTCTCAAAGGTATCCTTATTTGAACAATAAATTATATGGCAACTCTATGAAAGCAGAAGGTGAAGTTCTAATCAAGAAACAATGAATACAGCTACAATCAACCATAGTTTTAATAACAGGAAACAAAAATAGAACAACTTTTAAGATTCTAAATAATTCTAAATTCCAAAGAAGTCTGATCTAATGAATAGTGGTCATAGATTTGAAAATTTTTCTTAGATTCTAATAGCAACTTGTCTAAGGACTACAGAAAAGTCTGTAGTTCTCCCTTGCTGATGAATAATGTTATCTAATCAGTGATACTCTGAATGATATGGAAAAGGTCTGTATACCTTATGACACCCCTTTCACTCTTCCTCTCATTAGATATATAAGTTAAAAAAATATGAGTTTTTTTAAAAAGCAAAAAACAATCTTTAGAATAGAAATAATAAAATGCTAGTTTAAAGATTACCTGAAAATGAACTATAGTCTCCATACATATTCTGATGTAAATTTTATACACGTTACTTACACTGTTTGGTAAATACAAACATAGTCTTCCAAAAATTCTACTTTATATTTCTGAAATTAATTTTCTTTAAAAAAATCAATATTGATCTTTGCTGCATGCATAAATGTTTACTCGGTCTATAAATATTACACTGTGAATGTCACTAATGTTTTATCAACTTAATTGGTTATCCCTAAAGACAAAAAAGGATAAATGACGAGAAGACAAACATAAAGCAGGAAGAATTTTACCTAAGCAAGTTCCACTGCTCAGCCAAAAGCGCACTCCCAATTTCTTTAACGTTTTGGCTGCTAGTTGCAATAATTCCTTAGCACTCTTCCGAAAAACCATAGCTTCCACAGTGTTATCATCAAGGTACTGCTACAGATTAAATAAACAATAGTCAGCTATTAGAGCCATTTCCAAATTGCTGGAAACATTTCTGTGACATCTGAATTATATCTGGTAATTAACCCCATATTATATATATTTTCTATAATAAATATCAAGTTTTATAGTTACTTCTTAGTCACACATTAAAATAAGAATATAAGAGTAGTTTTTAGGAGAGATCAAGAAGGAATACACTTATACTTTTATCAACTTCCTCCTTCCAGTCACAATTTGGCAGGGTGGGCAATTAGGGGGAAAAGAAGGCTAATTAAGATAGTTACAAGTATAACTGAAGCAAAATAAATTAAATGATGCTTTCATCATTCATTGATGCTACTGTCCTTTAAAAACTGCATAGTAAAGAGGAAAGAGGATTTTGAATCAAATTATATGTGTTCAAATTTATGATCATTTCTTTTTAGCTATGACCTTCTGCATATAATCCTGGAAGAAAATAAGTTCAGTGAAGAAGGTTACTTCATGCTATTTATGACATATTTCCCAGTGACTAGAACAGAGCCTGCATTTTTGTTGAATCAATGAGAGAATGAAAGAATAAACAAACCTCTCTTAGATCTAATTTTCTCATCTGTAATTGAGTATAATAATTATACTTACATGATTGCTGGGCAGATTTAAGGAGGAAAATGCCTTGTAAAAGGTGAAGTTTTATATAAATATTATCATCATTTACTCAGTTTTCTTGTTTTTCTGATTTTTTTCATGTTTAGAGTTTTAGGACTGAGGAAAGCACTATAAATTCTTCAGTGATGCTTCACTAACTACAGGACAAAGACCTAAATTATTTGGCCTAGGAGACAAGGACATTATGTTCTGGTCCCTTACTATTGGTCCAATCTAACCTCCGCCCTCCTTACAATTCATTTTGCAGCAATAAAATGTAACTTTCTAATTATACTACAATTTTTCTAGCCTCTATGACTTTATATATGTTGTTTTCTTTGCCCGATATGGTCTATGCCTCTTGAAAAAGACAAAATTTAGTATCATGATTTAAATATGTCCATTTAATTTTTCCTGTTTAGCCAATGAACAGACAAGAATCCTGGGATCCAGAAAGATCTCCAAAATATCAAAGAAGAATAACATGATAGGATGTACCTACTCATTTTATGGACAAGGAAACCAAGGCTCAAATATTTTCCGGAGATCTCCGAGCAAATTAGTAAAAGAACAAGAATGTAACTGTCTAGATATTCCTAGGTCAGTTATCCAGATATTTCCAGATTCCCTTTGATTTTTCACTGAAATTCAATTGGTGAAGCTCATGAATTATTGTGTAATGCATTTTTTTCCTGTGAAAAAAATCAAGTTTAGAAAAATGTATAGTATCCTAATTCTGAACTTTGTAGGTGATTTGTGAAAATAATTAAAAGTAAATAGAGTCAGGAGAAAATTTCCTCTTCTTCCTTCCTGAACTATTCAATGCAAGAGCCATTAGGGAGGGCAGAGCAATAGAGGTTTTTGTGCATAGGGATGGCCTAGTATTATGGGATGTCAGAGCCACTCAGGGTTAGGGAGATCCACCCTGCAGGTGAGCAGCCAGATGCAGGAATTCAGAGACTGAGTAGGGTGACAATGGTGCCTACACAGAGGAGCAGCCCAACAAGGGCAGCAACGTCCATGGCAGGGTGAGAAAAACATCCACATGGGGAGGGGGTCTGTCAAGAGATTGGTTATATATGGGAATACTAAACAAATAAGTAAATATACTAAGAACAATGGAAGTTAAAAAGGGAGCCAGAAATACAAAAATGAACCCTATGTTTTTCAGTTGAAATTTATAATGTACCTGGAATAGAGATAATGATGTGAATTCAGATTTTAGTAGAAAAAGATAAAATATAGAGATACACACCATACCCCTGTCCACTGAGAGGGCCTGTGTGTAGGAAAACCAAATAGCAATGGATACCAGATTCTGGCTTCTATTGTGGTTTGGATGTGAGATGTCCCTCAAAAGCTCACATGTAACACAATAAAAAAAGGTTCTGGGGAGAATGATTGGGTTGTAAAGTCTTAACCTATTCAGTGATTTAATCCTGAAAGGGATTAACTGAGTGGTAACTGAAGTGGTAAAATGTGGCTAGAAGGTAGGGATTGGGGCATGACTTTGGGGTATATTTATCTGTATATGGTTGAGTGGAGTCTCTCTTTGTTTCATGGTCACCATCATGGGAGCTGCTTCCCTCAGTCACACTCTTCCACCAGGATGTTCAGCCTCACCTTGAGCCCCAAGAAATGGAGCCAGCCTTCTATGGATTAAGACCTCTGAAACCATGAGCTCTCAAATAAACTTTTTCTCCCCTAAAATTGTTCTAGTCAGGTCCTTTAGTCACAGTAGCAAAATAATTTACTAAAACAGGTTCTTTAAAGAACCAGAAATCAGAGAAAAAGTTGATCCCAGTCTTGGGGAGGGGAAATTACATAAAAAGCCTAGAACATCTTGTTATGTTAAAATTTTAAGAATATAATCTAATCCCTTAAATAAAATAGGAAACCTTGAGTCTACACTGATAAAAACAAATGAAAGTTTGACAAGGAAGTCTAGGGATGTGGCTCAGTGGTAGGCTGCTTGCCTAGCATGTACAAGTCCCTGGGTTCAATCCTCAGCACTGCAAAAAAAAAAAAAAAAAAAAGTCTGAAGAAGACTATAAAGTAACTTCACACTGGGTGTTAATAAGGAAAAAATAGAAACTTAATGTGAGGCTGGTAGATAAAACAAATCAAGTTCATGATATGAACATAAACAGCAATGGGACAAATCAAAATCAGGCAGCACCTGATGGCATACACTTCTGTGTATTCCTTGTAAAGATGTTTAATCTGAATCAAACATGAGGAAAAATCAGATAAACCCTCAAATGAGTGACATTTTACAAAATATCTGGACCATATTCTTCAAAAGTATCAAGGTCATGAGAGTAATAAAAGAACTGAGAAACCCCAAACAGAAGGAGACTAAGGAGACAGGAAAATTAGTACATGTTCCTTTTTATTATAAAGGTCATTAATGAGATAATTATGAGGATTTCAATGGGAGTAAGTGGTAATTTAAATATGTCCATTTAATTTTTCCTAAATATGTCCATTTAATTTCCTAATTTTTCTTGTTTTTAGAAAATGCTAACTTATTTGAGTTGGTGGAACATCTGATCTACAGCATACTCAAAATGCTATTTGTATTGTATTCACAACTTTTATCTAAGCCTGAAATTGTTTAAAAATCATTATTAAAAAAAAATTTAGGGGCTGTGGGTGTGGCTCAAGCGGTAACTTGCTCGCCTGGCATGAGCGGGGCCGCTGGGTTCGATCCTCAGCACCACATAAAATAAAATAAAGATGTTGTGTCTGCCTTAAACTGAAAAAAAAAAAAAAAAATTAGGAGTCTACAGTGTAAGTTTATTTGATGAATTCACAGTTTGGGCATTATATTTAAGACTATTTGGCGCCATCAAGTGTTCAAATATATACATGCTCACTTCAATTGGAAAACATACTCTCCTGGTTATTTTTTAATCATGGTTCTAACATAAGAAATAATGAAGGAAACATTTAAGAGGATAAGGATAAAAAAATGTTATCAACACCATTCAATAATACCAATACATTAGCAAGAGAAAAAAACAAATTAGGTATCACAAATCTGCCTCATTGTGAGTGAATGATATAGAAAAACATTGTGGATGAATACAAAGTTCCATCTGTTTGTGTCATGAATATGACCTACAAACAGCATTACAGTTTTGCTTTTGGATGGTACTTTAAACACCCGAATGATAAGGCTATAAGCTGATTTGCACTTTGAACATCCTTTATCCATGTTCTTTACTTAAATGCTGATTGTTTGCTTTAATATTTCAAAACCAGGGATAAGAAATATAGAATTAGAAAGTATCAGCTGTCATTGCACACCTGTAATCCCATACCTATCATACCAGTGGCTCAGGAGGTTGAGGCAGGAGGATCACAAGTTCAAAGCCAGCCTCAGCAACTTAGCTAGACCGTAAGCAACTTAGTAAAACCCTGTCTAAAAATAAAACATAAAAAGGTCTAGGTATGTGGCTCAGTGATTAAATTCCCCTGGGTTCAATCTCTGGTAGTACCAAAAAAAGAAAAAAAAAAAAAAAAGTATGATACTCTCCACATTATTTTTTCAGTTATTGTGAATCATTTTACATTTTGTGCTGTCTTTTCACAAATGAGAAAGGCAAATGAGTGGGCAAATGCTTGTTAGGTCTCAAAAAAAAAAATCATTTGATTCAGATAAGCACGAATTCTCCATGTATTTTTGCATATTTTCTTTGTGTCACATACTGTGATAGATACTGGGGCTCCAGAGGTGAATAAGAAAATTATCATCAAGAAATACACATAATTTAGTGGGGTGATAAGATAGACATTTGCAAAACACTGTGATAAATGCCATGACAAAGGTGGCAACCAGAGCAATTTCCTTAAGGCAGGAAGAGTGAGTCTTGTTTAAGCACCAAACTCTCTTCTGCTTCCTGATACCATGTGGTAGGTTATGCTGGGCAGCCCTTGCCTACAAGAGTAAGCCCAACCACACATATGATTTTTTAGTTTTTTATCCATGAAGCTCAGTAAATTTTATAACCCTGCTGTAACAATTCTAAAGAAAGAGGGCTAGGAAGGCCCACTCAGGCTGCCAGGCCTAGGCTTTAGTGCCAGCAGATCATATCAGAGAAACCTTGTATTTGTGGTCTTAGGCACTTAGCAACAATAATAAAGCTGGTACTTCATTTTATGATTCTGTTCCTCCTTGTGTGTGCAGGTTTTGTTGTTGTTGTTGTGGTAGAGAACCCCAGAAAATAAAGGGGCAAGTTTCAGGACTAGGGTACCAAAACCCCACTGTCATTTTGTCTGTTTTCACTTTATCTCTGATTTCATGTTAGCTCTTAAAGTCGAACTTTCTTGCCCTTCAAAATCACATTTTATATGCCCAGGGCCAGAAGCCTAGGAAACAGGCTTTCAATAAATGTTCACTGCATTGAAAGCTAGAGCAACAGAATAAAGTAAAGTTCAAAAAGCATTGGTTTTTGTGTAGCATTTGCCTTCAAAAACTCCTTATGAACACAAAAATTCATATTCAGCAGAAAAACTCTGAAATTTTTTTTTCAGAAAAATATTTTCTAAATCCATGTGGTCCATCTTCTAGAGTAACCTCATTCTTCCTGGATTGCTTCAGAAAGATAATCTACCATCTTCTATCAAGTTTATAAGCTATTGCAACTAAAGGCAGAGACCAATGGTAAACCCATCAAAGTCTATTTAAAAAAAAAAAATAAGTATTAACTTATGTTTCACCTATTGTCCATAAGTCCTTTCATTTTCCCCCTAAAATATTAAAAATAAGCATATTTCCTTTAATTTAAAAGTATAATATTTGGTTGTCTCTAACCTGCAAGAATGCTCGAGCTTCTTTATACCTGCACTCAATAAACCTAGAGTGTGGTATTTCTTCCAGAAAGTGCACTGGATCTTTTGGAATACGAACTTCTAGTCCATCAATAGTAACTTGTTGTAATTCTGGCCTGAAAACAAAAGTTAAGATTATAAGTAAATAATTCAGAACACTGGCAGTCTCTATAAAATATTAAACATTAGCAAAATAGATAAATATCAAGTGTGAAGAATATGGAAAATGACAACCCCAAAGACAATGCGACTAGGGAGGAGGGAGAGAAAATAAGGCAAATATTAATCCTTCCTAGTAACACTGAGTCCTGAAGGGACTGAGTGCTAGACCCTGAACTTTCACCCTTTCCCATTGCCAAAGAGTCCTAGAAGAAAAAAAGGAAACAATAAAGCTCTGAGTAACAATGGATCCTGGAGGAAGAAGATAAGCAATGAATGCTGGGCTCTGAGCTTTCATCCCTTCCCAGTAATAATAAGTTTTGAATTTTTTACAGCTTTTATCCTGACTGCTCAAACCAACACATTCTGCTTCATTCTCCAATGATTAAGCCACCCTCATTGTAAACACAGACCCCTTCTGTAACAGGTGGCCATTTTCTATCCAGAAAGTAAGCCCATCCGATGTTTGACTCTGCTGCTGAATAAAAGACAGTGCTGGTCTGTGAGGTTTGTTCCCATCTTCATCATTTGTGCTTACGAAGTGTGTTTTCTTTCTCAGGTACCAATTAGTAACTTTAATATGACTTTGAAAATCTGACATCAAACAGCAACTGAGTTTTAAGTATTTGGCTCATATATTTTAAAATATTTCTATATTTGTTCATACATACTTCAGTATTTTTGACAAAAAAGAAAGGTAAATGATTTAGTTTTAAACTACTGATTTACTTCTAAAGAAATAAATGTTCTTTTGAATAATTAAAATAGTCTAGAACTCATTAACAGGCAAAATGCTATGTGGGAATCAGCCATGTATATTTTGGACCCCCCATTCTAAAAATATTCCTTGAGTTTTCCATTCCTCTTTATATAAAATCTTACAAATAGTGATGGCTTTTATCTATTGGCAAATATATTTAATAAGTATTTGTTGACTGACAATCCTGAACTTCGATAAATTATTAATGAAACTTTGAAATAAACTCATGAGACTTTACAAAACAAACTAAAAGATGTTTTCCTAAAGAAACTTATTTGAAATATATAATGAAAAAAATATGCATAGAATTGGCCAGAGAACCCTACAATTATGATTAAAATAATAAGAGGAGCCAATATTAACAACAAATTATTTTTCACTACCCCCTATAATGTTATTGGTCATTTTACTGCTAAAAACTTGGTTTGGTTTAGGAAAGGTTGGACTTTACCTACACAAAAAGCGTAGATAGGGGCTGGGGTTGTGGCTTAGCGGTATGGCACTCGCCTCACACGTGTGAGGCCCTGGGTTTGATCCTCAGTACCACACAAAAATAAATAAATAAAAATTAAAGGTATATTAAAAAAAAAGTGTAGACAGCTTCAGTTTTGGATAATTTTTTCAGTCGTTTCTCAATTATGTGATTTTAGATACTAATAAGAGGGCAAAAAAATAGTTTTCAAGTGTAACAGATAAGCATTGTCTCTCTGGAAGTTTCCAAGAAAGGATTATAATTTGAAAATTCTTACAAGGATGTCAAACTTTAAGGCAAATGATAAATATTTGCTACCTGAATATAAGATTATGATATTTAATACAAACCGTAAGATCACTATTAGTGACTTCAAAAGGGGAAGAAAAGTATAACTCTGGGTTAGAAACTTCAAGTTCATTATCTAATTTCAAGATTTTTTAAATTCAGTAATTGCTAATATAACTATCAAATTTTACATGGATCCCTTCAAATAACTGCTTCTCATTAAGAAACATTTCTATTACTAAGATAACAAAGGACATACTTCTATATAGAGTTCAACAATAGAATGAAATGACAAAATTATGCTATGTACATATATGAATATGCCACAACATATTTGACCTTTATATATCTATATCTGAATATCTATAAAGCTAAAATTTAAAAAACAACAACAACAAAATAAATAGAAAGAAGACCAGTAGAGTAGAGGAAAGGCAGCAGTAGGGGGAGAAGGAGAGGGACAAAGGAAGTATTTGGGACTGAAATGGAGCAAATTATATATTCCATGCATGTACGACTATGTCAAAATGAACCCCCCATAATGTACAACTATAAAGCACTAATAAACACATAAAATTATATAAGAAATTGCATAAGACAAAGGCACAAAATAATAAATTACAAACACCCATGTCTCCACCACAGAAATTGAATCTTGTTAGCTTCCTTTCAGTTTTCTATGTATCCAGTTTTCTATATATTCCCTCCATTCTCCCTAGAAATAAAACCTATCTTTTTTTCCCATTACTTATTCCTTATTCTTAATATTAAGTATGTGTAGTATTTTTTTAAAATTTTCTTTAGTTGTGAATGGACACAATATCTTTTTATGTATTTATTTATCTATTGGGTACCAACCATTGAACTCAGGGTATTTGGGCACTGAGGCACATCCCCAGTGCTATTTTGTATTTTATTTAGAGACAGGGTCTTTTTATTATTATTATTATTAGTTGTTCAAAACATTACAAAGCTCTTGACATATCATATTTCATACATTTGATTCAAGTGGATTATGAACTCCCATTTTTACCCCGTATACAGATTGTAGAATCACATCGGTCACACATCCACGTTTTTACATACTGCCATACTAGTGTATGTTGTATTCTGCTGCCCTTCCTATCCTCTACTATCACCCCTCCCCTCCCCTCCCCTCTTCTCTCTCTACCCCATCTACCGTAATTCATTTATCTCTCTTGTTTTTTATTTCTTTTTTTCCCCTTTCCCCTCACTTCCTCTTATATGTAATTTTGTATAACAATGAGGGTAGAGACAGGGTCTTACTGAGTTGCTTAGTGCCTTGCATCACCGTTGTTGAGGCTGGCTTTGAACTTTCCATTCTCCTGTCTCAGGCCTCCTGAGCCACTGCCATTACAGGCGTGCACCACCACGGCAGCCTATATTTATTTTTATGTAGTGCTGAGGATCAAACCCAGTGCTTCAGACGTGTGAAGCAAGTGCTCTACCACTGAGCCATGACCACAGTCCCTATATAGTATTCTTAATACTAAATATACAAGTATATATCCATGAACATAATTTATCCTGGATTTGAGCTTTTTATAAATATAATCATAATATTTTTATTCTTCTCTATCTTGTTTGTGTCACTCAACAATGTAGGATTTATCCCTGCTATTGTTTAGAGCTGTAGTCCATTCATTTACCTGCTGTAGAATACTTCACTCTATATTTTATACACACACACACACACACACAAACACAATACATATAGATAAATTTATCTTTTTATTGCTTTTCATTTAGAAGCATTAAGAACAATGTTATTATGAACATTCGTTTGAATTATATATTAGATTTCATTATAAAATGTAAAAAAAAAAAAAGTATAAGAACCTACCTATGGACAACATTTATTGGCTTTGGCTCTAAACTTACCTGTCAAAAGCACCAGGATAACGACCAAACTGTAACTTTCGAAAAGGAACAAATTTCTTGTCAATGTGTCCTTTGAGTCGTAGATGGCCATGCCAGAGGTAGTTGCCACTTCTTTCATGAAAGACCACCAAATGGATGGCATGAGTGGCCAATCTGCAGATATAGTGCAGGGGGATTTCAGTTCCAGAAAGTGAGTCTATCCCATCTAGCCGAGGATCTTTGCTTTCAATCTTTAGGCATTGAAATCCCATATTTTCAGCTATCCGAAACCAGCCTTCCTATTGGAATTGAATAAACATCAAACTTGAATATTTAAAACAAAATATTAGTAGCACTAATGACTATTACACTGAGTTAAGTCATATTTTTGTACTAATCTACTCACTGCCAGAAGATTTAGAAATGAGGGGGTTGAACAGAATAGAATAAAGAAGAAAATATGTAGCATAGAAGTTATATATAAGAACTCTATGAAAATTAATACGTATTTCTTCTTTGGAATGAGAATGCTCATTTTAGTGTTCTATGGTTAGTTAACATTAATATTAGTACAGCATAAAATTAAACTTGCAATTCTTATATCTTAACAGTTTAAAATGTTACAATAAAACCCAACCTAATGCAAATCTTTAGAAAACAGACTGAAACATTCTGTACATTTTTCAACATCTTTAGAGTATAATATTTTTTTTTTTTTTTTTTTGGTACTGAGGATTGAACTAAGGGGTGCTAAATCACTGAGCCACATCCCCTTTTAAAATATTTTTTCTAATTTAGAGACAGGGGTCTCATTAAGTTGTAATACATAATAGATAGACTCACAGCAGTTTTCCTGTCTAAAGAAACATAACTAATATGGCTCAAAGCCACTAAAAGCACCAAGGTCTTATCCAAAAAAATCCAAATTCCTTTCAACTATAACATTACCTCTCTGGTTTATACAATGTGTACAAAGTTTGTTCAATTCATCATCTCATTTGATATCTACAGAAACCATGTAAGATCAGCAAGGAAGATAGTATTATACATAGTCTATTATGCAAGAAAAATAAAGCTTGAAGAAGTAATTAATACCAGATATTAAGGTATGTGATGATGGTCTGTGTCCTAAAGCTTGTCTTACTGACCACGGCATTCAGAAATATTTTTCAAGAGTACTTTCTATGGGTTTTTCAATGTTGTCATTTGAATTTGTTCTACCTTCATCTATGCTCTCATTAAATACACCTGTATTGTACTATTTATTGTAATGTCATTTAATTGTTTCTTTCAATGATTAAACACCATTAATAGACTCAATTTCCTCTAATACATGAATCAACATATCTAGAATCCAGAAGGTAGTCAAAAGATATTTTATTGTTGTTTATATTGTTAATTGAGAGAAGATGATAAGTTTGGTACAGAATATTAACTAGTAACAAGAAAACGTGTCCTGCCATTTATCTATATAGAGCTAACTTGTATTCTGGTCAAAAGAATGTAGACACAAGTATCATACATCACTTCCAGGACTGGCCTCACAATATCCCAAAGAATCTTCCATATTCTTCTTACATCTCCATATATGAAAGAAAAGAACTCCAAGATGCAATTTCACCTGATTTTCCTTTATTAATTATAATTATCAACTACAGAACTCCTTTTCTTTCTTGGTACCCCTAAAATTTGGAAAATACTGACTGAGGGTGAGTATTGCCAATTCAAAGAAAAGCACTACGGTATAGATGAAAGAAAAGCATTATGAGTTGATAAATTCAGGAAAAATTAAATAGGTCAGCTAGATCTTAAGAGAAATCTGACCACGATTGAGGGAAGAGAGGAAGACTGACAAACTAGGCAGAACTATAAGGGTTGCCTTTTTATAACAATGAGAAAGAAAAGTCAAGAATAAAGTAATCATTTTGACCAAGCAGAGTAAAGGCCTCAGTCAAGACTGTTCAACACAAAACTTCCATTTGCCTTGGAAGCTGTTTGCTCACTTGGTGATGATATTAGTAAAGAAAAAAATCACATGCAAAATGAAGTCCACAGTTAGCTCCACTTTGGGGGAAGTTTTAGGGAGGACTATCCAAGGGGTCTGTATGTCATCTACATAAAAGGATAAACTTGGAACAAGTATGCTTATATTCTGCATAGCTGACCTTTTGCTTCTTCCACTGACTCTAGTCTTATCAGTTTTGCCAGCTGGAGAAGATTTCTTTTCTTCCAAAGCAGTAGTTCTGAAGGTATCAGATATTTTTGAAATTTGTGGGCATATTCATGGTTTATCATAATGGAAAATTGTCATTTAGAAGTCTACATCAGAACCACTAGACATTCTATACTCTAAAATATGAAAATCTATCCTTTGTCCTATATAATTTCAAATATCCTATTAAGATGATCACAGAGTGAAAAACATGTTTACAATTATCTGAGCCCTAATTTCTCAACAATACAATAGCCATACTAGTGAAGATACAATTTTATTTTTTGTTGTTGGAAATTTTTGTTCACTGCTTTGTAAAATGAGACTACTAACAACATTAAAAGTAAGAATTTGTGGAGTCTGTGACCCTACTTATAAATACAAGCATCTGAATTGTTTTATTATGTTTTCCAATGTAGTCATGGTTGAGTATTTACACAATAAAACATACACTAGTTCTTTTAATTTTTATATTATATTATAGTTAAGGCATTAGATTGATTTGGGAGATTATGTGTATTGGAAGCTTGTAATTTCTACAAATTTTGTTTTAGGAAAATAAATATAGAATACTCTGTACTGGCTTCTAAGCCTTGTAAGGCCTTTTTATGAGAAGAATCAAATAGCCCATAGAAATGATCTACAAAAACTGACATTTAGGAGTTTCTCCAATGAAAAAACAAGCATGCTCTATAGTGTAGTCAAACAGTTAATGAGACCTGACCATTAAAAAAAAAATCCAATAGAATTAAAGTTTCTTATTCTTAAATATGAACAAAGATCAACAATTATATAAAATCTATATCATAAAAAACACAAACAAAATAAGATAAAAATACCAGAAAACAAAGAAGGGATTTAGCAAAACAAAATGCAGTAAAGATCAAAAAACATTTTAGAAGTAAACCTTTAAAATGTACAGGGCATTTTAAAGATTAAACTGTATCCCTGAAGCAAAAACATAATAACACATTAAGGAACAGAGCATAAGAAGCTTTTAGAAAATATGCAAATTTCAAACAAAAATATGACAAAATACAAAAATTATATAAAAAATGTTCAACACCACTAACAATTAGAGATATGAAAATTAAAACTACACTGAGACTTCATCTCACTCCAGTCAGAATGGTAATTATCAAGAATACAAGTAAAAATAAATGTTGGCAAGGATGTGGGGAAAAAGGTACACTCATACATTGCTAGTGGGACTGAAAATTGGTGCAACCACTCTGGAAAGCAGTATGGTGATTTCTCAGAAAATTTGGAATGGAACCACCATTTGACCCTGCTATCCTATTCCTCAGCATATACCCAAAGGGCTTAAAATTAGCATACTAAAGTATCACAGCCACAAAAATATTTATATTAGCTCAATTCACAATAGCTAAGCTATGGCGCCAAACTAGGTACTCTTCAATAGAAGAATGGATAAATAAAATGTGGTATATATGCACCATGAAATATTACTCAGCCATAAAGAAGAATGAAATTATGTCATTTTTCTGTAAATAGATGGAACTAAAGGCTATCCTGTTAAGTGAAATAAACCAATCCCAAAAAACCAAAGGCCAAATGTTCACTCGTGGATCTAACACACAATAAGCGAGGGGGAATAGAAGTTCCCTAGGTTAGACAAAGGGGAATGAAGAGAAGAGAGAGGGGACAGGCATAGGAAAGACAGTAGAATGAACTGGTCATAACTTTCTTATGTGCATACATGAATACACAACCAATGTAACTCCACATCATGTACAAGCACAAGAATGAGAAGTTATATTCCATGTGTGTAAAATATGTCAAAATACACTCTGTCATGTATATCTAAAAAGAATAAATAAAAATATGACAAAAATCAATGGCACAATTAAAGATTTTGTTAAAAAATAGAACAGCTGGAAAAAGGGAGAAAATCACAAGCAAAGATAAGAAAATTGGAGGATCAATTCTGCAAGTCCATCATCCATATAAAAAAAGTTCAGAAAGAACACGTTTTCAACACAATTGCTAGAGATCCTACCTAAGTAAGTTTAAGAGAAAAAGACCGAATTGTCTTTTTTTGTAAACAATATACTTATCTGATCAGTCTTTATGGAGAGAAAGAAAGAAAACGAATAAACCACTGAAGTGTACCTACAGAGTTCAGTACAGTAGCTAGAAAACAAGATCTGGAAACAAAATACAAAAGTCAACAGCAGTCTCATACACCTATAATAATGAACTGGAAAAAGAAACAGAAAAATATCTTACCTGTATCCCTGATCCCCAATTAAAAACTACAAGGTAGCGAAAAATAAATTATCCAAAAATGAGCAAAATCTCTAAGAAAATTATAATATTCTATTAAAGAGAATGAAAGGAGAACTAAAGGAGATATACTTAATGTTCATGAATGAGAAATCCCAATGTTTAAACAATGTCAAGAGACCTTGCATGCTTTTGCTTTCTTACTGCTTTGTGAATAAGCCTGAACTAGTCTGGTTCATGAAAGACACATTGTTCTGGCACCTCCACTGCCCCATTTGACAGCCAGCTATCCTGAAGCAGTTACATGAGTGAGCTTAGATGAGACTATAATCGTCCAGCTGAATCCCACCCAAATATATATATATATATATGAAAGAGTAAATACAAGAGCTAAACTCTTAAAACTTTATAACTCATCATCTAAATGAAATATTAATAAGATAAATGTAAACATTTATAAATGAGAAGATAAACAGGGTAGAAAAAGTCAAAGTGGTTGGCTCTAAGAGTAGGAATAAGAGAAGCTCCTTTTTTTTTTTTTAATCAAGAGCTTTGTATTAAGTGATTTTTTTTTCTTTTTTTAAAACTGAGGATTGAACCCAGGGGCACACTACCAATGAGTGCCATTTTTATTTTTTATTTTCAGACAGGCTGTCCTTGAACTTGGAATCCATCTGTCTCAGCCTCTCGAGTCACTGTTATTACAGGCATGCACCACTACACCTCCACTACTATTTGACTTTTTAAATTAGTACTAGCATTATTTTGCTTAAAAATAAAAACTGAATTTAAAATATCACATTTTAACTTTTCCATAAGTTTAAACACTTTCAAAATATAAAATAAGAAAAAATAAGCAAACAAAAATGATGTATTTATCTGTTTAACACTTACATCATTGCCTGGAAAAAACCAGAGGCCAGAAAACACAGTTCATTCTCTTGATGCTGCTCTGTGCAAGAGTTTGAGGTAATCAAGGGTCTGTGCAGCTTATAGTGTTTTCCCAGATATCCCTATCACTCTGGAAAGTAAGCCCTGCCTACCAGGGGTCAAAACAACTAAAACATATCCCATTGTGGCTGACTAGTTATGTTCATTTAATCTGATGCTCATTTTCTTATTTGCATAATTCCTAGGAATGAAAAATAAAGAAATCTGGAACTTAGAAGTTATATCAGTCTATTTTGCATTACCATAATAAAATGCCTGATGCAGGCTGACTTTACAAAGGAAAGAGGTTTTTATTTAACTTATAATTATGGGAGTTGGAAGTCAAAACAGCATAGCTCTGGTTCTGACAAAGACCCCATGGTAAAAGACAAGAGTGTGTATGTGAAGAAGAGAAAATATTTTAAAACAGGAAGACAGAAAGCTAGGTGGGGCCAGGCTTGCCCTTTTTATTACAACGTTCTCGTAAAAACTGATTTAGGGTCTTGCAAGAACTACCTAATCCCTTCTGGGGGCAAGATACTCAATCACCCCCAATTAGGCCTACCCACTCAAAAGTTCCCCACCTCCTAATCAATACTCTGGAGATCAAGCTTTCAAAACATGAATCTCTGGAAAACACTTATAAACCATATCCAAACTATGTTAAGAAGTAAGCAAAATTTTGAGACACTTCCTGTTTTTTTTTTTTTTGCTGACTGCTATCTGACTTTAACTTTGATAACCATAAAGCAGATTAAATTCATAGTTTTGGGCACATTTAAAAAGTATTTCACTTGAGAATCAAACAAGTACTGCACACTTACAAAACGGAAAGAATATAGTCTTGTCCACCTTATATAATATGTACTAAAAATTCATCACTAAATCTCTTCCTACTTGCCCTACACTAATGGAGATATTAAATACCTGCATTTTAGGCCTCTCTCACCATTAGGTGACATGTGATTACAGTTCTGGACAGTGAGATATAAAAAGTAGTTTATCATAAGCTTCTTCAAAATATTTTTCTTCAAAAATTGGCATTACCATTCCTTCTTCTCATCTGTTTTGAACATGGACACGATAGCTGGAACTGTAAGACCAATCTTGTAATGACGAGGAAAAGGAAGAAAGACACTTAGCCCTGACATCAGTAGGCAGTGGAACTAACTACAGCCACCAACCTTTTACCTCTTGTTATTCAAGAAAAATAAATGCACTATATGCATTAGCCATTATTAATTATATTCTGTTACTCATAGCTGCAAATATTCCTGATGCAATTTATCATATTTTTGGTACTGGGGATTAAGCCCAGGGGGTGCTTTAACACTGAACTATATCCCAGTCCTTTTTATTTTTTACTTTGAGACATGGTCTCAGTAAATTGCCTAGATTGGTCTTAAGCTTCCTGCCCCAGCCTTCCGAGTTGCTGAGATTATAGGTGTGTGCCACTGTGCCCAGCTCCTCATATAATTTATACAAAGTTTTAAGAATTATTTTAGGTGTTTTACATTTTAAACTTGTGTAATTCCATACTATTTTGAAAGACAAATATTATATTATCTAAAAGCAATCAACTTACTTCATTCTTCCACAGGTGATACTGTAGTGCAAATGCAGTAAATTCTCTCGGAACACAGAAAAACTTGCATTCTGAAGTGGAGCCATGAGAAGTATTTTTGATTTGTTCAAAGTTTTTACTAATCAGTTCCAGAATCAAAGGATCAATAAGGAACACTGGTACATTTTGGCTGGATGTTAGCATAATAAATTTTTTAACTGCACGCTGTTTGAGAGGAAAAGAATACCCTTAATAACAATCAATACAACAACTTATTGTATTAAATTTGTATTCACTGATTTTATAAAAATATATAGGGTGTTTATCCAACAGATACCATGCTTAGCACTTACATTAAAAACAAATAAATAAACACATATGGTTCTTGGCCTCAAGCAATACACTCTTCCAGGAATGATGAACAAATAGTTACAATACAAGGTAAAACATGCTATAATAAAAATGTATACCACATACTATAAGAGTACAGAACAATAAGTTATCAATTAACATAAAAAATATTCATAGAATAAGTGGTATATATGAAAATTTGGAGCTTAGAAATTATTCTCTTGGTATTAGCTAAAATTTCCAAGCAAAACTGAGTGAGGAAATATCAGGATTGTCCATTTTTATAGATCAGTAATGTCAGCCTTTCAAAACCAAAAATCTATTGTGTGTGTCACTTTTCTTTATATTTGTAATGCTGCTTAACAATATTTCTAAACAAAAGATTTAGACCAAAATATATTGCTTACTTGATCATCCTGCAATATAGTGAATTTTCTAATAGCATGGTAATATTTTAAAATATAATACTGCTGGGAAGTAAGTAGGGTCCTCTACTGAAAAAATGAAATTTCAAAATTAGAATGAAAACAGATTAAATCACACTTAGGAGTAAATAATATCTAAGAGTAGCAAAGACAATACTAGTATACATCATTTTTAAAGATCCTATTTCAATGAAAAGAATACTAAATTTAAAGGGATTTATGCACATCAAAAAGATGTTTCATGGAATTAAAAATAAACTCTTCTTCACAATATCAGAAGGAACTCCTAAAAATATATACAAGATAACAAATATACAAGTATATCAAGAATTTTAAAAATAGAAAAAAATGAGATAAAGCTAGGAATCAGTTTCATCATTTGTTTTTAGTGTAGAGTATTATACAAATGTCAAGAATATAATCATCTCTGCCTCAGAGAGGTTTGTTTTCTCTTGTTGGGAGAGACATCTAAGTAAAAAGTCAGAATAAACAACTGTATGCCAAAAATAACTTAAGTGAAATAGACATTAAAAAAAAGATATTTTAAAACTACCACAAGATGACAAGAAATCTGAATGCCTATTAAAAAAAACAAATATGTTATTTAAAAAAAAAAGCTGCCCTCAAAATACAGAAAAACTCTAGACTTAGATGGTTCACTGGTGAGTTTTATCAAAACACTTCCAAAAAACTAAGCTAGAGGGAATATTTTCTGATTTCTGAGGCCAGTATAATACTAATAGCAAAACCTAACAGACAAAACAAAAATAAGAAAGAAATAAAATTACAGACCACGATTACTCGTGAATACAGATGCAAAGATATTTAACAAAATATGAGAAAGTCAATTCTAGTAATTAAAAAGCAGAAAGTAAATATCAAAACCAATGTTCATCACAGGAATCAGAGATTAATTTAATATTGGAAAGTCAATCAAAAAAATTCTGCATATCAACAGAACAAAGGGGAAAACCTGTGGTAATTTCAATACATAAAAAGCATTTGAGTGGGGCTGGGCATGTGGTGCAGCAGCAGAGCACTTGCCTTAGCACCACATAAAAAATAAAGGCATTCTGTCCATCTACAACTACAATTTTTTTTTTTAAAAGCATTGGACAAATTTCAATCCCTATTTGTGATTAAAAACTCTCATCAAAAAAAGGAATAAGATGCTTTCTCAATTTGAAAAAGGCTATGAACAACACAAAAAATCTATTACTGAGTTGTAGGAATTCTTTATAAATCTTTGATATCACTCTTTTGTCAGCTGCAAGTTTTACAAATATTTTCTATTCTGTGGCATAAGTAGAAGTTCTAAATTTTGATAGTCTATTGATTTTTTTTCTCTTAGGGTTAATGCTTTTCTGTGCTTTAGATAAAAAAAATGAAAGAGAAATGATTTTTGGAGAAAGACAATGAGATGATAGAAACTAGTTCATATACTTACATGTTAAATGAATCTCAGGTTAGTATTAAAAAATTTGATGAATATATTTATGGCGTCATTATAATTATTAACATAAATATAGATCAGGACAGGGTCAAGGGGAGAATGTATAACTTATCTTTTAAAAAATATACCTTCCAAATCATTAATACTGCAATCATCATTGCTCCTTAGAAATAGGTGTCCAATTGATTTTTAATCCAATTAATCCTAAATCAACATGACTATCATCACCTACCTACTCCTCGATAATTCACTTTGTTTTAAGAATGAAAAATGTCTTGTTGAAAATAGGATGTGCTGAGACCACAATAGCATATTCATCTGCCTGTGTATTAAAATTTTTATCAGAACCTACAAGAACTTGATGGGACTTGTTCTTAGGCAAGCTCTCTCTACTACTGAGCTATATTTTCAGCACACAACTTGTTCTTAGCAAAAGCCGGATTCCTAATTATCACTTTTTCTTTCCTAAGCCTGTCAAGTCATCTGCTTAATAATTCATTCTAGAATTTTATCAGGACTCAATATCACAGTATTAGTCAGTTTTCACTTTTTATTTCTTCCAAAAAAATAGGACAAAGGCATTTTAATACTTTTCCGTTTCCTGTGATTTTGCAAATATTGTAATAATTCAGTGACCACATTCACAATTTTTTTTAGTACCCTGAAATGTAATTAAGTTACAATACAAAGAGAATTTCCTTAATGTGGTAAGCTGCTCTTTAATTTTTTGCTTACCTACCTTGAAAGTAAACCTTTAAAAAAATCTGCTATTCTTCCCAACTCATGGATCATTCTCCAACTAAAAGGATGGGGTCACCATACCTTACTCCATTAAAAGGTATGAGGATATTGTTAGAGAGTTGTCACTCAGTCAATACAAAGTAAAATCTTCTATCCCACTGAAGCCGTTATAGCTTTAAATTTTTCCTAAACATGTTCTTTCAGTGTACATATGAAGACTTTCAATAACAGCAAACTTGGAAAATTTTTATTACTATATCTTCACATCACAGAATGTTAACATTTATGATAGACCATTCCATTGCCTTCAGACCACAGGCATATTCCAGCTGTAGGTATGTATTTATGTATGTAGTATATATCTGTGTTTCTTAAGAGTGCGATGAAGGTAGAGAAGTGCTAGAAAGAAGTGTGCAAAGTATCCCTTTTTACTTAATTGAGAATCTTTATAATTGAGACTTGGTAATATAAATACTAAGAACATCATGAGTCCCTTTTCCCTAAGATGATCCTAAATACACAAAGCAAAACATTTGCTATCTTTAATAAATTTAAAGTTCACATTTATATTTCTAGATTAGATAACTAAGACATCTGCTAGTAGGATGTCCCAGACTTCACTTTTAAAACAGTAGTTCAAATCTAGTTGGTATCAGCAATGACTTAAAATAAAACTTGGTTACTTGAAAATTCTAATCTAAAGCCTTCCACATCTGTGGTTACAAACTGTCTCCACAAGATATATCTGGTCATTTTCCACAATGTATACAAACAAGAGAACTGTGATTTTTTATTAGTTACCCAACATTGTTTTTCATTCTAAGTTTAGTTAGAATAGAAGGTAAGAAAATAAACTTATAAATATGCAGGATCTGGAAATGTGTAAGACTAGTTTCACTTATCTCATAAAGGAAACATGCTGAATAAATTTTTATTCCTGATCACTAATTTTTTCATTATTCATAGTTAAGTTCTGAAACATATTCATTCATTCGGCGAAGCAGCACAGCTCAATGAATGAGAGTTCTAGAGGCAGGAAGTTAGAATCTAGACTCAATCACTTATTAGCCAACTAACTTGAATCTCTCTAAGGTAAATCAAAAATAACAGTATATATTGACTTGGTTAAGGTGTCTATAAGGACTAAATAAGATACTCTAAGTACTTGGTATAGGGCTCACTCCTTCCTGGCCACTACCTCCTCCATCCCCAAGGTAGTCATTGTATTCATCAAACAAATACTTAAAATTGAGTACACAAACAAATGAACTAAATGTACATTGTAAGTGAGGAATTTTATTGTACATACCCATTGTGTGCTATCAAATCCGATTTTGCTGCCTTTGGATTTTGACAAACCAATTCCATTCTAGGAGGATAACAAAAGAATACTGAAATAAATTCAAAGTCCAGCATGCAACATTACATTTAGGGTGAGTATAAGAGTCAAACTGCATATTAGCTCATAGTCATTAGAAGGCATCACCCAAATACTTATTTTCATGTAGTCAGAAGCTAAGAATGCTATTATTTTATAATACAGCTACCTAAGATGTAAAACATCAACAGAATACAGTAGTTAACTAAGTATATGTTGCCCAAATCTCTAAACTAATCAATGTCAACAAATAAACAACAAATTCTCTGCTATCTCTCTGGAATTACAGTTGGTCAAGTTAGCTACATATTCCTAACCTCAGCTTATCTCCATATACTGAATTAGTATTTGTAGTTCCTGGCAAAGAGTAAGTAAATTTATTGAGCAGCTCCTAAATGTCAGGTACTATATTTGATACATCTACATATAAACTATATACTTTTTCCTATCTCTCACAATGATTCTACAAAGCAAACATTTTTATTTTTGGTTTACAGATAGAAAGCTAAGACACATCATAATTTAAAATGTTGAGTTATTTTTAAAAAATGTTTTTAAAAATATTTAGGTCCAGAGAATCAGACCTCTGATAAGCTCCAAAATACTTTCAAAGGAACAGGAAAGTGAACATTTGATGGAATACACAAGAAGAAGAATGTTTTAAGCTCAAAGAAGATCCAAGAAGGTTTTTATATCTTTAATGTGTTGTTTACCTGCAAGCTAAAAATGGTAGGATGCTGAAGAAAAATGTGAGTTAAAAAAAATGGAAACTCACCTTCCCACTAACCACACACTCGAGGGCAGGATACAAGTCTATTCCATTTCTGTACCACCACTACCTAGCACAGGGCTTGGTAAATAGTAAATGCTTAATCCATTATATCCCATCATCCTATAAGGAATTGACATTTGGGATCCACTGGATTAATAAGAGTCTATTAACTGGAGAGAGGGATGAGGAATTACTAAGAAATATACTGAGATATAATGAGAAATTAAGGTATAGCCAGAGTCTCTCCTAACAAGCTCTGCAGTTTAGGCAATAACATTTTAATACATGTAGATGTTTGAGAAAAAGCAATAAAGACACATCTTTGTAATCTTTAGTACTGAAAAAAGACTGTGAACTCTGCAATATAGTCATTTGTTGCTCACCACAGTCTTATATTAGTAGGCAAGACTGAATTTCTAAGCTGTTTAACTTGTGGCATTTGGGATAGTCTACTAGTTCACTCTCAATGAGAAATAGATCACATTACCATAAAAGCCACCTTTTTAAAGTGTAGAATTCAGTAATTTTTAGTATATTTACAGAGTTCTGCAACTATCACCACTATATACAATATTTTCATTATGTCCCAAATAAAACCTATTAGATATCACTCCCCAACCTTCCTCCACTCAGCCCTAACTATAATGTTTATACATTTTTTTCTCTGTGGATTTGCCTCAAGTGAACATTTCATTAAAATGCAGTTATAATATGTGGCTCTTTGCATCTGACTTTTTTCAATTTGCATAATGTAACAGTTCATCTATGCTATAGCATGCATCAGTATTTAATTATTTTCCCCCATAGCTGAGTAATATTCTATTGTATTCATTGTTTGATGAATATTTAGATAATTTAGCTACTATGAATAATACCAGCACAAACATTCACGTTTTATATCATTCCCTATTTGTATACTCACAATCTGCCTCTATTTTACTTCATTTTATATGCTTAGCAAAAATCCACTCTCCACTTTTTGTACACATGCAACTGTGCAGCTAAACATGGCTGCTCACTGGTGTCACTTTAGATTCATGACTACCAGCTTCAAATAGGAACTTAATTCTGCCCAGCAATCATCCTACATTTCCCTTGTGTATTAACTCTCATTCTCCTAGATGACTTTTTCTGCTTTTTTCTCTTTCCAACACCCCCTACCTATCTATCCTTCAACTTATGGCATTGCTTTTCTATTTCCCGGGATGTGGGGGAGGGAAAAAATTAGAGAAGAACCTTCAAGAGCTCCTACCGCATCTCAACTACCTAATCAAATTATATCCCTACAGTCTACCTTTCCTCCTCTCCTGACAGATGAGCTGCCTACATTCCTATTAAAGGCCAAACTCTCCATTTACATATCTTATCCCTCTCGCCTGGCCAAAGAAATTGCTTCAGCAATTTTTCTTTCTCTGCTGGATCATTTCCATCAGCATACAACATGACATTGTTTCTCCTATCTTAAAAAAAAAAAAATTAAGACAAAAACCTCTTGGTGTCTCTTTCCTACCATTTTTCTTACTCTCCTACCAAGAGAACTCCTAATGGGTTGTCTATGCTCATTGCCCACAATTCTCCTATGAACTCACTTGAGCTTAAATTCACTCAGTAAGCATTCATCAAGAATACCAATAACCTCCACATTGCTAAATCCAATGATGAATTATTAGTCCTTGTCTTATTTGACCTACTAAGAATTGTTGAACAACTTCTGCCTCACTGAAATATTTCATTCACTTGGCTCTCAGAATCCCCATGCTTCCAGTCTTCTACTATTTCTGTCTGGCTACTCTTTCTTAGTATCGCTAGCTAGTTCATTCCACCTCTGACATGCTGCTGAAGGGTCTCTGAGCTCAGATCTTGAAACTTGCTTTTTTTCTTGTGCTTTCTTTCTCTCTCTTAAATCTATATTCACTTCCTTGGTATCTCATCTAGTCTATGGTTTTAAATACCATCTATCTGCTTACAACTCCCAGCTCATACTATCCCTTTGAACTTCAGACTTAATATACCCAGTTGTCTATTCACCTTCTTCATTTGAATAGCTACCTCAAAGGTACAATGTACCAACAAAAGAAAACACACACACAAAAATGATTTTTACCATCCCTCAAACTTGCTCTTCTGTGTCTTTCTTATCTCAGTAAACAGCAATTTTCCCCTTCCAATTACCTAGGCCAAAAATACTAGTTATTCCTGATCCTATTCTGTCTTTCATACCCCACATCTAACCCATTAATAAATCCTTACAGCTCTGTTTTCCATTTCTCACCAACTTCCAAGTCCAAGCCATTATCATCTCTTACGTAAATAATAATAGTCTTTTATCTGTTTCAGCCTTTATTCCTATATTTCATTTCCAACAGAGCAGCCAGATTATTTGTTTTAAAGTAAAAATCAGATCATGTCATGTAACAACTCAAAACCTTTCTATGATTCACAATCTTACTAAGAATAAGACCCAACCAAAGTCCTTTTAATGGTTTAGACCTACAACAACATGGAATTTTGTAGCCTTACTCATTATTCTCCCCATCTCTCACTCTTCTACAGTCACATTAATCTCTATGCTGTTCTCAGAACTCCCTGTTTATTCCTGCCTCAGAACCTTTGCACTTCCTTTGATTTCTACTTGGTATGCTACTCCTCTAGACATCCATATAGCTCATTCTCTTTGAATAGACTGTTTCTTTTATTTGTAATGGAGTTCTCATCCTCCAGTTCACCTGGAGAACTCCTACTCATTCCTATAAGGACAACTCAAAAACATTCTTTCATCCATGAACCAACTCCATTGCTGTGAACTTGAGGTGAGACAGAACATCATGGTGGAAGGCATAGCAGAGTAAAGATGCTCAGCTTATGGAAGCTGGGAAACAGAGACAGCAAAGAGAAAGGAAGGGAAGAAGAAGAAAGGGACCATGAACATACAATCCAATACTATGCCCCCAGTGACCTACTTCCTGCAGCTATGCCCCCCTGACCAGTTACCACCTAGCAGTCCAAATTATTAAGCCATCAATGGATTAATCCACTGATGAGGTTACAGCTCTTATAATCCAATCTTTTTGCCTCTGAACATTACTGCATTGCCTAACACATGAACTTTTGGGGGGACATTTTTAGATACAAACTATAACACCAAATTTCCCCAATTTGTGAGTTCCTAGAAGGCAAGGATTAAATTGTATTTGTCATTTTATTTCATAGCCTAGTACTATGTTTGAGCCACAGTAAGCTTTCAACAAATATTTGACAAATGACTGAATGTTCTGAAAAAATTAAAAGTATGTCATATAGTTAGAGTCAATAAGGGTTTTTTTAAAAAGCCTAAATATATTCTAAAACATTTTTTATGGGATTTATAGTGAAATTTAAGGGAAAGAAAAAAAATCAGATGCCAATAAAGACTGGAAGAAAAAAATTTGGTGACTATAGAATTCCACTGATAACTGAATCAATAAATATTTGTCATGAAGGAAATGAGTCAAATAAATATTTTTCATATAAGAAGAAAAAATACTGTTTTTGTTTTGTTTGTTTGTTTGTTTTATTTTTTTTTGTGGTACTGGGGATTAGAACCCCAGGGCCTTGTGACTGCAAGGCAAGTACTCTACCAACTGAGTTATATCCCCAGCCCTAATCCTGTTATTTTTGAAGGCAGAGTTCAACATGCAGTTTCTTAAAGGAATCAAAATTCCAATTCCTTAATTTGCATTATCTTTAAATATGCCCATATAGAATCAAATGCCAATACTTAAAAAAAAACACTAAAATCTTCAATAACTGAGTTTTTTCAGTTGTTCATAAACTCTCAAATCTAGGATAAGAAACACTAACTATGGTGAATTCAACATGATAGCCTCCAAGTAGCCTTCCACTCTGCCTGTCAGTGCCTTTCCTTACAGTAGAAACATCATTCTTCTACTTACTTCTGAGCCACTGAAGTTTTTAGTGGACTGAAGTCATAAATGTAATTTGTAATGGTGAGAAAGCTACATTTACTAATTGAAACTGTTTGGTCAGACAACTTAAAAATAGTTGAAAGTCTGAGAATAAGTAGAAAAAATTTTAAAAATACCCTTTAATTCTAATTGTTAAATTAATTATTAATAATTCTAATTAATTTAGAAATTCTTTCACATTTCTCCTGGATACTGAAAAAGTGGGAAGGGTTGGAGAAGAAGGGAAGTAGTACTTATCATAAGTTTGCCATATTAAATTCGACTATCAAACATAATATTCTTTCTCCAGAAACGACCTATTATTATTCTTCAGAGCAAAGTGGAACAAGACAACAAAGATGAAGGGAAAATCATGTTTCTTAATTTTAATAAGTAACTGATTAACTAAAAAAATTCCAAAAATTTTTTAAAATTCCAGGTTTCTTGCACATGATATAAATAGCTACAAGATCAATTTCCATTTCTAATGATGGCATACAAAATTGTTTTCTGTGAATGATTACTCACAAACTTGAAATCCAAACTCCTCTTCCATCTCTCTCTTCCTTCCTTCTAGCCAAACACACATAGGTTACAAAATATAACACAAAGATATCCTAGCACACCACCCTGTAAGTGGGCCTCCTAAGTAGTAAAAACAGCTGATTACTGAAGGCACCAGTGTGGTTTATCTTGACTAAGTCAAGAACAACATAAGGTTGGGATTACTGGAGTTTTACACAAACATTGCTTCCACCTAAGCATTAATATTTTATCATTTTCTGTTGTGCTTCAGCAATCCTTAAAGTCATCTCTTTTCATATCTTATCAATCTTTTTAAATTAATTAATTAACTAATTTTAATTAGGTATATGACAGCAGAATGAACTCTGATTCACTGTACCCAACTGCAGCACAGCTTTACATTTCTATGGTTGTACATGTAGATGTAGCGCCACACCATGTGTGCAATCATACATGTACCTAGGGTAATTATGGATATCTTATCAATCTTATGAGAAGAAACTTAATATACCTGGAACCTATTTCACTCATTTATGAAAAAGTGATAAATGGAGGCTTGTTAAGAACACTGTAACAATTGAACTCAATTCAATTTATCAAACTGTAATTAAAGCTTAAAAGGACTAGAAAACATAAGCTATTAATACTTATCATCTTCTGAGCCTCTACCATACATCAAAACCTAAGTTATATGTACCACATACCTCAACCTGAAAGTTACTATTAGCCATACTTAAAGAAACTGAGGCTCAAAGAGGTTAAGTGATTTGTCAATGAATGAGGGATTTGAACTCTCTAAACCCCAGAACTATCTTTCTAATTGCCCAAATCAAGAATTATTGCTCTTGCTACATTTATCAAACTACAGGTCTCTTGAACTCTGTTCTACATATCTCTGTGTTCTTGCTAAATACCCTGTGTATAACAACTGATTAATAAATACAGTCTGAATAAGCACACAAAATTAGGTGCACTAAAAAATCAATGAACAATTTAATCATATCCTAGACAGTCCTAAAGATATCTCTTTGCCTTTTTGGTGTGCAATGTAAGCCAAATACAAAGAACCTCAACTTATGATGGTTTGATTCACAATATTTTGACTTTCTGATGGTGTGAAGTGATAAACATTTTGTAGAAATTACTTTGAATTTTGATCTTTTCCTAGGCTAGCAAGATGTAGTACTACAGTTGCCATCAGCCAAGTGATCACAAAGATATACAACTGATAGTCTATTGTATACTGTGCTATAATATTCAGTAATTAGGCATATTAAAATGCATTTTTGACTTATAATATTTTCAACTCATAATGGGTTTATCAGGACATAAACTCATTGTAAATCTGTACTTGAAAGTTGGAGCCCATAGAACATGCTCACAAGGCTACCATACTACAACAGTGTGTACTTCAGAGGGTTATTCTACTTATCTACAGAATTTTAGCAGACCCAATAGATATACTTGTTTCTCATTTTTAATGTTATTAGAAAACTAAATTATTCAGACCTCAGACCTCATTTAGTGGGTCACAGAAAAGCTAACCTTGTTTGACCAGCTAGAGACAAAAGGATTCTGTGGTCAGGCCCTGAAATAGACAGAAGTAGGTCTCCTTAACTCTAAGATAGTAAATACCTCTTTCTTCCTTAACCAGTAATAGGTATTAGTATAATCTTTCCTAAAGACATTGAAGAGTACTGTAGTCCTTCTCAACACAGTGGTACTGCAGGCATTCACTACTACTGGAAGAATCTATTAGTTTCCAAACATTATCTCTACTTCTTTATTTCTATAGATATAGACAAAGGCAACTTAGATTATTACTCTTTCCCGGTAGATTCTAAATTAAAACGTATACTACAGTAAAATAATTTTGATATTGTATACAATTGTCACCAAATTTCTTAACTGAAATACTCTTTGTAGCAGATAATTTTTATATGACTATATCAGAAAACTGCAATAAACATCACTGAAACTTGGCACTTTTTTAATATTTATTTTTTAGTTGTATTTGGGCACAATACCTTTATTTTATTTGTTTATTTTTATGTGGTGCTGAGGATTAAATCCAATGCCTCGCACATGCTAGGCAAGTGCTCTACTGCTGAGCCACAACCCCAGCCCTGAAACTTGGCACTTTTGACTTCAGTGTGTAATTATGGAAACATTTAACTGTAAAATATGAGACTCTCAGTAAGAAATGTTTCTATAAAAATTAAAAGACTGTGATTAATTTATGTACTGCAAAAGAGAAATATGTTAAGAAACTATACAGCTAAAGGGAAGTCTAAAGATAAAAAAGAAAAAATTACCTTTGCTGATAAATAATGCTTGTAGTAGTACAACTGAAATAGCAGAAATGCTGAACTTGTCAATGTTAAAAGGGCCAAAATCACGTTCTTATTGATTCTACTCATTAGTCTGTGGTGTTCACTTGGTTGTCTTTCAAATGTAGCCAGGTTTTCATCTTTTTGGATAGGAAGATAATCTTGTTTTCTGTGAATAAAAATGTATTTCTGAAGAGACAAAAGCCTGTGTTTTAATTATTTTTACCTGTAACAATCAGCAACAGCATAGATAGTTTATCTAAAGTTTCACAGAACAGTCTGACCAACAGGGATTTTGGGGAGGGCTTCTCCAAAGTTTCTGATCCAGCAGATTTGGTATGGAACCTCTGAAAGAGCACTCTGACAAGTTCCTAGATGATATGGATGCTGCCGACAATATTGAAAACCATTACCACAGAAGAAACTGAGAAAATTTCTGGTCAAGACACACATGTATGATAGCTCTCCATAGTTTTTTAAAGATTTTCAAGAGTATGGAATCTAGGATGTGATCAGTTTTTATAAATGTCCCATGTATGTTCTCAGTTTTTTGCAAATGTAATGAATACCATTATAAATAATTTTGTTTTTTCATCTTGGATGCCATCTCTGATTATTTAAGATAAGAAATTTAGTATAACTATGCTTCTACCTTTTCTCCAATATTTGCTTTTGATTAAATATATGCTGTTTAGATTGTTTTAGGTGGACACAATATCTTTATTTTACATTCATGTGGTGCTAAGGATAGAACCCAGTGCCTCATGTATGCTATATGAGCACTCTACCACTGAGCCACAACCCTAGCCCCCTAGATAATCTACTTTATTCCTATAAATACGCTAATACCTTTATTACTTGATGTCTAAGTTTTATATGTCTTTTGTTCTCTACCTAACAAATAAAACATTGGCAAGTTTATACCACCTTCTGCCTTCTATCCTTTTTCAATCCTGACTTTTACTAGTTACTTCTACTTTGTAATAGTTCTACACTATTCCATAACTACAAATCTCATTTTGTTTTTATTCCTATAATGTCCCCCGTCAGTCCTATTGCTGTATTATCTCTGTTCTTTTATGGATGACTGATATTCATCTTTTGGCAATTTATCAAGAAGAACTTATTACAGTTTCCACTAATGTTGAGTTTTTGCATTGTTCAAAAATAACTGTCAATAGTTTGACAGTCTGGGTTTGAGGTCACACTTTATCTCCCTGATAACTTATAGGCTATTACATTATCCTGTAATGCTAAATAGTCCCTTGAAAATATCTGATTCCCCAACACCACTTATAGTTAATCTAATTCATTAATGAGACAAGCAAAGGATGCATTCCTTACCTATGAAATTCAATTTTTGTTAAGCTAGATTATGTAATGATATGTATATTAGTTTCCTCTTAATCTTTATGTGTCCTTTCAATCTGTTAAGTAAAGATAACTGTGGAAATTTTTCTTAAGTTATATGTTCAAACAGTTTTTAATTCTCTATTTCAAGAACCCCAATTAAGCATTTGTTTATCTCTTTTCATTCTCATTAACTTTTGCTCAATTTTTAGAAGTCTGTCATCATATCTTTTTCTTAGTTTTCCATTTTCCTCCAAAGTTTCAGATTTTGTCTTTCTTTCCTAAGCTCTGCCAAACTATGTTTCATTATATGCTGTTGTCTTACAATTTCTTTCTAGCTCTTGAGCCAATTAACTTTGGTGTTTATTTAAAGGATAAACTTATTCTAGTAATTTCTTTAAGGCCAGTACAGTTTTCTCATGGGTTCACTATCATTTGTTTTTCCTTTGTTTCTTTTCTTGTAGGATTTTTGTGTACTGTGCTCATTTCCTTTTTATTATTATTTATCTTTGAATGACTTGAGTTCCCTCCGGATTAGTTATTTGCAGGAGTACTGTGAAAGGAAGAAACAACTGTGTTCTAGACTAGAGGTACTCTCTGGCATTCAGTAAAGCTCTTTCTGACAAAATGTTTTGTATAAGTGAATGTGAAAAAAGAGAGAGTGTGTGAGAATAAGCGAGAGAAAGGTGTTTACATATTACTATCTCCAAGTGTCAGAAACAGGTAGCAAAAGGCCACTCACAATCTCTCTTTTGCCTCAGCAAGAGTGTCATCTGCAAAGACAGTGTATTTGTGTGCCATCTCATTTTTTTTTTTTTCTTGCTTGCTGGTTCATTTTGCCAAGCAGTACGAGGAGGTTCCCAGAGCTTTCCTAAGTATCCAGATCCCACTGTAAACAACCTTTCCCTCTGTGTTCCTCCAGCTCTAAGACTGCTTTCTACAAGGATCCTCTTTAACATATTCCTGCTTACACTTGGCAGTCATTTCCCAAATATTTAGATTTGGGGTTACAAGTCTTCTAGTCTCAGGGAAAATGTAATTACATCTCTATCTCTCATTTTCTGTTATTTCAGTGGAATTTCAGATAGAAGAGGGCACAAATGTCTTTATTCTGTTATCTTAAAAGCAGAAGTCTTGGTTTGAAGTTTTAAAACATGTAAATGAGCTTATAAAGCTGAAGCCTAGGTAAAACCAATACTCTTAAGAAATTACATAAGATCAGCAAACTACCTAACAGAAATGATAGCTATCAGCAGTAATGTAAATTATCTACCTCATCTACAGATAATGTATGTAAGCATAGACAAGTGGATAAATCATGGTATTCCTTTCCTAAAACTGTGAAAACTATCAACATGCAGCAAAGTTGATGATGGTGTTATTTTCTGCTGTCACCTAAAACCTGCTAAAATAAAATCATTAAATACTCTGATAAAGACTGTTTACAGGATAACAAGGAGAATATACTTCAAGATTTCAATTCAGTTTCTTGTGCCTATTTTAAATTATACATCAATGTATTATATGCTGATTCCTAGTGGTATTCAGATTGTGCCATCGCTTACATTCTCCTAAGCTCAATTATCAAAATTCGAAGCTCAATGCCAAATAATGGTAAACACTAGAAATCAAATGATAAATATGATACACTTCCCCAATTTCTAAGAGTTTAGAAATGAGTATGGGAGCTTTCCCAAAGAACAATGACAGCAGTGATGGTGGTGGAGGATGTGATGCACCTAAAGAAGAGGATGGGAAGGTTTTCCAAAATGTGCAAGACCCATGCCTTATCATCACTACATCTACTAAAAACCACTACTCTAGTTTGAATAGACTCAATCATAGATAAACTATAATAATAAAATAATAAAAGGCAATAATAATATAGTGCAATTGCTATGCTGGAGTACAAGTCACTATGGACACATAAGGAAAGGCAACTAACTTTAAGGCTTTTACTGATTTATATTTTGAATCCCAGTAATTGGTGTACACTACTCATTTCCCTCATAAACCTAAAACTGACTGAATTAATATCAAGTAATAGTAGGTATATAAGTATACTATAATATACTACCCAATGTTCAAGAACATTAAAACTATTTACATAAAAGGTCTCTGTCCTGCAGGAAGTTTACCATAAAACATAATATGAAATATAAAAAAATAATTTTTTAGAGTTTAAAGCCATATATGGCTCCAATTATCAAACAATAAATATTAAAAAGTCACATAAAAAGATATGGCATGGAACCTAAGTAAAAATATTATTGGTGTACAAATTCCATCACAGTAAAAACACTAGTAGATAATGCATTTTCTTTTTAGAGGAGGAAGTTGATTTGGGGCTCACAGTTTAAGAGGTCTCAGTCAATGATCAGCTGGCTTCATGGCTCTGGGTTTGAAGTGAGGCAGAAAATCATGGTGGAAGGGCCTGGTAGAGGAAAGCTTCTCAGCTCATGGCAGCTAGAAAGCAGACAGTTTGGGAAGAGTGAGGGGAGGATAGATAGACACAAGACATAATCTCCAAGGGCACACCCCCAGGGCCTTACTTCCTTCAGTCATACTTCACCTGTCTACAGGTACCACCCAGTAGTCCATTCAAATTATTAATCCATTAAGTGGATTAATCTACTAATGAGGCCATAGCTTTCATCATTACCTAAAAGTCCTATTTCTTAACCTTAGAAAGCATATGGATTGTGCTTTCAAAACATGAGCTTTTTGGGGAACATTTTAGATCCAAACCATAACATTCGGTCCCTGGCCCCCCAAAGCTCGTGTCCATCTCACAGTGCAAAACACATTCAGTACATCTCCAACAGTTTCAGCATTGTTCAAAAGTTCAAATTTAAAGTCTCTTCTGAAACTCAAAGCAAACTCTCCACTGTGAAGCCCTGTAGAAATCAAAAACAAATTACATATATTCAATACACAATGATACAGAGTAAACACTCCTATTCCAAAAGGGAGGAATAGGGGCATAGAAAGAAGGAATGGGAGCAAGGCAAGATCGAAACACAGCTGGGAAAACAAGTCCTGCCATCTCCACATACAGCATCTGGGGCACATGGTGGGAAGACTGATCTCCAAAGGACTTGGGGCAGCCCTGCCCCTTTGGCCTGGAGGGTTGCTGCACACATGGCCTCTTAGGCCAGCTGTGTCTGCAGCCAGCAGCTTTCCTCAGGAGACATTTCACATTATTGGCATCTTTTAATCCCACACTGCTCTCTCATGGGTTGCTTGAAAAGATTCTGACCCTGCTACACTTTGCATAGCCTCCCAACACCTTATTACAAAATCTCAGTGGAAGCCTCCATGACCATTAATTAACTCCTGCATCATGCTTTCCTGGAGACCAACAACATGTTGGACAATGCTAAAGTCTTCTGCCAGTGTGAGCAGCAGCTGGGCCCCCTTAGACCATGGCTGCATCAGCCCAAGTACCTAGACAGCTGAGCATGATGAAACAAAACACTGGGGAAGCAACTTCCTGGGCTTCATTGGCTGGGCAAGCAGGGTGCCCCAATGGTTGCTCCTTAAATGAGTTTTCACCTTTACACCCTTGATCTTGCCACCTTGAAATTTCCTACACCAGGTTAATTAGTCCATCATCTTAAAATTCAGTCGACAGAAAGTCTCAGGATATGGACAAAATGTAGACAAATTCTGCATCAGAATATAATGTGTGGCCTCTACACTAATTCCCTTTGAAGTCCCTGTTCCCATCTGAAACCTCATGAGCATAGTTTTCCCAGTCCACATTTCTACAGGCATTGTGTTCTTCTGGGCTCCAATCAAAATCAGCCATTAAGTTCTGCTTACAACACTCTAAGGCTTCTCCACCTGTATCTCCAAACTTTTCCAAAATCCTCTGGCAAATCAGTTTTAAGGGTTTCAGAATCATATGGTGAGGTATGTCACAGGAAGGACCCAACTTCTTGGTACTAGTTACTGTGTTAGCCTTTCATCTCTGTGACCAAAATACCAGACAAGAACAACTCAGAGGAGAAAAAGTTTATTTTGGGCTCACAGTTGCACAGCTCTCACTCAGTACATGGTTAGCCAACTTCATGGCTTTAGGCCTGAAGTAAGGCAGACATTATGGTGCACAAACATGGCAGAGGAGGCCACTGTGCTCATGGCAGCCAGGAAGCAGAGAGTGCAATAACTGTAAGAAAATATACTTAAGTTTCCTAAAGAAGATGTATATTGTGTCAATGGGAAAAAAAAAAGAAGTATTACAGAGATAATAAATCAAGATGAGAGAAAATGAAGGAAAAATGATGGTAAATGTTTGTAGGAAAAAAAAACAAAGTTGATGGGATGCTTAGTTAAGAGGTTTAAGCAGTCCAAGTATCTTGAAGTTCTAATGTAAATATGAGAAGGTTAATATAAGTATAGTATATTACAGCACACAATTACTCTTACATAAACAGAAATCTAAAAATGAAGAAGAAATGGGTAGATCTTCCCAGCTAAACCATGGATGGATAATGGGTATCAGAGCTATCATTCCTCTCAATCTTTAGGCCTGAGACAGCTAGAACCCAAGACTGGCCACCTTCATCTAAGAACAAACACCTTCTTTTAATCTTTTATTATCAACTTTACTGTGTGCTAAGACACAAAAAAATGTTGGGAAAAAATTGGTAGTAGATAAAAGTCATCCACAAATGTGATGGAAAATATATAGAATGAGAAGTTCAAAATTGTTTTCAGATGACTCTTTCTATAGCCAAGATCAGTACTGCATATTCTTTCAGCATCCTACTTGCCTTTTTACATTATTATTCTTTTGAAGGCACCGGAATGAAAGACATTGGCCTTGACATGAGACATGTCCTGACCCTCACATTTTTAAGAACTGCCTGAGTTGGGTCTGTTTGAAGGATTATCAACTCCGCCCTGCTTTTTAAAAATTCCACTTCTTCCTACTCCTACCTCTGGATCACCTCTGTTGAAATCAGGGCCTCTTGGACAAGCACCGACCTGCCTTGACATTTAACTTAGGTTATAAAATTATGTGTTAGCCTGGACATCTCATCGCTGCTAGGTCCCAACTTACTCAGTGTAGTATAAGCCAGAAAAACTGACAGCAAAATAAAACAAGTTGAACCACGAAGGGAAGAGGATAATGGAATTACGGTTAGAAGGCTGAGGTAACAGGATGGGAGGCATAAAGAGAAAATGATTCTGAAGATGTATTTCAGAGGTAAGACAAGTCAACAATTTCCTGATGTCCCAGAAGCCAAAAAAGGCTCACTAGCATAGCTACTCTCCAATCTTCTCTAAATATTGTTGTTCTTTTTAAAAATTAATTTATTTGTTCTAATCAGTTACACATGACAGCAGAATGCTCTTTGATTCATTGTACACAAATGGAGAACAATTTTTCACTTCTCTGGATGTGAATGAAAATATTAATTATTCTAATATTTTCCCATATTTGGAGTAAGGGAATGGTGTTAAATCAAGTTATTTTTAGGTAAGTAAATTCTTCCCCTCAAGATGCAAGTACTGAATCGCTTGGTTGAAGACATTTGGATATTTACGTTAGTAAAACTGCAAAGTTAACAGAATTAAACACAGGGTTCCAGGTGTGTGAAGTACTCAGTAAAACCTTTAAATGTAAATATATTTACACATATAAAATCTGAATGGATATTTACCGATAGTAACAATGTTTATTCTTGGGGAGAATTTGGGATTTTTACATTGTTCTTTGAGCTTTTCTAAATTATCCCAATAATTTTATAATGAGCATGTATCCTTTTTATAATGAATATTTTTTTTTCATTTTAAAACTGATGATGGATAATATTAAGTGGTTTAATAACCTGACACATTTGGGAAACAGGATCTAGACTCTTGTCATTTACAAGTATGATCCTTAGATCAGTAATATCAGTTGGTGCTTGTTGGATATAGAGAATTTTCAGCCCCAACGTCAGAATTAGATTCATAATGTAATTTTTAACAAAATCTTCAGGCAACTCATATGTGCATTAAGCTTTCTGAAAATCACTGATCTAGATATTAAGACCTTTATATACAGGAACAATAAGAACAATGTTTAAGTTGTTCATCATGTCTCTAGTGCCTAGCAGTGCCTTAAACACATATTTAGTGAATAAATATGTAAATGATATAGCTTCTTGGTAAACAATCATAATACAAGTGTAAATACCTATTTCAATCATTCATTTTCTGCTGGGTTTACCAGAAGTGGGTGAAGAATATTTGCCGTAAATGCTATTTGTAAATTACTTCAATAACAATGTTGGTTCCCTAGAACCTATAATTATATATAATTCTTTTTTTTTAAAAGGAGTCTTACTCTTTTTTGTTGTTGTTGTTGAAGTCGGGCATACTACCTTTATTTATTTCCATGTGGTGCTGAGGATTGAACCTAGGGCCTCACAGGTACTAGACGAGCACTCTACTATTGAGCCACAATCCCAGCCCCAGGAATCCTTACTCATTGATCTGAGATCCACAGGCCTCATTCAATGATTTCTCTAGCCTCCTATGTACGGGTTCCTATAGTTCCTGTCTCTAAAACCTCTCCCTCAACACAAATCCAATCTCTCTTTTAATTACCAAATCCAAGAGAAAACTTACTATTTTAAATCCAGTCTACTTACTCTCTCTGCCTGTTTCAACTCTGTACCATACACATCAAATTTAACATTCAAAGTTAAATGATTTTATTCTGTATCAACTCTCTTCCTTTTTCCCTTCAGAAGGTAGCTCTCCATCCTCACAGACTCAAATTTTTACAGGAGAGAGACGACCTGGCCCAACAACATCACTTTACAAAGGAGAGTAGGATCTAAAAGAATTAAATAATAGTCAAGAGGTTAATTATGGGAAACATTAGATTTATAATACAAATCCCCTTACTCTCAACACACTATTGCATGCTGGAATTTGACAGAATTCCCATTTTTGTCAATAGTACTTAGACGCGCTTTTTAGAAACACGGGTTCAAAATATCAATCATCTAGATCCATGAATCCAAATGCTGTGTTCTTTTGATATTTCATGCTTATCATCTTCTTCCTCTTCAGAACACTGCAGTTTCCACTTTGGAGTTCTTTCATCATTCAGTGCCATCCTTCCCAAATCTTGTATTTCTATTAATACACTCTAAAATATGAATGCTATTCCCGGAGTTTATAGCTTTATCCCTAGTGTGGTTCCTAATCATTTAAACCAAATCATTCTTCCTCAGAGTTCAGCTCAAGAGCCTTTTTTTCTGGGCTTCCTTCTTTCCCCAAATTTTAATAAACCACTTTATTCTCACTGATATTTGTTCACAGACTGATTTTTATTCATTGGAAATCTGCCATCCTTAAAGGCAGAAACACTCTGAGATATCAAGTGGATCATCTTTTTATATTTGAGAAAAACGAGTCTCAGAGAAAAGTAGCTTGCTTCAAGTAACTTGAGAACTTGGTGACGGTGATGAAATTTGAATGCAGTTCTTTGGACTCTTAAGGGCCACATTTTCACAGGTCCACTCAATCTTTCCCGACATTCCCCCATTAGCAACGCACAGACACACAGCAAAGCCACATAAAACTTTATTTAGCGCACCTAGCAGTGTCCATCCTATTATAAGCACACAAAAGGGATGCTTCAGTATACACTTCTCCAAGTGACTTGAAAGCTTAATTTTTTGGGGGGGTGGGGGTGGGGGTCTCGCCAAAAAGGGCGTCGGGAGCGAGATGGTTAATTAATTACCTTCTCTCTACAAAGCGGCTGCAGGTTTCCACTGCACAGAACTTCTTCACAGGGCATCAAAGCCCTTCCCAACTGGGGACCAACTTTAGTTTCAACCACATTATTCTTGCCTTCTCTCTTCTGTGGGCTCATTCCTCCAGCCACTACCCTAATATGTATGCAAAGCTGCCTAAACCTGTCAGTTTCTGTCCTCCTCCCACGACCTGAAACGCTGTCCCCAGAGATCCTCTCCCAAATTCCGGGTCAGCTCCCACAACTCGGCTCAAACGTCACTACCCTAACTCGGCTCCTCCAAGCCTCTCGACAGCCTTCCCCAAACTTGTCACAAGATGAGTTTACCTACTGACACGTCGGGGAGCGTGGGACGAACTGGCCGAAAGGACATCTACTACGAGGTGCTCCTCAACTGATTCACTGTCGAGAACCCAGCCCGAAGCGCGCTCAGCCTGTGGCCGGCCTCGACCTCCTCCCCGCGGAGAGGAGGGAGGGTGTTCAGAAGGGCGGGAGGCACCCGCTGAGGGTACCCGAATCTACCGCGAGACTTGTCCGAAGGCGACCGCCCATGCCCAGCCACCGAACTGAGGTTCCCCACACCTTACCTCCCTCCACAGCAGCGGCGGCAAGTCCGCTTTACGGCACTCACGGCAACGGCTGCAAAAGAGGCCGTCAAGCGCGGAGCCGCACTAACTGGGTCGGGTGGTGTCGGACTGACGGCGTGGTCACTCTGCACACTGCCTCGCCTCGTTCACGGTCCCTGCTGCTTTCTCACCGCCCGAGGTTTACGGTGACTTTAGGATCTAGCCACAACTCTAACACACTGTGGCAACCTAAGATTCTAGGAAAATCTGAGGGGACGATGACCTAAAGATGCATCAGCCGAGTTGTGTCTCCCAAAGCGTGTGAGTTCGCCAAAAAAGATATAGAATGTTAGCTAGATGGAAACTTCAGATAAAAAACGAGTAATTTTTTAGTGTATATGTTAAGCAGAAAGAGAGAGTCCGAAATATGTCCCTGAATTCTGGTTTGGGTACCATTGGTTGCGTTGGGACTTGGAGCGGGAATTAGCGGCTGTGTTTAATACTGCTCAGGAGCTTCAGTTGCCTGCGTGACACCTGGTTCCCGCAGATTGTTATCCTCCGATTTAGGGCTGGAAATACACACGCATACAATTTCGGATCTGGGTCTAACTTTTAGCATTTTAATCCAAAATATGAATTTTTGAAAACTACAAAGCACAAAACACTAAACAAATTAGTGTAATTTTAAGCATGTTCTACAAAAGAAAAAAAACCTGAAAACACTCGCTTTGAGATTTTGGTTCCTTCGTTTTTTTTTTCAGTACTGGTGACTGAATCCAGGGACACGCTACTCCCGAACTAAATTACTAATTAACCTTTTTATTTTTTGAGACAGGTTCTCACTAAATTGCCCAAGCTGGTCCTGAATTTATAATCCTCAAGCCTCAGCCTCAAGAGTAGCTGGGATTACAGGTGTGTGCCACCACACACAGTTCGAGTTCTCTAAACTTTCCTTTTAAAAATTCTGTTAACATAGAAAGGAAAGGAATAAAAAGTCTCACTTCCTAGAGGTTATCACTCTTATCAACACTTTTCCTTCAAGAAGTTTCCTGTGGGGCTGGGGATATGGCTCAAGCGGTAGCGATCTCGCCTGGCATGCATGCGGCCCGGGTTCGATCCTCAGCACCACATACAAACAAAGATGTTCTGTCCCCCGAAAACTAAAAGATTAATATTAAAAAAAAAGAAGTTTCCTGTGTATGTACAAGTTACTGTATAAGTCCTCTTATCTAGTGCACTTTGAACTAGTAGTTAGTAGGTTAATTAAAAAAAAGAGGGTAACAGCAAGAGGAAGTAGTCAGAAGTTAATGAGACTACTGGACACAGGTGCTAGCTTAAGGGGACTACCATGGAAATTTTGATCAAATAAATAACACTATTGATTAAAACATCAAATACATAAAATTTCTTGGGCTACTGAAAGAGTGGGACGAACATGGTAGAATGTTTGTCTACCGTGCATGAAGCCCTGGGTTCCATCCCCAGCACCACAAAACAAAATTGAGTTTAGACTTAATAAAAATAAAACTTGGCTTTACTGAAGATTGCCAGGGCACCAGCTCATTATCTTTTGAAACATGATAAAGGGAAAAACATAAAGCATTTATTATGCTTTTTTCCTGTAAACTGGGTTATTTCAGTGTGACAAAAAATAAGAATTCCAGCTAATGAAATGAGTAACAGATCATTTTACAATTCCTAATAATAGGCCAGTAATACTCATCAATAGATGCTAAAAATTAAGGTAAAAGGTTGATGGGAACTATAATTGATGGGTTAGGCTGGCACCATTGGAACCCACTGATAGACTTCATATCATTGTATGACACCCAGACATTAGGTGCTTCTTGATGTGTTGTGAGAAGGTAGTTAATACCTTCTATGAAGAATTCTTTCCCCCAAACTGAAACTGTATTTAATTAAAACTCTACATCTATCAGTATGGAGAAGTGATCCACTAAAATAACAATGTGAGACATTCTATAATAGCAATTTCCTAGTTTCTTTGTCATTTAAAAGGTGAAAAAGTTAGAAAGGGGAGAGGGACCTACTACAAAATCAGAAACTTAACCAAATGTTATGTGTGGACTTTATCTGGACCCTGATATGAATAATAAGCTAACCATAAAAAGATATTTTGGTAATAATGGAAGTTTTAGTATGGATTAAGCCAATAGGTAGTAGTTAAAAAATTACTGTTAATTTTTCTAAAAATTTAATGGAATGTGGGTTCATTTAAAAAGCCATCATGGATGTGTACTGCAATACTTATCAGTGAGATTTTTAAAAAAATGTAAACATGGCAAGTGGAAATTATAATTGAGTAACTAGGAAAGGAGGAAAGTGTCAGGTGTTTAGAAGTAAGTACTTTTCAAGTACATAGCAAATCTTGTTCTGTAACAACCTAAAAAAAAAAAAAAAAGCAGTTTAAAGGAGATGATTACCCTGTCCAATTTTCTGATTTGAGCTAATTTTTTTTTTTAAAGTATGGGTCAACTAAAGTTTCTGTTTTTCTTACATAAATCACAGGATAATGTGTCATCTATAATTCTTAGTTTTTGGGTTTTTTTTTTTTGTTTTTTTGGTTTGTTTGTTTTGTAAAGTGGACCTTACGGTCCACTTTTTTTAAAGATACAAGTGAAGGAACTTGAATTCAGAGTCCTGGAAAAAAAATTGTGGGGCTGGGTGTGCAATCCTCCGTTATTATTTATAATTATCTTGGGTGCAACTAACTTGTTGGAAACTTTAGTTCTTCATCTCTAAAAGTTTTCCCTATTTTCTTTTTAAATTTTTTTTCCTGTAGTTGTGTATGGACAGCGTACCTTTGTTTATGCTTATGAGGTGCTAAAGATTGAACCCAGTGCCTCACACATGCTAGGCAAGCGCTCTACCACTGAGATACAGCCCCAGCCCTTTCCCCATTTTCTTATAAATAACTTCATATTGTTTGCATTGGTTTATATACTATGTAAATTATAACAATGTCTGCCACTGTCAAACAGACCTGGGGACAAACACCAGTATTTCTTAAGTATACTAGAGGATCAGCTATGAGCCTTCAGCTCACCATGTCAGTCAGTATGCTTTAATATCTGGTTAGCCAGTGTAATTACAAGAGGGGCACAAGGGTGGATAACAGCCACCTCCATTACAAGCAAACATCCATGTTTAAAAATTCACTCAGGTACGTGTGTACATATACATCTTGGCACATTTCTAACATTTGTGGGATCTAGGGCAAAAATACAAATGGAGGCCAAGCCTCATGTTTGTCTCTTATGAAGCTGGAGCTAACCATCAAATGTTATTTCCATCTACCTTAATATATTGATATCTCAAGGAACAGAAATCCATTTTCAAATATAGAATTCTCAGATTCTTCAGATATGTGCTGAAGAATTACAACATGAATACTAGATTGACCTTGGACATATGTGGGCATCCCAGTCTGCACAGCCTAAATCCATTCACATTTCCTACAAACTGCCACTCACTGGGATGTTATGGTTGGATGTGAGTATCACACAAAAGCTCTAGTGTGAGACAATGCAAGAAGGTTCAGAGGAGAAATGATTGGGTTGTGAGTCTTAACCCAATCAGTGATTTAACCCCCTGATAGGGATTAACTGAGTGGTCAGTGAAGTGCTAGGGTGTGGCTGAAGGAAGTGGGAATTGGGGCGTGCCTTTGGGTATATATTTGTAAGGGTGAATGAAGTCTCTCTGCTTCCTGATCACCACACTTGAGCTTTTGCCACTCTTCTGCCATGATGTTCAGCCTCACCTCGAGCCCTGAGGAATGGAGCCAGCCTTCTATGGATTAAGACCTCTAAAACTGTAAGCCCCAAAATAAACCTTTCCTCCTTTACAGTTGTTCTGGTCAGGTCCTTTAGTCATTGCAGTGAAAAAGCTAAAACAGGATATATTCACCTGTAATAAATACCCGGAGTACAATCTTTTGACAGGATGGACTTTGGGAAGAGACCTATACATGTCCCAGAGGACAGCTTCAGGCTGATCAGGCAAGGAATTCTGAGGTGCTGGCTATGTAGAGCATAGTCTAGAAGTGGGTAGAGGAACATGGATTCCAAGGAGTCACAATCCCTTGGCTCCTTCAATTTTTTATTCCATGGAGAGTCATAGCAACAGTGTGGCAATCAGGCCATGATCCATCTCCTCTGACTTAAGTCTGAATTCATGCACACACTCATGGTATCATATGATGGATAAATCATTTGTTTCATAATATGAGTAACTTTCCATTAATAGTACATCTGAAGCTGGGGTTGTGGCTCAGTGGTAGAGTGCTCGCCTCGCATGTGTGCAGCCCTGGGTTCAATCCTCAGCACCACATAAAAATAAATAAATAAAGTGAAGGTAATGTGTTCAATTACAACTAAAAAATTAATATATTTTTAAAAAAGTACATCTGTTATATGGAAGCACCATAATCAGTGCCTGCTGTGTTGACTTTTTTAAGTAGGCATAAATGCATCACTAGTATGCAATATAAATGCAAAATAGGAATAAGGGAAAACTGGGACAGAAAAATCCAAGTTTCCCAAGCTCTTATCCAGATATCCTAGCCAAGTGCAGCAGGATTGGTCTACCAAGAAAAGGCTCCAGTGCAGGAAGCCAACTCCCATAATGGTCTACATATTATAACATTATTAGAGGGTGGTGTACAGAATGTCTATATTACTTTGACTTTTTAAAAATACTCTCTTTTCCAACAATCACATTGTAAGCATTTAAATACACATTGATGAAAATCAAGCACTGAAGCAAAAGAAAGAGAAAAATGTTTAATTTTTAGATGAGATATTCCAAGTGCTTTTGTAAAAACTTAACTAGGATATTCTATACACAACATACTATTACTTAAACATACAAGTTACTACACTTCAAATACTCTATTTTAAAGACAACCATTTTAAAGCTTTGTGTTGTTTCTAAGGAAAATGAGGCAATATGTTCATTAACTCAGTGTTGCAGAACTGAGCATATATGTGGTTTATTAATGTTCTTCATCCATAACTTAAAGGTTAAACCTGAGGAATTAGAATTTTTATTACTGCATAGTGAAACCATGTCCAGATAATAGACATATGAAATTTGTAGATTAACATAACTTGTAAAAATCCCCATTAATAAATCTAATTTAAAGCAAAATAAGTATGTGAGATAATAAATGATATTTAGGTTTACTACAAGGTTTTGAAATGCATCTTGTTTTTTAAAAAGGACAATGCAATACTGTTGTCAAATGTTCACTGAGCACACAAACTCCTGAACCATTTAGTTGTTTGGAAAAAAAGTTATTCAGGCCAAATTCACTCTTTGCACATGGCACTGAGTAGTCTTAAGCTGAAAGTTCAAATTCCTGTATGGAAAAGTAGCAGCTTGCTTAAAAACTGTTTCTTTATGCTATACTTCTACACTGATACACTAATGCCATGGAAGAACTTTTACTACTCTAAAAAGTCTTAAAATAGATAAGAAAATATTAAAAGGCCACAAGTAATGCACAAACTAAATTAATATTATATGACATCTTGATAAAAGGTTTTATTTTAAAAATCACATTTAAAATCAATGATGATACCACTTTAAGAACATGCTTTATCAAAGTAAATGGCATTTAGAAGTATCCGAACACTTAAATCCATTAACTAAAAATAACAGCTTACATTTACATAGCACTTTGCTGTTGTTGAAGCAATTTCACATACTCCATCCATTTATTCCTCACAACAGCCCTGTGAGGTAGGCTGAACAAGTTACAATTATTTTAACCCACTGTCTCCTCCTATGTATAGGACACCTATAAAAACTTAAATTGAGCAATTTTATAGGTTTTTATAGGTGTCTTATATTTGGGAAATTGAGACATAATGAGTTAAGTAAGGCAACAGAGGCCCAAAGGTGATGAGTGATTTACACAATTGTCACAGACCTAGTATATGATAAAGCTAAGGTGATAAATTTTGAATACTTTTGAAAAAGATGCCAAAATCATCTTAATATCACATATAGGTATTTTAAAGACTAGTGGTTTTTAATATAAATTATATTACTCTAAAACTTTAGCTATTATGTATCTTATAGTATGAATTAGTTATAAATTTGATTTTAAAGAGTCTCCCTTAGATTAGGTGAATTAGACTCAGTGCTTTGGTACCTTAGAGATATCAGAAATGTTTTATATATGTTTTTAAAAGATGGATTCTCATTGTTCTGTGCTCTCCAAAAAGTTCCAATATTAATAAAATGGCTTTTGCCAATCACTTACAATTTGACTTATTTTAAATTAGTCCAAACTTAATAAGTGCCAAGCCAAAGCAAACACGTTCACCTACCTTCTGCCCTACATTACTGTGAAATCCTCTATACATCCATTCCTAAGGACTAACATATATTGACTGGGTATTATTAAGAAAACACATCACCTTAAACAAATATAACTTAAAAGATTATGAATCAAAAGTCAGTACCCTATACTGACCCCAAAATAACAAATACTTTTAGCTTAATAATTGGGTAGTCCAAGGAGAAAAGTACGGTGGCAATTTCTGGTATCTGTTTATTAAGCCAGTACTAACCTTTATATGACATGTCCAAAACCAATTAAAAATGTTTATGTAGGTTAATCATATATTCCAGGTAACAGTGCTATCATATGTGACATTAAAAATCACACATAATTGCAGAAATGTAAATACTGTAAAAAAAAAAACCACTAAAACTACTATGAACATGAGGTAATCTTGCTATGATGGCTAAGAAAACATGATCTTTATAATACTCCAGTGCTGGCATTATGAAATGTACGTTTTGGTTAAAAATAACAAATAATTTTATGGTTACCTGTATACAGAGTGACCATACACTTCTCTGAAAGACTATATCTAGTAAAAATAAACTCAAGAAATAAGCTTTGCTGAACCTATGTTATGTGATTACATAAAAGTGAACCATATTATACGCAGTTAATTTGAGCTTTTTAAAAGCTAACAAATTTACTTTTTAACACTTCTGACTTTTTAACAAAACATTATTTTTAAAATGCAGTCTCAGCATACTAAAAAGAAGCAAAACTAGCTGCACAATAAATTGAATACACTAGTTTTGAAAATGTGAATGCAAAGTAATAAAATTTTCACTGCCATATCACAGACACTCAAATATTTGTTTTATGAATTAGCCTATCAATGAACACAGATCTAATAAATACATTCTTTAAGAAATTATGATGATTTGAAAATTGCCAAATTTTTAAACCCCAGAATCACATATTTCATAATAAGATGTTATACTTTCTTTTAAAACTCTTTGAGGAATAATCATTTTTAACATATATCCTTTTCCAAAATTGTTTTTAAAAGAAATAATAATATACAAATAACAAAAATTTTATGGAAACATAAAAAAACCTAATTATTCTAAGTAAGTCATGAAACAATATCTTAGCCTAATTAAAAGATTTTATCACAAATATTTACTTTTATTATTTATACCACCAAGGATCACAGTTCAAATTATACATGATATTATTCATGCTTTAATTTCATAAATGAGAAAATAAATGCAAGTTAATATGTCACTTTATATAACACAGGGAATGGTTACTATTTGCAGAACAAGGTAAGCTGTATAGCAGTAGTTAATGGTTTGTCAAATGGTACAGATGCCAATAATTAAACCCATGTACAGACAAGATATGCCCCTAATACTGTAAATTTATTCACCTATACCTGGAACATTCAAATAATTACTGTATATTAAATTTCTATGTGCATTATTATTAAATGCTTGGTATATACATATTTACCAAAGTTAAAGATGTATGTGACATGGTAAGCTGCAAGTGTCAAAATGAATTGTAGAAAATTTCCTTTTCTAAAGTGCTTAAGGCAGCTCCTTCATTTCTATATCCAGTTTAATACAACTGGCTTGGAATTCAACTGGTAAGAGGGAAATGCAATACTAATGCATATTTTTATAAAACATAATTTTTGCACCTACGATAGTCAACTTCTCATGCATTTCTTTTATAGAAAGCAGTCATGTTTGACCTGTCAAAACAAAAGGTAAATAAAGCAATAAAGGATATTTAAAAGTGTTTAGCAACTTTCCATAATGAATTGAGCAAGAGAGCTCATTATAACTCAAAACATCAATGAAAATGTTAAATATTATCAAGTTAATAGTTACCTTATTTGAGATTATTTAAATAGGCACTATATTCAATTATTTTTTAGTTTAAAAATGAGGATGACAGACTTTTTCATCCAACTTAAAATTGTTAAACTAAAACACTTCACATTTTGCTCTTAATTTAGAGACCCTGAAGCAGCAGCAGAGAGGGAGCCTTCAGATTCTAATTTTGATGTAATGATGGTATAATTTAATATCAAGTATTACATGTGATGTGAGCTTGGACTCCAGATTTACTGAATTTATTACTACAAAGCTGCTAGTAATTAATTCCCAATGAAATTAGAACATTTTGCAAATGAGTGTTAGAAAATTTATATGCAAATTCCAAATGATGGCAGAACACAAAAAAGAATTGTATGCACTCTTTCAGCCCAATTAATATTTCATTTTTCCCATGCCCTTGCAACAGAAGGCTCTCACAACTGTAATATGTCTGGCTTAAATATCAGTTGACACTGCATGAGGCATGAAGAAAGAGCATGCTTAGAGGAAAAAGGCACTGAATTAATGAGAAGACAATTATATAATACATAATAGTAAAAAAAATTCTATACAAGAACATCTGGGTTTTTTTGTTTTGTATTTGCTAAAATATACTGTGTACAGCTTTTCACACAAAGCCACTCCACTAAATTACTGCTTTGGAGTGTGAAAGGAAATAAATTCCTGTTTCCTTGGGTCTTAGAATAGCCCTTCTATAGGGAATAGAACTTTCCAAAAATTTCTTTCCAAATACAACAAACAAAAACCAAAATTATACTTGGAGACTCAAGACTATCTATTGACATACTTTATTCCCTTAACTGCCTTACAGTCTTTAAAATTACCAACCTATTATTAGATAATAGTGTGGATATCTGTCCTCTAGAAAAGAAAATAATACCCCAGGTCAAATATAAGTCCTCATTTACATCTGTTTTTATCAATGAAACAAAACATCATATCGTAAGCAGTAAATTTTAAGAGGGCAGGTCTTTTTATAGAAAACAACTCAAATGTAAGCAACAAAGGTACAGAAGAAGGCTGTCATATTACAAGATATTTAAAATGAGAATGAAAGAATAAAAGAAATTAAAAACTAAGTAAAATATAAATTTTAATTTCTTTAAAATGCTCAAGGAAATCTTAAATACTGTAATTATAACTTTTAGTTTAGCTCAAAGGACTTGAGTAACAAACTTTGATCAATTTTTTAAGAATAGATTTGTTCTGTTCAATACCACTCATTGTTTAAATTTAAATATACCACTCCCAAGGCTGGGAAACATGACTATGTTGATTTTTAGAAGAATTATACCCCTTTAAAAAGCATATGACTTTAGCAAAAAGGATAAGGGGGTAAAAACCCCCAAAACCTCTGAATGGTTGGTTGAAAAACACACCAATTAAGTCAGAGATATGTAGATTTTTTTCCAGTTGTTTCAACCTTTCCTACATCTTATTAAAAAGAATAAATAATTACTAAAGAATACTTTTAGGTACATCCCTTTGGTATTCTACCCTTAACCATGTTAAAAATTTTTTCATTCCTATTAATTTTTTTAAAAAAATGAGTATAATTACAATCAGTGCCAAATATGAGTGGGGAATTTTATCAAAGATAACTACTAAAGGTAGGGTTAAAGTAGACAACAATACCAGAAAACATAAGGCTTTTAAAAATCTTGCTGAACATTCAAAGTGATGGAATGCAAAGTAGTCAGAGCAAACCCTTTGCCATTGTGTTACTATAGCAGATACAAAACTGAAATCTGGGTGATTTTAAGCTTTTTAAATTCTTCATATTCACTCTGTATTTGGAGTTATAACTACAAGAGAAATACCAATATATTCTGGAAAGTAGAAGATGAGATAAAAACTAGTCAGTAAATAGGTTAATTTAGCAAAACTCAACTTATTTATAAAAGGGGGAAATACACCATTGTAAGAAAAAAAAAAAAAAACAAACTTCTACTGTCCCCAATCAATGATTTCAATTTTTAGAAAACCTTGGTGGGGCTGGGGCTATGTAATTTTAAAGATTTAGTGTATACTAAATAACAGGTAGTGATGAGATAGGAAAAAAGAAAGTCAAGAAAGAAAAGCAAATTTTTAAAGCCTTTCACTTCAGGCCCTAGGATTACCAAATGTAATTAAACATTTTAAAAGAACAAAAGTAATTAAAGAAACACAAAAACGAGTTTCTATATAAATATTTAAACACTGCCTTCTTTCCTATTTACTCTTCAAAACATCAGTTTCTTGCTCCAGAACTGCTTGCTTCTATGATATTGCACAGTAGATTCCTGTAAATGCTTCATACTAGATGCTTAAGCTAAGAGATTCCAGGCCTTAAAGCAGAACATAGCAAACCTGATTTCCACCACTCACAAATTTCTGTGATAGGTAACTGCACAGAAAAGGCCACCCAGTCAAGAGGGAGGGTAAACATTCTGCATAGGCGTTACTGAGTAACATTGTTCAGGCTGCTGGCTGAACCAGTCATTCCATTTTCACTTTTCTGAAGTGTTCTCACAGCACTTGGAACCTGCATCCCAGTACTCAAAGAAAGTCCACCACACCAAACCTAAGAAAAGACAAAAACAAATCTCAAGTCAGATTTCAACTCAAATCAGAAATTCAATGATTCTTTTTTTTTTAAGAAATTAAATGATTCTTAAATTTCTATTTGAAAGGCAAATGCCATGCATATGAAAATTGACAGATCCCAAATTGATAACCTTCATATTTGAGCTGAGGGGAAGTAGAGAGGCTCAGTATTCTTTTAAAGCTGCAAAGGCCAAAAGGAAGTCTTTGTGGTAGCTGAAGCCAACAAAGCTGAACCCAAGAGTGGAAACTCAGGGCTGCAGAAATTGAGAAACTGAACTGGATCAATCTGTGCAAAAGAAACTGGCTATCATTACTGATGTTAACCTTCACAACCAAGGAAAGTGTACAAAGAATCAACTTCCCTATTCCAATCATTGCTTTTGGTTTTGATGTTACCATAGGAATCTAACAACCCTGTGTTAACAGAATAAAAACCATTTGATTTCTTCCCTGTGTTTTTAACAATAAGAACTTGAATAATTTTTTGAGAAGGACTTCTAAGAAAACTGCAAATGACAACATCCATATGTACTTGCCATGTTCTATTAATTATGAAAAATATGAATGAATTTATGAAAGATATAACTGCTTTGCATGTGAAAAAATACTGATTTGATAAAGTAAAAAAGATTTGAAAAAGTCAAGATGCTTAAAATATGAACATATGGACCATCTAAATTATCATTAGTTTGTGCAAGGAAAATTCAAGTTCTTTATGTATATTCACTCTCAATTATATCCTGTATCATTCAGTATTTACTACACAGCGTATTTAACCAAAGAATCTACTGCTCTGTAAAATTTATAACTAATACAATTAACATTCTAAATTTTTAAAACTAGCAGGCTCAGTAATGATAAACTCCCAAAACACAAATCAATCCTCAAATTATAAAATTTATAGGTTACCTTTTAAAAGTTATTTAATTGACTTAGAAAAATATTTAATCAAAATAGCACAAAGGTGATAATGAGAAAGTTAAAATCTTTTTCAACAAATGGTACTAGAAGAACTGGATATCAATATACAGAGAACATGAAACTCCAACTATACTATACAAAAGCTAACTAAAAATGGATCATAGACCTAAAAAGAGAACCTAAAACTGTAAAACTTTAGGAAGAAATACAAGAGAAAATCTTTGTGACCTGTATGCCATGCATATGTATAGGTACGTATAAGCAAAGCATTATCCACAAATGGGAAAAAAATGGATAAATTGGACTTCATCTGAAAATAAAAAACTTCACTTTGGAAATGTCTATAAAATGAAAAGTCAAGCTATGAACTGGGAGGTAACATCTGCAAAAATTTTTGCATTTATACCCAAAATTTATAAAGAACTCTTAAAACAATAAGAAAACAAATTAATATCCCAAGAAAAGTGAGTAGAGAATTGTAACACATACTTCACCAGAGAAATTATGCAAGTGGAAAATAAGTGCATGAAAAGATATGCTCAACATAATTTGTCAGTAGGAAAATGCAAATAACAACAGGATAAAAAACCCACTATATATGGCTTATGGACAGTAAGAAAATGGCTTGTGGACAGTAAGAAAAATTTGACAATACCAAATGATACAAGGATATGAAAAACTTAAACATGGCTGTTGTAATGCAAAAATGGTACAGCCACCGTGGCAAACATTTTGGTAGCTTTTTACAAAGCTTTTAAGGAAAAAGAATTTTTATTGGTTCTTTTTATTATATGTAATATTAAGATTCATTTTGAAATAATTATAAAAGAACATAATTTGCTCTAATTTAGTCCTCAGTACTTGCCCTTTCCTCCTTCTCTTTCCTCCCCATGTTCCTTCCCTCTATTCTCCTGATCTATTAGTTTTTTTTTTTATTAATGTCATGGATATGCATGATGGTGAGACTGTATATTCATATATGTACATAGGAAAGTTAGATCAGATTCATTCCACTGTTCTTCCCTTAGCCTGTCCCTCTTCCCTGCCCCTCAATCCCCTTAATATAGTCCACTAATCTTTCTTCAATTCTGATGGAATTCCCTCACCTTTTCTCTCCCCCACTCCCTTCCTCCCTTATTCTGGACTGGCTTCTGAATATGAGAGAAAACATTTTACCTTTGACTTTGAGGGACTGGCTTATTTCACTTAGCATTATAGTCTCCAGTTCCATACATTTACCAGCAAATGTCATAATTTCATTCTTTTTTGTGGCTTAGTAATGCTCCATTGTGTGTGTGTGTATATATATATATATATATTTTTCTTTATCCATTCATTTGTTGGAAGGGGAACCTCAGTTGGCTTAATAACTTGGCTGTTGGAATTGTGCTGCTATAAACATTGATGTGGCTACATTCCTATAATATGCTGATCTTACATCTTTTGGATACGTACTGAGAAGTGAGAGTGGTTGCAATAATTTGGAATCACACCAACAATGAGAGTATACTTTCCCCTCCACATCCTCACCAACATTTATTATTAACTGCCATTAGGAAATACCAATGTAGTTTTGATTTGCATTGCCCTATTTCTAGAGATGCTGAACATTTTTTCTTATATTTATGACCATTTGTATTTCTTCTGAGAAGTGTCCATTTAGTTCTTTTGCCTATTTATTGCTGGGAGCCATTAGCCAAATAGGTATGACAATTTCCTTGCCAGCGTACCCCATGTTGCTGACATGTTGCAGTGACATTGAATGTACGTGACCTTGCTCAAGGACCAAGGCAGATTAGGGTGTTCCCGGTTTTAAGATAATCGTGTTTAGGGCGTTCCCAGTTTAGGTTCCAGGTTTAAGGTTTAAGATTATTCCTGCTGGGAATAGGGCGTATCCTGCTGCCTGAGTTCCCCTTGAGTTCTCACGGGATTCAGACAATATATTTTGGAGATAGAAGCCCAGTGGACGTGGATTTGGGCAGAGAACGTGGATTTCCCCAGAACGTGATTGTAGACGGCTGGTGTGAGTTCCGGAATAAAGAGTTGCTGTTTGAATCTACAAGCTGTGTGGTGGCTCGTGATTGTGTGCCCAGCCAGACTGCGGCATTTGTGCCCAGCCAGACTGCGGCAATTTATTGTGTTGTTTTTCCTAATGTTGTTTTCTAAGTTCTTTATATATATTCTAGCGTCCTACCTGAGGAGCACGTGGCAAAGATCTTCTCCCATTCTCAAGGCCCTCTCCATACTCTTGTTTCCTTTGCCATGCAATTTTTTTTTTCTTTTTTCTATACCAGGGATTGAACTCAGGGGCATTCAACCACTGAGCCACATCCCCAGCCCAATTTTGTTTTTATTTAGAGACAGAGTCTCACTGAGTTGCTTAGTGTCTCACTTCTGCTAAGGCTGGCTTTGAACTCACAATCCTCCTGTCTCCCTAGTTGCTGGGATTACAGGCATGTGTCACCACTCCCAGCCAAAAGCTTTTTAATTTGATGCCATCTCACTTATTGATCTTTGGTATTATTTATTGGACCTTAGGAGTCTCATGAAGGAAGCTGGTTCCTGTGCCAACATGTTCAAGCATTGGGCCTACATTTTCTTCTAGTAGTTGCAGAATTTTTGGTCTAATTCCTAGGTCTTTGATCCACTTTGAGTTGATTTGTGTGGGGTGAGAGGGGTCAAGTTTCATTCTTCTACATGTGGATTTCCAGTTTTCCCAGCACTATTTATTAAAAAGTGTGTATTATCTCCAACATGTTTTTGGCATCTTTGTCTACCATCAGATAACTGTATTTATGTGGGTTTGTCTCTGTTTTTCTATTCATTTCCATTGGTCTTCATGTCTGTTTTGGTGCCAGTACCATGCTGTTTCTGTTAATATAGCTCTGTAGTATAATTTGATGTCCAGTATCATGATGCCTGCAGTACCTCCATCATAACTCTTTTTTGCTCAGGATTACTTTAGCTATTCTGGGTTTCTTATTTTTCCAAATGAATTTTAGAACTGCTTTTTCTAGTTCTGTGCAAAATGTCATTTTGATGGAGATTGCATCAAATACTTTTGGTAGTATGGCCATTTTGACAATATTAATTCTGCATATCTAAGAACATGGGAGGCCTTTCCATCCTCTAAGTCTTCTTAAATTTCTTTCTTCAGTGTTCTAGTTTTCAATGTAGACGTCCTTCACATCCTTCATTAGGTTAATTCCCAAGTATTTTATTTTACTTTTTTTTTAAAAGGTTATTGTGAATGAGAGCAGTTTTCCTAATTTCTTTTTCAGCAGATTCGTTATTAGAGCATAAGAAAGTGATTGATTTATGTATCCTGCTACTTTACTAAATGTGTTTATCAGCTCTAGAAATCTTCTGGTAGAGTTTTTTGGGTCTAAAAAGTAGAGGATCATGTCATAAGTAAACAGGGGTAATTTGAGCTTTTTTTTTTTTTTTTTTCTATTAGTATTCCTTTAATTTCCTTCTCTTGCCTGATTTCTCTGGCTATAGTTTCAAGAACTATGTTGAATAGGAGTGGTGAGAGTGGGCATCTTTGTCTTGTTCCTGTTTTCAGTGAAAATGCTTTCAGTTTTTCTTCATTCAGTGTAATGCTGGCCTTGGGTTTGTCATATATAGCTATTACAATGTTGAGATAAGTTCCTTCTATCCTTAGCTTCTCTAGTGTTTTGAACAGGAATGGGTGTGACTTTGTCAAATACATTTTCTTCATCTATTGAGATAACCATGCGATTCTTGTCCTTAATTCTACTTAATGTGATGAATTACATTTATTGATTTGCATATGTTGAACCAACCTTGCACACCTGGGATGAAAACCACTTGATCATGGTGCAATATCTATTAAATGTGTTTTTCTATGTGATTTACCAATATTTTGTTAATAATTTTTGCATCTATAAACATACATTTACAATGTAATTCAGGAACCCTACCATATATTAGATATGTGCCCAAGAGAAATGAAACTGTATGTTCACACAAAAACCTCACGTGAATGTTTACTGCACGTTTATTCATAATTGCCCCAAACTGGAAAAAACTTAAATGTCCTTCCACTGGTGAATGAATGAATAAACTGTGGTGTATACATATATGAAAACCCGCTTAGCAGTAAAAAAAAAAAAAAAAAAAAGCTAACAAACACAACAACATGGATGAGTTTCAAATGCATTATGCTACATAAACAAAAGATTATATACCTTACAATTCCATTTACATGACTTTGTGGAAACAGCAAAACTACAGGGACTAAAAATGGTTTACGTATTACTAGGGCTGGGTGTAATGGGAGGCGTCCACTATAAAGGAATATAAAGAAATTTTCTATAGTGCTGAAATGTTTTATATCTTGATCATGATGGTGGTTTTGTTTTTGCATTTGTCAAAACCCACAGAATTATACAATACTATAAATTATAGCTCATAAACCTGGCTTTAAAAATTAATCATATATGAAAATATTAATACTCATTTACGTAATAAACAAAAGACTTAAAAGAAGAAAAAAACAAGTTTAAAATAATTTTGTAAAGCATCTTATGATGCAGATGTGTAATTAGTCTCCTTATATGGAATGAAAATAACAATGAATAAACTCAGTACCTATCTACATGAAATAGATTCATATTACAAGTGAAATATCTTTTATAAAAGTACATCTACGAATTGAAAAAAAAATCTCTTCTGAGTTCCATATGGTAAACAATTTGTCTCTAATTGGCCAATTTGGAAAAACAGCCCAAAATATCCAATACAGTGGAGATTTGTAGTAAAGTGGAAAAAAAAAAAAAGGCAACAAAAAAATAAAAAAGAGAGAAACAATCCATCTAATATCTTCTAATAATTTTTCCATGAGCAATAACTTTATTCACTATTTACTTCTGATTTCAGTGAAAAACCAGGAGTCTTTGTTAGCATTAAGTTTAATATTTTAGGGTATCTAGAATAAAAAAATACTATTTGTCATGAGATTTAAAGCACTGTGTTTTCAACCCATATATATCCTAAATACTTCCTCTTCATATTGGGGGATTATATTTAGGGGTAATGAAAGACTACACACATAAAACACTCCACAGAACCTGTACTTGAATTATATCATCTGATTTATACAGGGAGTCCCCACATCAAGGAAAGTTCTCACCAAAGTAATGGTGACCTTAACTGGATCTTGGAATTTCCCACAGTAGCCTAACTTTATGGAGAAATGTAGAATGTTAAGGTGTTGGAAGGAACAACAACATTTGCTTAAAAATAAGGAATTCAAATCCATGTTTCAATTTGTATGAAATATGAATTTTTCTTATATAAGTAAGTCTGTAACTGAGTAGATCTGAAATTATATACACATACAGTCCCAAATGGAAACCATCCACATATTCAACTAAATTAAAATGGGTAAATTATTATATAGTCATATAATGGAAAGCTATATAACTGTGAGAATGAAGGAATTACAACATGGTACATGGATAAACCTCACATATATAATTTGGAGTCAGAAAGATATAATTCCACTTATATATAAAGAAGTGGTAAATGAACTTAAGGTATTTAAATTTACAGTACTGGTTACACTTTGGAGACGAGCCATTAGGGACTGGAAATGGGCACAGGGGCTTCTGAGATTCTGGTAATGTTCTCTTTCTTATCCTAGGGTCTAGTTACAAAAGCAAATACAGTCCTATAACAGTTCACTAAACTACATGCTTATGATTTGTGTACCTTTATTTATCAACATTGACTTCAACAAAGTATACCAAAATTGTACAGAAAAAATTGCATATTTCAGAGAGTGGAATGGAGAAAGGGAGATGACTATGAAGAAAAAAATAGGATGTTTGCTTCCCAAATAATAAAGATTATTCTTCTTAAAGTTGTCAAACTAAATAAAATATAAATTAGGTACTAACCATGAAACCAGGCAGTACTGGCTGAGTAAACTTTGTCTTAAAAGAATACAGCAGCTGTTTTGAATTTGCATCATAAAAAGAAAGTTGACCTAAAAGGAAGAGGGAAAAAAAGCCTTTTATTTATTATACAAGAAATTATAACTCTAATAAAGTCTAATGTGTAGTCATGCAAAAATAATAACTTAAGGCCCATCTTTGCATTAATTTTTTATTACAAACTCTAAGGATTGAACTTACTTTCACTAGAAAAATCAGTGAACGTGCTTAAGAAAATGCCCAAATCCAATTTTCTTCTTCTTCCCCTTGTTTTTAAGATCTCCATACTGTTTCACCATAATCTGACACTGTTGTACTTATTCAGCTATAAACTATTTATCATTATTTAACAAAAATTTTCATGAGCCCAGTAAAAAAACAAGGAAGTTTCTTCCTCCTTATTTTTACTCTACCCAAATCCTCTATTTATTTAAGGCTTACTATATTTAAAATACTAACTACTTAAGGCCAGACTCATACTCCAGTCTCTGAAATCATAGTATATTCATCACTGCTTCAGCTTTGTTAATTTTCAAATCCCCTCACAGTCTGTCTTTCAACAGGATCATGCCTTAAAATAACTCCATCTGACCTCCTATCTAATCTGATCTGATGACCTCCATAGGACTGTTGTTAGTTCGCGAAGCCTTTCTTTAATGACTATATTCTTGGTTTGAATCCTAACCCTAAAGATACTTTCTCTCTCTTCCTTTTCCTCCTATTCTGCTTTAAAGCTGCTTTGTCTGTGTTAAGAGAGCATTTATGAAATGCTCTCTTAATAAACCAGTTGCTACCAGAGAGTAAGAAAAAGAAACTAACATTTATGTATACTGTTAAAGTACTTGGTGCTTTATATATATGATTATCTCAAAACATGAAGCAACCTACATGATTGCAAAGTTAGTAACAACAGTGCAATAATGTTCAAGCATATTATTCTGTGTAATCTTCAGTAGTCACTCTGTGCTGCTGCTTCAAATATTTAGTTTCAGCTCTACTTCTGAGTTCAAGAATTTCTAAATGTTTGCTAAATATGTCACATGGTTGTCCTGCTATAATCTCAGTTTTCCACTGGACTCTCTCTGTTCCTTAACCCACTGACACTGCCATCCTCTTTGTCACACTGGCTGGAACCTCAGAGCTGCCTTCCATTCTTCTTTGTCTCTTCCCCCAATCTATATTTAGTTACCAAGTTCTATAAATTTTACACCATCAATTTCATTCTTGATTTCCAACTGCTTGGGTTTTTGTTGCCAATCACTTAACAAATACTTATTAGGACTTCCTGTGTTAAAAGCACTTAGCAGGCAATAACAATTTAATAGTTAACAAAATAAACATGGTCATGCCTTATACTTTAGACTAACTCCTAAAACGTCTTATGCTCTTTATTTTTGTAATCTCTTCCGTCTTTTAATCACTTACTTTCTAATATTTCTAATATAAGATTATCATCACATGACTATATTTTTCTAAAATGTACACAGCCAACCCTCCCCACTACTAAAGACTAGTCTATAAACATTTTTTCAAGGCTCTCAGAATCTGATTACATCCTACATTACAGCTTCCCCCTTTGTACTCTATGCTGTTAGCTAAAATTACTTCTCCCTATCATCTATATAAAATAACCATATGGGAAAGGAGAAAGGATGATAAGCAAATATTGTCCTGGTAGCTGAAAATATATATTTTTTAAAGTGCACCAGTAAATTTGTCATTCTGTAGAAAATGGTTCATCTTATTCAAAGGGAATAAGTAAAAAAGAATGTACCAAACTGACATGTCATCACTAAAAATAAATTGGCCCAAATTAATTTTTTTTTCCTTTTTTGAGTGATTAAGTTGACAGCATGGGATTGTCTGGACCCAATGTGACTTAAAATGATAAAAATTTTCCATTATTAGCTTAAAGTGACAACTTGGAAAGAAACATTGTAAAACCAATGTTTTAAGAAATGCATTGACATAGTATATCACTTTAGGAGATTATAAGGATTTGAAAAGAAATCAATTTAATGCATTTTAACAAATAAGAATTATTGTGTGAATTACAAAATATAATTCTGTGTTTATTCAGGTGTCAGAATTTAAAAACAACATTTTTACAAATTACAGAGAGGTAAAGTGAGTTCATTTTAGAAAAACCTAATCAAGAGCCCTCCCAAGAAACAGGACTTCTAAGACAATAATGTTCAGACTAAAAAGTTATTTGAGCAAAGAAGTGGCAACTCCTGCAGAAATAGTGTAATACAAATTTTATATTGTGTGGAAGATGGACTGGATAATTTCCAAGGTTTATTCCAACTCAAAAAATCTGACTTCACCATTGTTTATACACGGGTAATAGAACAGTAAGGAAGGAATAAAAACAAGAAAAATTTTAGTGTTTAAGACTAAAATTAGCAAAATATTTCAGACTTAGCATATTATAAATGAGTGCTTTTATAGAGCTCCAGGCAGACATAATATGCCCTTCCAGTCTAACTCTAGTACTGAGATTATGTTTGTGATCAAAACCTAGTTGGCCAAAATGTCCTTACCATGATATTAACAGAAATTCTGTAGAGGTGATTACCAATGAAAAGTACTGAAACATAAGTAGTTATGATGAAATGACTTATGAAAAAGTAAGTAAACTTACCCCCATCAAAATCACAAAATACACCTATTTTCTCTGGAACAGTAACATCCAAAGCTTTGACTTTATTATTGTGTTTTGCTGCAAAAGTATTTTGTAGCCAGTTGTTGACATGGATACACCAACTAGTGTTTGTCTTTCCCAATTGGTCAAATTTCCCCAAAGTTTTGTATGCTACTCCCACACTATAGGATTTACAGTCCTTCTGGGCCTTGACCTCCCAATAATGTTGTCCACTTTCAATAGCAGTGTCTCCTACAAAAGATAAGAAAGATACTCGACTCTAATCTCTTTCTCAGGAATTACACAGATTCTTATGTATCATTCATTCCACAAATTTAATTCAAAAAATTAAATTCAATTTCTCTTTGAAAATAATCATGTTAACATACAGACACTAAATGCAGAGTACTTGCTTAACTTTACTTTTGTAGCTTTTTTTTTCCCTGAGTACAAAATTCTTCAGAATTTTCTTCCTTACCAACCTCTCAAGGGTTATGCTTATATTAGGAATCACTAGTAAGTTAAAATAAGAATTTTAAAAGTATGACTAATGAGTAAATTTCAAAAGCCCCCAAGTAATTAAGCTTCAATAGGGATAAACCTCTGCAAAGATTCATTCAATACACAGGAAACTGCTCTAGCTCTGAGGAGTAGAAAATTTATCAGTGTGGCTGTGGTGCCTTTAATTTGAGACTGTTAAGAGTTATTGTTTTATCCTACCTAGCACTGTGTATGATTCCCCAGTGAAACGGTCTCTGCTGCCTCTTACTGCTGGTGGCCTGGAACCTACGGATGTCCGTTTGGGGGATGGTGTACCACTTCTATATAAATAGGAAAAAAAAGAAAAACAAGTATTTTATGTTGGAAATGTTTCATAAATTAAAATTACATATTATGAAAATAATGTTTAAAAATATTTCTAATTATGTTGCAGAAACAGCATCATTTAATTTGAATTATTATTGAAGAGAACTGCCAATTATAAACATTCAAATGTAAGAAGCCATTAATACAAAGCAGGCTGAAAACACTAATGTCATGCAGACTGAGCAAGATTTATACAAAGAACACACAGTTGAAATGAGAAACAATGCCAAAATGAGACAAGATTTACTGAAAGAAAAAAAAGCAAGAAAGAAATTGGGTTACAGCTTATATATTTGTAATTAAATTTAAATAAAGCAAAGTCAAGAATATACCACAATGAAACCCATCATGTTGTAAAATTAATATGCACTAATAAAAAAAGCAATGGAAAGCTATATTTCTTATAATCATAACTAATCTTTTTTATTAGCAGTAGGTATTTTTGATCTCGATCTTTTCTTCTTAAAAAGAGAAAAAGCACTTGTACAAATCCATGCACAAGCTTATCAAGTATTATAAAGCATTTCTGCTATTAAAAAATGACCTCTTCTATCAAATGATGCATTATGGTAAACTAGACAGGATTAGGCTTTTCACTAGCTCTAAAACCTCCAAAAAGATTAAAGCCCGAACATGTTTTTAAAATAATATTTAAATATACCAAATCATTGCATTTAAAAAGCAATAATTTTGGGGATAAGATTATGATAAAGTTATTTAGGGGAAATGTATATTCTTACTACTAAAAAGAAAAAATAAGACTTTTTCAATATATTTGCATTAGAATTTTTCTTCCTAAGGAGAAATCAACTTAGTAAATTTTAATAAGCTATCAAATAATATTGTAATAAAAATCCCATAAAAATGCAAAATAAGAATAAAGATACGATTTAAAGTCATTTTACATGATTAAGTGACTGCATTATGCATTACTTAAATGTTGTCAATGTTAGCAGATTTATTAAGCAGTTTCAGAGAATTAAACAATGAATTCAGGACCACTTTGTCTACATTCTAGTAAATGATATTAAGCAGCACTTTATACCTACAGCATTTACATGAGTTGGTTTAATTCTTCCAAAATGATGTTAAAAGTTCTTTTTATAAAGATATTTCTTTAAAAAGATACTTAAGTAATTAATTATAAATTCTATTTGAACAGACAGCATGAACTGAGGTGGTTAAGGACAGGTAGATTAAAATTTCTCTGAAACTTGTGCTCAGGTAGGCGGTTAGTAGTTGCTTCCTATTGGGAAGGGAGAGAACAAACATTTGATGGGTAGAAGAAATCTAGAAGTGTTTTGGGGACCTTCTCCAAAACAGAGGATACAAATAAATAAAAAAGAAGAAAAATTTATACCCATTATTCTGAATAAATACGTTTTAATTTCTTAAAGTTTGATTTAACCAGGTTTTCTAAGATAATACTTATTATATAATATTAAAAGTCATTACATAGGACACAGGGATTTAGGATAAAGAGAGAGAGTCTTAAAGGAAATGCCCACTAGCCATTGACATGCAGAAAGCACAATTGTCAATCTTGAGCTACATGCCCTTGGCCCATGCATGTTAAGGAAATGCACAAGCAAAGGGAAACTGGTGCAAAACTGTGTAGCTCCACTCTGGCTCCACCTCTAGTTCATCCCCTAGCACTTGCCCTCTATAAACATGAGTGGCCCACACTAATGGGTTGCTGTCTCTCCCTCTGGAGATAACCCACATGCTCCCTAGGAATATTCCTTGCTTTACCCCAAGGCATCTCTTTTTTGAGACTGCTCCCATTCTCTCTTAAATGTGTTATCTACTTTCCAAAATAAACATTTGTATATGCCTTTGGGGGGAGGTGTCATTAAGTAGTAAGAAATCAAATTCTACATTCTGTCAATGACATCTTAAGTTGACATTAAGAAAAAAACACTGCATCACAATTTTCTTTCTGATACTTTTCATATAAGCTAATCAAGAATGTTTAAAAACCTTCCCAGCTATTCCAGAGGTTGAGGCAGAAGGATCACAAGTTCAAGACCAGCAACTTTGTTAGATCCTATCCCAAAAAATAAAAAAGACTGAAGATGTAGCTCAGTGGTAGAGCAACTCTGGATTAAATTACCAATACGCTCCCCAACACACACAAAAGACCTTATAAAAGGTCTGTGTATTTTCAAGTATTTTATCTTGAACTAAGGAGAAAAGATAACAGTCATTTCCTCTGAATTTTCTTTTAAATGTAGCATTATTTTTATCTTCTGTTGGGGGACAAAGTATTTCGAAGTGGGTAGTTTTCAAACCATGTCCTGAACTATACAGATGCCACAGAGGCTGCTATAGGACTCTGGAAGACACCTGCTCTAGGGCTCCTTCCCTACTTGAACCAGCAATCCTCTTCTCTTTTCAGCTCAGGCTTCTGGAAACATTTCATTTGAAAAAACCACTCTGTTGTACACAAAAAGGGGAAAAAAAGTATAAAAACCACTGTTTTTGATACATCAATAGAAAGACATAAGAAGAAAGGGGGTCAAAAATAAGACTGGCTTAACATGGTTTGTAAATTGTATCAAAAACGTTTAAGTCTTCAGACTATCTGTTTAATGAGTTTAGTATGATTTACCATCATTCTTCAAAAGTTCATTGAAACCACTTATCTAAAATGAAATTCTCCTCTAGAAAAAAATGAGTAGTCATTCAGGATAGCTCACCAAAAATTGCCCAATTCACAAAGTCACCAAAATATTAATTGCACATTAATCTTCCTCCTTCCAAGTTAATTCAACTCTGAATGTTGATAATTATGTAAAATAAGTAGTTTTAATTAATCCTTTCCTTTTTTGACACCAGGATTGAACCAGGGGTGCTGAACCACTGAGTCACATCCCCAACCCTTTTTATGTTTTATTTAGAGATAGGGTTTTTCACTTAGTTGCTTCAGACCTTGCTAAATTGTTGAGGCTGGCTTTGAACCTGAGATAGTCCTGCCTCAGCCTCATGAGCCACTGGGATTACAGACATGAGCCACCATGCCTGGTTTAATTAATCTTAATTGTAAGTATTTATAGAAAATTAGTTTTGTAACTAGCTCTTCATTATATCTAACTCCACTTCAATCCCCAGTGCTTTTTAGTAGTGGTGGTACTATCCTTACACTTAATTCATAACTACAACTGTTTTTCAACTGAGGGATGGAGCTAAAAAAAAGTCAAGAAGTTTTGCTGTGGGTAAGAATCAAATGAAAGACGATGAGAGGTTAGAGTAAATGTGTAACTAGGGATGAGGAGGAATTAAATAAACCAAACCAGTGGTTCTCAATTTTGGGTATACATCAGAACCACTTGAGGAACTTTTTTTTTCCCCTTGCTGTGATGGGAATTAAACCCTGGAACTTGTGCATGCTACACAAGCACTCTTACCACTAAGCTATACCTAGCCCACTTGGGGAACTTTTAAAAATGCAAATATCAGGCCTCACCTCAGATTTTGCTGTTCAGTAGGGCTAGGGGCCACTGAAGTTAATAAATACCCCACTTAACAAGGGGCAGAGATGAAAAGGGTGATGTTGAAAATATAGCTATTATACAATCTACTATATTGGGCCCTTGGTACATGGCTGCTATGGGAAATGATGAAACAGTTGAGTAGCTGATGGAAAGGGAAGTTAACAATTGCCAGGAACCATCTCTCATTTCTGTATCCTCAGTCCACAGTAGGTGCGCAATATCTTGACTAAAATGAATGCAAACTAAGGAAGTGGAATATGTGATATTATTAACTAAGGACTACATAACCTTTCCTGAACCATAGACCTGAGTTGGAGAAACACAGGGCTTTGGGATTTTGTAATAAATTATCAATCATCAACTGAGAAGGTGCAACAAAATCAGAAGCAACCAGGAAATCTTTTTAAAATACAATGACAGGGCTGGGGCTATAACTAAGTGGCATAGCACTTGCCTAGCCTGTGTGAGGCACTGAGATCAATCCTTAGCACCACATAAATAAATAAAATAATTTTTAAAAAATAGGACAGTTTCCCTTCTCAGTTAGTGGGCCCAATTGTCTGCTTAGAAGAAATATGCATTTTGAAAAATATTTCCCAGGTAATTCAGAGTGACAAATAGCAAAGGAAAGTCACAATGTATAAATAAACAAAATTTTTACTTAGCACTGCTTCAAAATATAAGAGCTCACTTGATAGCCAGAAAAATATTTTTTAAGAAAAAAAATTGTGACTTACCAGTAGTAAAGAAACAAAGGGAAGCATGGAGAAAAGAAAAACAGTCGTAACTATTGAGAATGGCAGTTGAGTTTCAGAGAAAAGTTAGAGGGTTACTCTTCCATTGCTGCATTCCAACTCTTAAGTACATTTTTGCAAGAGGTACAATAGTTATTAACATCTTAAGTAAAAACATGACCTCCCACCTCGCTTCATAAAGGTTCCTTGGGTCAAATTATTTTACAGTTTCCCAAATGTTCTTTCTGTTATCCAGTTCATCTTGTTCACTATTATAAGATAAACTTAGCTCTATTCCCCTACTTCAAAATCAACATGTACTTCCATATTATCTACAAATGATTTAGTCCGCCTTCCTACCCTTCTCACCCTAGAGAGTATTACACAACCAAATGTACCAAAGTGTTCTTTAAACTCACTCAGTCTGCTTAAGTGTTTTTCCTCTTGTTGTTCCCCACTCTCACTGCAAAGCTGAATACCACAAATTCTCCCTCTTCCCCAAGAAGCAATTTAATACCATTCATTTAGTAAAGGTCTTCCAAATCCTACCATCTAAATAACTTTTCTTAGCAATCCAGTCCAGGCCAAAATCCTTTCATACTCAATCACAGGCAATTACACAGGCTTTATGTGACAGGATTTGCAGGGGTAGGACAAAGGATAGGGTGGGCTGCCCTTCTTATACCAGACTTGGTGCATAGTTAGTTAGGGCATCATGATTTCTACAGGAAGTTGCAATTTCATCTTCTTCCCCAACGGTGAGCTATTTGCATTCCTAGCCTTGTCACTCTATTCAAAGGCCCCCCATGGGAAGGAAACCCTATACTGAGATTCTTTTTAAATACCTTCAGGAAGACCTCCTTAAGAGCAAATAAGGCGGTAAGGACCTTTCACTTAGTATGTTTCCATTTTTAACCCTCTTGTCCCTACCTTTTTAGCTCTCAAGTCCATAAAGCAGAAGTTTTCTATTTGGAACCTCCTGGCAGTGAGAAGACCCTCTAACTGTGATCTGGGTTGAGTCATTGGACCTCCAACTAGTGTCATTTGCTGGGAAAAATGGAACACTGAAGGAACCCACTCATTCCTTCATGACTTCTTACTTATCACCATAAATCAGCAAAAGCTTGACTTTCAGTTTGGCTCACTGTCCTAAATGAATACCGCAGTACCCGAGAACTCTGGACATCTTTCCCCTCTGAACCCTTTTATTCACATTTATCCTTACACATGATGTTTATCTTGCTTTTTTTCTGCAATCTTATCTACATGAGTTAAAGCAAATTTCTTGAGGCAAGAACAGTGTTTATCCCTATAAACTCCATAACATTCAGCACACATTTAACAGTGAACAATTATGTATGAAAAAATAAAAAAATGAAAGAGGGCTGGGGTTGTGGCTCAGTGGTAGAGCACTTGCCTAGCACGTGTGAGGCACTTAGTTTGATCCTCAGCACCACATAAAAATAAATAAATAAATAAATAAACAAAATAAAAGTTTTTTTTTTTTAATGACACCATGTTTTTTTTTTTTTTAAAGTAAATGAATATATGTAGTTTGAGCAGCTCTAATCCAAAAATCTGAAATGCTCTGACATTGGAAACTTTTTAAGCACCAACATAATTACAAATAAAAAAATCCCACACCTGAGCTCATGTGACAAGACACAGCCAAAATATAGATACATTAAAAAAATATTATATAAAATTACCTATGTACATATATATATAAAGGTATATGTGAAACATAAATGAATTCTGGATTTAGAATTGGGTCCCCACCAAGGTATATGTGAAACATAAATGAATTCTGGATTTAGAATTGGGTCCCCACCAAATATAATTAATTATGTATTTGCAACTATTCTAAAATACAAAAAAATCTGAAATCCAAAGCACTTTTTGAGTCCCAAGCATTTCAAATAAGGGATCCGAACCTGTATAACATTCCGGAAGTGGCCTACATATAAAATACTTTTAAAAGGAGAAAAGAGAGAAAGAAATATAACCTGCAATGCTAAATACAAAGCAGTCTAAAAATCGTCCAAGTAACCAAATAAAACTTTGTAAGACTATTAAACCCAACAGCATTTTATAATTTATAGCACACTGTGAAATCACTTTTATCAATAATGAACAAATAAACTGAAAAGAAGAGTGGAGGTAACTTTGAAAAGAGAATATATTCTGGTTTCTGGTAAAGATATACGGTATCTTCAATAAACATGTTATTAACCATGTAATTTGAAATTATTCATTTTTTTCTGACACTGTCCTAATAATTTCTGCAGTGACTTTTATTTCTTAACCTTGATACTTTGGAAGCTGCATGATTATTATAAAATACAGAACATTTCAAACTTGCTTCGTGTTGAATACAAATAAAAGCAAAGCAAAGGCTGGGGACTGGGATTGTGGCTCAGCGGTAGAGCGCTCGCCTAACACAGGCGGGACCTGGGTTCGATCCTCAGCACCACATAAAATAAGGCATTGTGTTGAGTCCATCTAACCTAAAAAATAAATATTAAAAAAAAAACACAAGGGCTGGGATGGTAGCTCAGTGGTAGAGCACTTGCCTAGCATGTGTGTAAGGCACTGGGGTCAATTCTTAGTCCTACATATAAATAAATAAATAAAATAAAGGTCCATCAACAACTAAACATATTAAAAAAAGCAAAGCAATAATGTTAGATATATTTAACTCAATACAATAGGAAAGATGCCAGTTATAAATAAAGTAGAAAAAATAATTAAAGAAGACTTTAAAGCTTATTTTGTTATCTTTATACAATATAATCCAAATGATAAGCAGCACACTATAATGCTATAAATTCAAAACATAAGCTACAAAAATACAGACAGTCTACACAGAGCAATATTTTAGCTTTGAAGCCTGCTGCAGTGGCTTCTGTTTACTGGTTAAAAGAAAAAATTACTCAGCCAAGCTAGATATACTAAGTCCTAAAACTAGACAGACATAGATCATCACCTTGTATGTTTCTTCAGTGAAGTAACATGGACACTGTCAGATAAAAATAGGCAACTGTTAAGAGACTGCTTTACAAATTAAGTTTAACTTCTTATAATAAAATTAGATTAAAAGCCTGCTGAGGATTTTTTAAAAATTCATTGTTAGAACTCACAAAAATATTCATCTTCAGCAAAAACTTCCTGTGTAAAAAAAGAAAAAAGTTCCCAAACTTTGACATTATTTAGGTAAGTTATGACAATAACAAAAGATTCTTGAGCCTGACTCTTGGATTCACTGGGTTCCACCATCACAGGCAAGTCTGTGGGGCTTTTATAAACTGTAAAAGTTGTCATCTAATGCAGACTTTTAGGTGAGATAGGTGATAAGCCCAATATTCAGAAATTATTCTAGGAACATCTAATTAGTTCAAGTTACCGTATATATAACTTTAAGGAAATGGGATAATAAAATTTTTTAAAAGTATAAGGAGATTAGGAAAGAAACTAAGAAAAAAGTAATGTGAAAATGTTAATGACAGATTCATGTATTGACAAGCAATGTTATATTTTTCACTTTGGAATTACTAATGTATCATAAGTCATACTGGTATACAGAATAAGAATTTTAATGTTATCAAATAAGAACCAATGTACAAGCATTTATCCATATAACAGATTTAATGAGCTACGTTACCTGCCCTTGTTCTCTTTCCCTTTGATTTTACTTTCTTGACCTTTTCCTCCAGTAGGATCCCACTCTACCAAGGTATCTTCAACTTTCAGGTTCAAATGGGATGATGAATTATCCAAACTGAAATTCAGTGCTGTTCGAGACAATATAAAATATTATATATCTCCACTTTCTGAAGCACACCTATGAGCAATAACTTCTCTAGTCAATTGATTCAACACTGTATACAGAGAATAAAATTCAAATTACTAATGTTAACATTTAAAGTTCTCAATGATTAGGTTTTAATTTACAATTCCTCACTTATTTTCCATTATTCTCCTCTAAATATCCCGTACTCTAACACAATACAATGCAATGTTCAGGGCCTTCAATGTTCAGGACTGGTATTTCTGCTATTCGTTCTACAAGAATCTATATCAACACACAGTATCCTCAATTTCCTGTTATTAGAATACCCGATGGTTATCAATTGATTGTTTTGAGTAAATAGGAAGGGGAACTGGTAGGAATTAAGAAGGAAAAAGTGATATTATAATCACAGGGTAAAAAAATCACAGGGTAAAAGTCTGGCGCACACATGTCTTCTCTGACAGTATAATACTTAATAATTTCATACTTAAAACACTTCTTAGTTTCAAATTAAGATGAGTATGAAGAAATTGGAGGTAGCCTGGCAGAGTGAGAAAATTGATCTAGCTGATAAATGATTTATGTGGCAAAGAGTAGAAGGGTGAAAAGTTCCACTAATATAAAAATAAAACAAAAACAAAAAACAAAAAAATCATGAAACAAAGTTATGCCTTTCAGATTATTTGGTATTATCAGGAAGTATCTGTACTATTCACAAGACTTGCTTAGTCAAACTGCTAATTTAGGAGATCAGTGCATTAAGCTTCCCTCTTTTAGAACTCAGGGAAAAGCACTGAAATGTATTAACAGCTGTACAATGAGTAGTTTCTTCTATTTTAAAAATGTAATTTCTAGAAGCTCTATCTTGAAAGCTATCTATTAATCTGCTTCTGTTACATTTTCCTCCAAAATTTAAATATCTGATAATTATTCATTGAAGGAATACTCCTTACAATATATCTCACTTAAGTATATTACTTAATTTAGCTAAGGCTTCAGTGTGTCTGTGAAGTGTAAATCACCAAACAACAAAAAAAGCATATGGAGAGCCTGAAGTTTACCTAGTTAATCAAGAATCCTTTTATCCTCCACTCTATAAAGAACACTTCAAGTTCTTTGTTCATTGTCTTTATTTATAAAACCACATTCTCAATACAAATCTACTGACCACACAGTTTCTAGTAAATGTCATACTACACAAGGAAGTTAATAACTTATAAAACCTTCATCTAAACAGAAATAAATTTAGAGAAACTAGAAACAATGAAGCTTTTCAGTAAAAATGGAAATGATTTCTTAACAGGCAGGTTACTAAAAAGTTAGGATTAACACTGAGACTCTCAATTTCCAAAATGAACTGCCGTTAAGAAAGCAAAGTTAACTTCTATATTTAAGTTATTAAGCAAGTCAGGCTACCTACATTGGCAGGAGGGTGAGGGTTGCTGGGGATTGAACCCATGGCCTTGTGCATTCGAGGCACTATCTACATTTTTTTTTTGAGAAAGAAAAATAGGCTTTAGCTCTGAGGGTGCCATCAATTCCCAAGGGCTCATTAAAATTCTAAGGATAAAGAAGGTCTCCTAAAGTTGTTCCTTAATGTTTGTTATAATGAAGAAAAAAAGGGTCATCAGCAATCTGGAGTCAAGGATAGCAAGAAAAAAGTACTATCTTCAAACCACTCGTGATCAGACTTATAGAATAACACAGCATCCAAACAAGAAGGCATATAATTACGTCAAAATGAGTCCTATTGCTATGGGTAATTAAAAACAACAAACAAAAGAAAAAGAAAAACAAACAAGAAGGTCTAGGTTTCAATCCAAGAGGTATCATCTTTAATTTCTATTTGAGGGGCATTGTTCTTTTATTGAACCTCAGTAAAGTTATAGAGCCTCTCTAAGATAAGAAATAATGCTTCATTATTAAAAAATAAAGTCTTCTTTGAAAGTGAGATCCTGTGTCCTGGATAAGCCCTGTAATATACAACATATTGGTTTCCATATCTTTAAAAGTCTGTGAAAACAGGGTACCAAAATCAGAATCCAGATGTTTTATGTTTGTTAGTAGCTGCTTTCATGATACTATAAAATTATATCACAGTCATTACTATTTGAGGCTATAGAAAATTTTGTATTAACATAATATCATTTATCCTTACAAGGAAGTAAATGATAACACATCTTTAAAATTCTAGCCATAAGAAATATTATTACTCATCACTTTTGACAACTTTCTTGCCAGAACAAATATACTGAAGGAACAAATAAACAACATTCATTATTTTCCATACCAAGAACTATAAGTGGCAGGATATGAAACTTTGATAGGCCTCAACTATTTAATCTCCATCTTTCTTCCCTTCCCTTCAATCTTTGTCCACAGGCTTATTTCTATTGGTTGGCCAAAAAGGACTACAGCAGGTCAAATTAGTAAACAATTGTTTAATATGTAATTTTTAAAAAGTAGAACTACTTCTATGGAGCTCTTGTTCTAATTTGTAGTCATGCCAATGCTGTGAAAAATACTCCAGAAAATCCGTGACCCACAGCCATGTAAAATGAATTTTATTCTGTTACTCCCTGAAGATCAGAATCAATGATTAGTGGCCCTCAAGGATACGTTTCAGTCTGGTCCCACACCTCAAAGGGTTTTCTCAACAGTAAAAAATGCTTCAAAGGACTAATCAACTTAGTCTCCCTCTACAAACCCCAAGGTCAAGAGTGACTAGTGAGATCCAGATATTGCTAAGAGAAGCAGCCAGCCCAGCTCCAAGGAAGCCATAAGCCAGCTATTCATATTTCTAAATTTAGGGAATGTGCATAAAAATCAATAATTTACCACGTTTATGTCCAAGTTTGGTAAAGCATAATGAAAAGGAATAATACAAAGATGATGCTCCTAAGGGTGAATATAATAATAATGCAATTTTATTTGACAAGGGCTAAAAACAGCTCAAGTAATACAGAAAAGATTATTACCTGTAAGTATGACAATACTTTGGTAAACATCTCATTAAAAACCACAGTAACTTCTCAGTTTGATAACATGTAATTCAAAGTAATTGCATATCTTCGTTATCTGTAGTTCTCAAGTAAAAACATTTTCTAATTCAAACAAACTACTCAAATTACACCTATTTTTTAAGATATTTTTGGACATTTTTCTGAGTTGGTCTCATCAGTAATTTATGGACCGTTAGGGGCTGGAGTAAAGTACTTGCCCAGAATGTGTAAGACACTGGGTTCGATTCCCAGCACTGTAAAACACAAAATAATTTTCAAGCCTCATAGTTTGTTTTATTCTGATATGTTTTTATATCATCCTCCAAATCATATCAAATTTCTGGCATACAAATCTATTCAAATGCCATATAAACTAGAGGCCAATGGAAGCTCCAGGTTCCAAGTACCTATAAAAATGTTCAGAGTTTAGTCAATTACTATATGTCACAATTGGGAAGAACTTTGGCATTATGGCCTTCAAATTAGTAAATGTTGCAAAAATTTGTGTTCAAATATGTTATACTAGGGTGTTTCCACTAACTCCAAATTACTCTGAGAGACTAGAATGACTTAGGTTCTTAGATGTTAACACTATCATCTCAAGTCTATGAGTCTATTTGCTCATATGAATACAATCATAAATGGAAATCACTACCATAGTCCTATTTTCCCTGCCTTATAATTCTTATTGTGGGGAAAGTCAGAGGTGGGGTGGTAGAGGAGGTGGGGAAGGAATTCAGCCACACAATGCTTCCTGTCACGAAGTCTTGAATAACTTTAGATGTTTCATGTTGTATAAATAGCTACTAATCTTACCTTTGGTCTCTAAGGTCACTGGATCAGAATACTCTCCAGCCACAGCCTTGTTACAAGCTCGCACTCTGAAATTCATATATTTTGAATCAAATTTTAAGCCTGAAAAAATGAAATGGTTTTCAGACACAAAATAAAGGACTCATCCCCCAAAATATTAGAATGAATTTTCAGACTTTTTTTTTCCTCCTTGGAAGTATCTCTTTATTTAAGGAAAGTATAAATTTATGTTAAAATGGTGATAATGCCTGCAATAAGAGGAATCATGATTTACCTATTAGTTTCTTCAGAAGAAGTAAAATATACAATTTATGATTTTCCTAATTCAGGGATAAAAAGGTACTCTTTTATGTGTCATGAAAAGCAGTACTTCATATAATGAGAGATGTCACAAATTTACAAAACAACACATTCGATTTCTGGAAAAGAGATGCTCTCAGGAATTTTTATATTTATGAAACACTGTGTTTTTTTGTTGTTGCTGTTTTTGTTTTGGTACCAGGGATTGAACCTAAGGTTGCTTCACCATTGAGCCACATCCCTAGCCTTTTTTATATTTTACTTAGAGACAAGGGCTTGCTGAGGTGCTTAGGGCCTTGCTAAGTTGCTGAGGTTGGCTTTGAACTCACAATCCTACTGCCTCAGCCTCCCAAGGGTTTTGCCCCCAAAATATCTAAAGTCCCCACTATACTGGGAATATTTTTGTGTTTGTTTGTTAACCATTATTTTTGCATTATTAGTTTGTTTTAGTTATACATAATACTGAGGTTCATTTTCACATAACTGTACAAGTATGGAGTATAATTCTGAAATATCTTTCAAAACGTCTTTCAAAAGGCCAACACAAAAATTTCTAAAACCAAATCACAGTTCTACTTTAACTATCAACATTAAAGTAAAACTAAATAACAAAAGTGATAATATTTACAGTACCAGTGAATTGTGGGGTAGTGAGTACATCTAAAAAATTAAGAGCTTTTTTATATAATCTGAAAACAAAGGGAAAACTAAGTGTAACTCTTGAAATATTATTTTCAGAATACCGCTTCATATTTATTTTACATGTATCCTATCTTAGCAGGTTACAAATGTCCTTAAGTAATTAAAACAAAGGTTTTCTTGATATTTTAAAACAAATTTACTTCTACAATAAATATCTAAAAAATCAGCTCGGATAAAAAGAACTTAATAATTTTAAGCTTTAAAATAACAAATTTTTCATAATTACAGTTATTTTCTAAGGAGACTGTTGAGATGTTGTCATTTTACCTGATAATATATATTCAGTACCCTTAATGTTATCAATTATCTCCCAACATCTCTCATCCTTTACACGTGGCAGTCCATCAAAATTAGTTTTTCTGTATTCCAGTATGAAATGGTCAATCTTATTATCTTCTTCTGGCATTCTCCAAGCTACTGTTACAGAGTTGTCAGCCACCAAACACTCCACTGGGTCTATCTCTGGAGCTTTAGGGACTGAAGAGAAGAAACAAAAGTATGTGTGTAGGGGAGTTAATTTCTCATTTATTATAGCACTAATAAAATATTTATGTTTGTCATCCAAGCTTTGCTTTTTCATCCTGCTTTTGAACTATTCAAAAGTGAATAAATAAACCAACCTAAACTATTTTCAAAGCACCTTTTAATGATAGGCTATAAAAAAATCTATAAAGTTTTCTATTTTTCTTATTCAACGTTCACTAAAATCTTAGATGGCAAAAGGTAAATTCTAAACATGCTAAGGATAAATAATCGAGAATGACTTGTTATTTCTGAACATACTGTACTTTTTTCCTTTTTTCTTTTTTTGTGTGTGTGGTGCTGGAGATTAAACCCAGGGCCCCGTGCATGCAAGGCAAGCACTCTACCAACTGAGCTATATCCCCAGCCCTATTCTGATTTTTAATTTGTTCTTTAGATGTACATGATAGTAGAGTGTATCTTGACAAATTCTAATTAGGATCTCATTCTTGTGGCTGAACATGAGGTAGAGTTTCACTGGTTGTGTATTCATATATGTACATAGGAAAGTAATGTCTGTTTCATTCTACTCTTTCCTATTCCATCCCGCCACCTTCCTTCATTTTTCTTTGTCTAATCCAATGAACTTCTATTCTTCCCTCCTACCCCACTGTACTTTAAAAAAATTTTTTTTTAGTTGTAGATAGACATAATACCTTTATTTATTTTTATGTGGTGCTGAGGATCAAACCCAGTGCCTCACAGGTAGGGTAACTATTGTTAACAATAATTCATTAGACCTGTTAAAACAGCAAAAGGTTTTGAAAGTTTCCAGTACAAATTCTAAATGCTTGAGATGATACATATGCTAATTACCCAGATTTTACTCCCAGGGACTTCTACTTTTCAATCTGGCACATACATAAGAAATCTGGTAGTAGCCACCCCTTTCTAACAACAAACAAGGTTGAACAAACTGAAAAATCAATAATAATTCTTAGACCTGTAAGAGACTTGAGATTAAAAGGCCTCAATATGAAGAGACAAACAGGTAAATACAGAGAGTCACAATTTACTAGAGCAAAAACCTAAGCAGAAACCAGTGCTGGGGTAAGGATACCTAAACTGTAATTGATGAGCTGCCGGAGGCTCAGTGTGGGTAGGTTTGAGTCAAAAACCCCAGGTGGCTCCAATTGTAGAAGGGCACCTACTATTTGTGAATTTTTCCTCTAAGAGCTTAACAGGTTGTCATCAGGAACAATGGAGGAAAATCCACTTATATTTATACCATAGGGAGTAGAAAAGGAAACATTTTGAAATACACCAGAGCTTATGTTTTCCTTAACAAGATCTGCTCTCAAAAAAAAAAAAAAAAAAAAACTAACCAGAGTCTAACCCCTTTGGGATTATCTGAGCCTAACTGAGCTGGGTGAAAGGAAATAAAAAACTCTAGCTGGCTACTCCACCAGGACAAAGGGAAATAGCAGTCTCACTCCAGTCCACTCTAGCCATCTTGTTCTACCTAAGGGCAAGTAAGAGTGGGGGCTACTGAGATGCACCTGTAAAGTTCATAGTTCAAAGGCACAGATTCACAAAAAGACTGAGACATAATCAAAACACCATAAAATGATTCCTATCCCTGCATAACTTACCATCACATTATCAAAGGCCTATTCACAACAGTTTCTTTAACCTAATATATCATATGTGGCTATAAAGAAAAAATTACAAGCATACTATAGACAAAAAATACAGTCCGAAAAGACTGTAAGAAGAATCAGAAACAGACTCAGATATGGCAGAGGTGATGGAATTATCAGATTAAGAATTAAAAAATAATAGGCCAATGATCTAAACAGAGACTTCACCAAAGAAGATATTCAAATAACAAGGAAGTATATGAAAAGATGCTCTACCTCATGTGGTGCATGATTAAAGCAATGCAAATTAAAACAACAATGAAATAACACTACAGTACCAATGCTGTAAAGCAACAAAATGTAGAGCAACAAGGATTTTATTCATTGCTGGTGGGACCGCAACATAATATAGACACTTTATAAGACCGTATTGGAGGTTTCCTGAAAAACTAAACATAATCTTATTATAGTATCCAGAAACCTCACTCCTTAGTATTTTCCCAAAGGAGCTGAAAAACCTTTGTCCACACAAAACCTGCCTATAGATGTTTACAGCAGCTTTATTCATTATTACCAAAACTTGGAAGAAACCAAGTTGCCCTAAACAAACTGTGGTACATGGACTATTCAGTGCTAAAAAGAAATGAATTATCAAGCTACAAAAAACTAGGCATGGAGGACATAATGCCTATCACTAAGTAAAAGATACCAATCTGAAAAGGCTACCTACTGTATGACTCCACCCATATGACCTCTGGAAATGGCAAAACTATGGAAAGGGTGAGAATCAGTATTTTCTAGGGGTTGGGAGGAGAGAAGGCTAAAGAGGCAGAATACAAAGAATTTAAAAAAAAAATTTTTATATGTTGATGAACCCTTATTTTATTCATTTATTTACATGCGGTACTGAGCATCGAACCCAGTGCCTCACACATGCTAGACAAGCACTCTGCCACTGAGCCACAACCCCAGCCCCAGAATACAAAGAATTTTTAGGACAATAAAAATAATATGTATGATACTATAATGGTGGCTACAGTCATTATAAATTTGTGCAACCCCATAGAATGTATAACACCAAGGGTGGACCTTACTGTAAACTACAGAGTTTGAGGTGACAATGATGTGTCAATGTAGATTTATCAGTTATAACAAATGTACCACTCTGATGGGTGATGTAGATAATGAGGGAGCTAAGCATGTTTTGTGGGTATATGGGAAATTCTCATACTTTCCATTGTTTTACTATGTATCTAAAATTGTTCTAAATATTAAAGTCTAGTTTTAAAAGGCTACAAACATAAGAAAATGAATCTAGGGGCTGGGGTTGTGGTTCAGTGGTAGAGAGCTTGCCTGGCATGTGAGAAGCACTGGGTTTGATCTTCAGCACCATATAAAAATAAATAAATAAAATAAAGGTACTGTGTCCATCTACAACCAAAAAAGAATATTAAAAAAAGTAAGTATATCTATTTTTATAATCTTGCAATGGGGAAGGTCCAAGTAAGGTCTTTCTAAAACCTAAAAGTCACAAAGAAAAAGTGTGACATATTTGATTATATAAAAATTAAAATTTCTGCTAGGAAAAAAAAATCATTATAAACCAATAGACAAATGACTAAGAGGGAATTATGCCACATATAGGACCAAAGGCTAACCTCCTTAATATACTAAAAGGTGCTATATATCATTAATGAAAATATAAACCATTGTATGAAAAATCATAGATAAGGAGTTCATTTTTTAAAGTGGCTTATGAAGATAGGATAAATACATTCACACTTAAAGAAATGAAAATTAAAACAATCAGATAACCCATATGTCACTATTAGAATAGAATGAAAAAAATTAAAAACTCTGAAAACTGTGGCTGTATAAGAATACAGTCATTCAAATATTTTCAGGGAAGCATAAATTGTGAAATTTCCTTGACAATTTAAATAATTATTAAAATTTAAAATACACATACATTTCCATTTCTAGAAATTTATCCTTGAGACATATTGATATATTATCTCTGCAAAATACCTAAGCATTTTGTTACCACATCATTGCCACTACTAGAAAAAGACCATAAACTTAAATATCCATCAAGAAGAACTAATTAAATTCCTACTATCTAGTTATTTTTTTAAAAATGAAGTAGATCTATAATGATCTGGAAAGAACTCCTACATACTGTCAAGTGGCAAAGAGAAAGTATTTAACAGTGTATATGTATGCTTCCATTTTCAAAAGGGGGTGGATTATATATTAGACTGAATGAAACAAATTTATCTTTTTGAGGGTAAAAACTGCCAAATATTAGCAACTACCTGATTCTGCATATACATGTGGTGATGTTTGTATAGATTTAGACTATTTCAGGAAAGATAAACAGATGTTAGTAACAGTGGTACCCTCTGTGGAGGAAAAGGCACACTCATACATTGTTCTAGGAAGAAAACCAAGTTTGAAATGAAAAGGAGCTACTTTTCTTTTTTACAGGTGCATTGTATTTGTACATAATGGTGAATCTGTTGTTACAATATAATTTGATCAATATCTTTCCCCAGAGCTTTCCCCTTTCCTCCCCTCCTCTCACCCGCTGGCCTACCTTCCTCTACTCTGCGGGTCTCCCTTTGCTTTTCATGAGATCACCCCTTATCTTTCTTTTCCTTTTTTCTCTCTAGCTTCTATATATGAGAGAAAACATGACCCTTGATCTTCTGACTTTGGCTTATTTTGCTTAGCATAATCGTTTCAAATTCCATCCATCTTCCTGCAAATAAATAATTTTTTGTGATTGAATAAAAATCCATTGTGTATCTATACCACATTTTCTGTATCCATTCAGCTGTTGATGGAACCTGGGCTAGTTCCATAGTTTGGCTATTGTGAATTGTGCTGCTATAAAAACATGGGTATGACTGTATCCCTATGATGACTTTAATTCTTTGGGATAAATATTGTGGCTGGGTCGTATGGTGCTTCCATGCCTCGTCTTTTGAGGAACCTCCATACTGATTTCCATAGTGAATGTACTAATTTACAATCCCACCAACAGTGTAAGTGTTCCTTTTTCTCCACATCCTTTCCAGCATTTATTATTGTTTGAATTCCTGAGGACTGACATTCTGACTGGTGTGAATGGCCATTTTATTTCTTCTTTTATGAAGTTTCTGTTTAATTTATTTGCCCATTTATTAATTAGGTGGTTTTTTTGGTGCAAACCTTTTTGAGTTCTTTATATATTCTAGGTATTAATTCTCTGTCGGAAATGTAGCTAACAAAGATTTTCCTCCATTCTGTAGGTTCTTTTTTCACATTACTCCTTCCTTTGCTGTGCAGGCACTTTTTAATTTAATACCATTTCATTTATTAACTCTTGGCATTATGTCCCAAGCTTTAGGGGTCCTAATGAAAAAAATCATTACCTGTCCTTTATGCTGGAGTGTTGACCTTTGCTTTCCTCTATAAGTTGCATAGTTTCTGGTCTAATTGCAAGGTCTTTGATGCATTTTAGTTAATTTTTGTATATCTTTCTTCTGATGTACAATCAACAAATATATGAAAAAATGTCATCATCTCTAGCAATTAGAGAAATGCAAATTAAAACTACTCTAAGATTTCATCTCACTCCTGTCAGAATGGCAGCTATTATGAAGACAAACAAAAATAAGTGCTGGCGAGGATGCGGGGGAAGAGGCACACTTATACATTGCTGGTGGAATTGGTGCAGCCAATATGGAAAGCAGTATGGAGATTCTTTGGAAAACTGGGAATGGAACCACCATTTGACCCAGCTATCCCTCTCCTTGGTCTATACGAAAAAACAGCATACTACAGGGACACAGCCACATCAATGTTTATAGTAGGACAATTCAAAATAGCTGAACTGTGGAACCAACCTAGATGCCCTTCAATAGATAAATGGATAAAAAAAAATGTGGCATATATATATACAATGGAATATTACTTGGCAATAAAAGAGAATAAAATCATGGCATTTGCAGGTGAATGGATGCAGTTAGAGAAGATAATGCTAAGTGAAGTTAGCCAATCCCCCCCCAAAAATGCCAAATGTTTTCTCTGATATAAGTAGACTGATTCATAGTGGGGTAGGGAAGGGGAGCATGGGAGAAATAGACGAACTCTAGATAGGGCAGAGGGGTGGGAGGGAAGGGAGGAGGCAGGGGGTTAGAAAAGGTGGTGGAATGTGATGGACATCATTATCTAAAGTACATGTATGAAGACATGAATTGTTGTGAATATACTTTATATACAACCAGAGATATGAAAAATTGTGCTGTATATGTAATATGAATTGTAATACAATCTGCTGTTTATATATATATATATATACATATATATTTAATTTGTAAAATGAAAAGACAAAAATTATTTCATTCTAATGATTTTGGAGACTAGAACAGTCAAATATAAATCTGTCTTTTGAAAATTAAGTAAAAATCTGAAAAATGCCTTTTAAAGACCTCTAAGATAACTTAGCAATTCCATCCAGCTTTATACAATCACATAATATGCCAACAGCTAACATCCTCTGAGCTTTAACTATGTGCCATATACTATTATACAAATGCCTTAGAAGTATCAATTCATTTAATCCTTACAAAAACCCTAGAATAATATCACATTCTAAAGAAGCAGAAATGAGGCAAGTCAAATAACTTGTTCAGGATTACATGGCAAGTATACAGCAAAATTCAAATCTAAAAAAGTTTGGTCTAAAGACCCACTGTTAACCATCAAATGATACTCCTTAATGGTATTCTTGAAATAGAATATTTACTACCAGTAAAATAATTCTCTAAAAATAAAGACTACCAAATTTAAATATTTAGTGGAATGAAGAAAAAAAATCACACTATGCTTCTTTAATATACCAATGTTCATTACAGAAAAGCATTGCAGGAAAAATTTTTATTAAAAACTGTACATGTAATACATGCTGTTTACCTGGCAAAAACTTCAAAGTTTGCAGCATCTGTCTTTCCTGAGAGAAATCCACCATTAAGTGAGTCATGCTGTCACTGACCTTTGGTTTCAAAGAAAGGCGAAAGGCTGAAGCCATTGTGACTCTATGGTAAACACAAATATACTTTTTAAAACAGAAGAACAAGAAGTATCAAATCATTTAATGTATAAAATGAAAAGACAAAAATTATTTCATTCTAATGATTTCAGAGACTAGAACAGTCAAATATAAATCTGTCTTTTGAAAATTAAGTAAAAATCTGAAAAATGCCTTTTAAAGACCTCTAAGATAACTTAGCAATTCCATCCAGTTTTATACAACCGTATAATGTGCCAATATCAATAAAAGAAATATCCCATATAAATAATCCTTACCAGACCCAACCTTCATCTGAACCTCTGTACACTCAATCATACTGACCTCCTGATGCCACCCCCACTCCTTTTCACATGCCAAATAGTGAAGTGTATATACAACCTGATTCAAACATTCTCCCCTGTAGTAATAGCTACATCGTGTGCCCTACAACAAGAATTGAAGCAGATGGATATAATATTGTATAGTATAGTAGTACCTGTTAAAGACATGCCATGGATGAGAAAGGAAAAAGGTGAAATCATGACCAGTGAATATCATACCAGCAGAGGTCACTGATCTGTCAGCATTAGCTACATACATGGAAGGATATTAAGAGAAACAGCCCCATGGAACTACATGCCATGGAAATAATAGGACTTCAACAAACACTTACTAGATGAATGTGAAGTTAAAAAAAAGAATGAAGCCAAGCTAGATCTTAATTTGTCAATAGTGTAAGGAAACTATTTTCAATTAAAACTAGAGATCAAAAAAAACCCTTTTACTATCATTATATTTCAAATTAACAGTAAATTTCCACAGGTGTTACAAAGTCCTTTATAATCTTTGATCAAAGAATGGTACACAGAAGCACTATTCATGAATGCATTCTCCTAGTACCTAATTTGGGAGAGAAAGTAAATAGAGATGGAAGAACAAAGGGAACCAGGCCACGCCTAGTCAATCAGATCTATCAAATCTAACCAAGACAGAGATGTATTCACTTATTTGGAAATGAAAAATGTCAAAATGTTGCTGTTTTCAGTTATTTACAACTAAAAAAGTAATCACTACACAACAATGAATAAACAGTTGATTTATTTACCAAAAAGAAAGTACTACATTAAAATCAATTTATACGGAAGAGAACTCAAAATGACTGCTTACTGTATTGACAAATATAATGCTAGTATTCCACACTTATTACATTAAGCTGTTTATTCTCAAATAATAAATTTCAAATTATATCAAGAAGTTAGGAATAAACGCTTAGTCTTGTATGTTGTTCTTTATAGTCTCAAGTATCCTTTGAAGACATCAGTAAGAGTTACATTAAAATAGGTTCTTACTAAACACTCTCTAAATCAGTGAATGGGTTTGAACTTACTTGGTTTCTTCTAAGCCTGATAAACAACATGACTCTTTAACGAGAAATGCTGAGGGAAATTATCAGAAAGTATTTTAGAAAATTTAAAATATGAAACCTGAAAAATCTATAAAACTTGATTTAATCACTATAAGTACAAACAAAAAGAATGTCTACCAAAAGTGGATTAGAAAGGTTTAGCAAAGCCTAAAATAAAACTGGTTCCTAGTCAATGAAAACTTAAAAGTTCAAATGAATCAATTCAAATATGCAACCATGCTACACTCTTTCAATATCTTTTATTTTTAAACTGAATATATTTAAACAAATGTGCCTCAAAGCCCAAATTACAAATCTCAAATTTCTAAATCATCTCTAGAGATTCATGTGGTTAAGCATGTTTCACCTTGACTTGCTTATGAGTTTACTTCTAATAGTATCAGCTGAACTCAAGGATGGCTTCCTTCTTTTTGCAAAGATAAAGCAACTATATAAAACACATGAACACATTTAATTTTCTCAGACAACCTAATTTGCCTCTCCTCTTCATGATCCTTCTCTTCCAAGAACCAATAATTCTCTCCTTTTCTCCTCTTTTTTTTTTTTTTTTTTTTTTTTTGTGGGGGGTATACTGGGAATTGAACTCAGAGGCACTTTACCAATAAAGCTACATTCCTCATCTCTTTTTAATTTTTTTTTTTTTTTTTTTTTGAGACAGGGTCTCGCTAAGTTGTGTGGAGCCTCACTAAATTGCTGAGGCTGGCCTTAAAATTATGATTCCCCCTTTCTCAGTGTGCCATCACACCCAGCAATAACTCACTCACTCACTCTCTCTCTCAACTAATCATCTTCCCAAATTACCAAGTTCCCTAAGTTATACACCAGTGATTTTAAATTTTTGGAAATATGCCATGTATTATTTCTCAGTCTTCAGTTTTCCTTCTCACTCCTGCCATTCTTTTACCTTAAATCATAGCAAATGATACTGAAGTTTCAATATACTTTTAGTTCATTTTAAAAATTTTTAGTGGAATTTATTGTTACATCTTTGTACATGCACATAATACAACAATATAATTTGGTCATTTTTAAAAATATGATTCCTTGCTCAGATTTTAAACTCTTCCTTAAAATTCATCTTTACATAAGAGAATAATCCCTTCTTAGCTTGATGAAACAATATTTCATTATGACTATATTTTAAAACTATTTTCATACTACAAAAGGTAATGATGGAATTCTAGAAACTCGTTTTCTGAGAGATCAGAAACTATATTAGGGAAATCTGGGTTTTATGAAGCTAAAATCGTGTTTAAATAATTAAGCTAAGACCCAGAAATACTCCTCAGGCAGGAAGCAAATACTTTGAAAGTAGCCAAAAAATAAAAAAATATATATATAAACTTTGAGCAAAACAAATTAAAAAGTGAAATTTTCCCTAACAGAAATAAGGAATCCTGGCCTGCTGGCTGAGAAGAGGAAGTAAAGTCAAGCTTCAGTGAAGAATACAGTCATGAAAGGTGCTCATAAAATAAAATTATGCCAAATCTGGACAAAGAGAAAGAGATCAGGAATAAGGACAGAATTCTGGGAAGCAAAACCATACAGAATCTTGAAATGAAGATTTTGCAAGGTCTCTCACAAGGTCTTTGGACAGCCCAAAGTCTGATTAGGAAGTGACTTCTAATACAAAAAATAAGGAACCAGAGGAGAATGTAACAGAATAGTAGCTAAACAGGAAAAATAATCTAGGCAGAATGGAATTTGGATTGCTCATAGCAAATTCCAGCAGACACAACTCAAATCTACTTCATTAATAAACTATTGTATTAGTCATTACTCATATTGCTAATGTTTCACCTTTGACCTCTCATAATCACATCAGGAATGGTGGCATGTGCCTATAATCTCAACTACTTGGAAGCTCAGATAAGAGGGCTGCTTGAGCCCAGGAGTTTGGGTCCAGCTGGCCAACACAATGAGGCCTTGTCTCTTAAAAAAAACAATGAAAAAATAAAATAAAATAAAAACTTCTCATAATCTTTTTTCTATATCCAGGATGTATAAGAACAACCTATACCTTTAACTACTACCTGATGTAAAATATAAAAGATAAAAAATTAATATTTGTGCTAAAAATGCTTTTACTACTGTGTAAATCTTGCCTTCTAGTCAAATTAAAAAATAAGAGAAACCAGAATTGAAAATTCCTGCAAAAATTAACAATGGCTACACTGGTTTTTTTCATACAATCCAAAAGGAGTATTTTCATGAATTATCTGATGAACAACAATTTAATATAAGATTCAGAATAATGTTTGAAGAGCTTTGCCTTTCAGAAATTCTTATGATCCTCAGATGAAGAACCTTAAGTTATGTTCTCTCTACAGACAATGCTCAATGACTGGTCAAGCAGACCAAATCCATTCCTGCTGTGTGAACACAATCCAAATGTAGCCAGCAGCAATTTAAGCATTCTGATATATTCATTTTGCAACTGCTAAGTTCTCTTTTTTATTATTACCTCTACCAATGAGAAAAACATTCTAAGCTAACGTCTTTAATAATTTTCTCTTCCCACAGAACATAAACTAGATAGTGATGGCATTAGAAACAGAAAGAGATGGCACCAGGAACAGGATAGAATGAGAATACAAAGGTGTTAAAGAGTGAAGTATAAGAACTTTAGCTATTGAGGACTTATTTTAAAATACTGTGACTTCTCTGAAAATAAGATCTGCTTATATTTAAATCTAAAAACAATGAAAATGCATTCCAGGAATACTTATTTTTAAATTATTCAAAATAGTACCCTCTCCACTAATACAACTAGTTAAGAACTTTTCTAAAACTAACTATATTATTATACCAGAAATGAAATTCTTTTGGAAGCACATAATTGTCCATAACTATGTTCTTGAAACACATTTTTTTTAAAAAAATCTTACTGATTACCCCAAGAGGATATAGAGATATCTTTATTTTGTAAAAATACTTGGCCATTGGGCATTTTTATTTAAACCAAAATTCTAATAAAAAACTATTTCTGAATTTCATTTCTGACTTCAATATTGATACTTAAATAAAATATAGTTTTTATACCATACCTATCCTTGATCTGTCTGGCAGCCTTGAAGCAAATCAGGGAGAAGAGAAAGAAGGTAGTTAGTGCTTTTCATGCGAGTTTCAATGGCAGTGACATGCAAGAAAAGTTAGGATATAAACCCTGCAATAGATTAGTTGTTCATATTCACCAAAACATAAATTACAGAAAATCTGTACCGTTCACATAAGTTTTCATGATGTGATGTTAGAACTTAATAGAAAAACCAGACCCCATATAAATCCCTTAAAAGGAGAAAAACACTCCAAACTAATTCTAAATGACTTTAAATGTTTTTTCTTACCTTAAGGTCATTAAAACACACCTCCATTTCATTCAGTCTGACATTTTTCAACTAGAATAAATCTCTTTATGGGACACACACTTCTGTGCATCCTAGTGATTTTTCTTGTACATGTCAAATCTGTTCTTTAATTTTTCTTTAGAGATGTTTGAGTAGATAAGAACTTTGCATTCTAGAGTTTGCCTGCTAATGTACAAAACTAGGCTGCAGCTTACGAGTCTTTTACCCCAAAGAATTAGGTTGTAGTGCCAGAAATTCAGATGAGGAGGGACCAGAGAAGTACTTCTAGAAATGGGGTCTTTCTTTCCCTCAGGTGATTTCACAGAAGCTGCAAACCTTAACCTATTATACATATGTCTTATTTTTTTTTAGGTACAAGTTTAAGAAGGGGACAGAGTTATAACTTGGTGTTGGTCCAATCATGGAAAAACAATGAAAATGCAAAAACTATTGGCCTTTTACATTTGTATACAATATAATATAGCCAAAAGTTTTCTCTCACACTATTAAGCACAGTTAATAATATATCAAAGGTAGAACATGGCCATTTTGCTGAAAACTCTATCCCTAGTGCCTAGCATAATGCCTGGTATGCAGTAATAGTATTATTTAATTAAATTTAATGTTAATTAGATGTATATAGCTATGCTTCTTTGGCCTTTCTCCTTCAATTCTAACACTGATTCTACTTTTGGTCACTTTTATAACCACCCTAAAATATTTTAGTCTGAATATCACTGAGATTTCAGAGATAATTATGTTACACAGTTCCAGCATTACCATTATCCAACTCTGTAACCTTGTATACTAATCATTTTATTTCTTTACTAAGGGATTTTGATCCTTAATGATTCTAAAAGTTCTTTCCAAGGTCTTTATTCTACAGCAAACAGTCCAATTCTGTGGAAGGCATCTATATGTGTTTTAAGACATGAAACTAGTTTGGTACCAGGGATAAGAAATGTAAAGAAAGTTAATTATACTGATTTTTAAAAATTACTGTCATAGCTAGAATTACAAAACAAAGATCTTAAATACAAGGGAGGGAAAGAGGGGACTCCTCTGTACCTGATATTTCTTTACACATGGAGGAAATGCCATTAGCATTACTCCTTTAACCTTTCTAGTCCCTCATTTCTTCTTGGTAAGTAATATGACTTATTTGATTATGAGTTTGAAAGGACAAAATAGAAATGAGAAGTTCAGTATCTTCCACTTTTTCTGGCAGTTTGTTTGCCCACAGAGAATACATGTTGTGTTCCTTCCCTCTCTGCTTTCAGTTTCACTGAAAGAGGACTCCCACCCACAGTAAACTGAGGTAGCCACTGTTGAACAAATGTGGGAGGGCTAGTCTGTCTAATTCTGGGATTCAATACTAAGAAACTTGCCCAATGGTATAACTCATATTATACAATATTATATTATCAGCATTTGGCCTTTTATCAGTTTTATTGTTTTACCTTAACTCTTAATTGGTTGTGAACTTTGTTGGAGGAATGCTACTTATCGATCTCCCTTATATAACCCAATGATATGAAGATCATTACTATTTTTTAAACTGACCAAGATGATTCTTTTTTATGTCTAGTGTTGCTTAATTTAGTGAATCATTTTTCGTGTTTGTGTGTATGTGCACATATGCATGCATGCAAAGTTTTTATGGTATTATTTCATATATCACATTGTGAAAAAACAGTAAAGGAATAGTTGAAAAGTCAGATAATCTAGGAAAAAGGGTTTTCTCATATATTTATATGTTGATAAAATTGAAAATTCTGTGACTCCTCTTCCAAAGGTCAAATTTTATTGTATGTATACTGTATGAAGGCAGAATTTAAGAAATTATAGCTCAGCTGGTACAGTGCTTGTCCTGCATGCACAAGGCCCTGGGTTCAATCCCCAGCACCATAAAAAAAGAAATTATCTTGTACAATAAGAAAGAAAAGTTTCAAAATCTAAAGATATTTCTCTAAAAGTGTCCAATTTTAAGAAATGTCTTAAAATGGAAAATAAATTTTTTCTAGAATTTCTTCTCCCAAAGCAGAAAGCTAACCAAAAGATACATATTACTACACAGCTTGATTCCTCTATTTCAATTTCAAGAATGATAAATTTTATTAATTAAGAATTAAGCATCTGGTACTTAATTAAGAATTAAGTACCAACTGATCCCAGGATTTACCATAGCTCTGCTGCTTGCATATTTATTTTTTATCTGCATAACTCCATTTAACGAGTTATGAAGAAGTCTCAGTAAATGCTTAAACTTATTTTAGGTTATGGAATTGTATATCACTGGAAAGCTTCTAAGAAGCATTAGTCATTAGTTACATCACTACTCAACATCACTATTTAGGTCTCTGAAACAACTCATTACTTCTACATTTATTCGTAATATTATCATTTTTGTCTTGTTATACAAAGGGGAAAAAAAGAGGTAGTTTCAAAATACTATTTTCCTTTAGATAAAAATCATCATCCTTCTAATGACTCCATACATCAAAAGTTTTATATTTTTTACACATATATTTATCTGTTCACAAAAGAACTTTTAAAAATCACAATTGTTTAAAGTATTTGTCACTCACTAGTATGGCAATTTGTAAATCAATGGATGTGTAACTGATGTGATTCTGCAATTTGTGTATGGGGTGAAGGTGGGAGTTCATAACCCACTTGAATCAAAGTGTGGAATATGATATGTCAAGAAATTTGTAATGTTTTGAACAACCCACAATAAAAAATTAAAAAAAAAAAAAAGTATTTGTCACAAAATCACAGTAAATAACTTGAAACAAACTTTGAAACTGAGGAATTCATATAAAGGTGAAAACTATAGATTGAGCTATACATAATAAATATTTGTTTTTAAATTGCCTTCAAAATGAAAGAATGTTGTTGAAGGTCCTCTCCTCTCCCAGCATTCCTGACTTCAACCAACATGAGTAGCTTCCGCCAATAATTTTCCCTTGAAAGTGCTGCGTGAGTTCTTTTCTTGTTTTCTCCTCCCAGTGGCCAGAGCCTGACACTTGCTGAACAATATTCCAGTAGTGAGTTATTTTGAGTTAGAAGAGAGAAATATATTAAACCCACTTTAATGTATTTATCTGTGGTAAAATGCAGAAGGCACTGCTCCCCTTTTACCCTACTCTGCACTTTTTATTCTACTGTGGGCACTCATGGGTAGGAAACAATTCGCTCACTTCTAGTCTGACAACTGCATTGTAATGAGGTGGCAAATTAATTATATTGACTTGGAAACTGTTCTGCTGACCCAACTCTTTTCATAGGGAGAATTCAAGGTCTACATTCAGGGTTAGAATAAGAATATCATCTGAAGAAAAGGATCCAAGCAGTGTTCCACAGGCAAGTTATTAGCAGAAAGGTCAGACTTGGTAGAGCTTTGGCAACTTGTTCATCCAGCAATAAACCTAATAATTTGTATCCCATTTGCTGGTGATCGTTCTGCATATACTTACTATCAATCAAACTTCTAGTAGGTTTTTTTTTTTTAAGTAAAAATATGTTCAAAAATCCCATCCTATTTGTGCTATTTCTATTTGCTTACTTTGAGATTGTATGATGGTGGTGAACAGAGCAGCTTCATGCTGATGTAAGGCAACATGATAATGTAAATATTAGTAGTAAGATACTCTTAAAGATAAGAAGTATGATAGGACCCGTTGCCTGGATTTTTCCTTAATCATTTGTTTTTGTTCCCATGAACTATTCTTATTAATTTGATTTAAGCACTTAAATATTCACAAATAGTATGCCTTAAAAGAATTTCTTTTTCCAGATATAACAATATGCTATTGGTCTAATAATTAATCTTAAAAGTCCTCTCTTTATTTTGTCAACAACTATGTGTTTGAAGCAGGCCTACAGACCACTGCAGATGGATAAGGAAGTGATACTAAGAAAATAACTTCAAGCAGTTAAGAATTTTTCTTGAATAAACTCACATTTCTGGTTAGGAAAGACTGACAATTCATTTCTTCACCTCTCCAAATGGTTTAAGATACAAAGAAGTACTATAAAATGCTGGGAGAAGAGACCAAATTAGATAATGAAAAAACAAAGTGGCATATTAAGAAAATATTTTTAAACCACAATGTGATTTATCAGAACCTTTCCAATTTACAATTTTTGGGAAAAAAATTTAAAAATAGAAAGAACAAAGAAGAGAGAAAGAGAAATGTGCAGCATTTGAGAGGAAGAGGAGAGAACTATACTGAAAATGTCAACAAAAAGAGAAACTTGAAATAAATAAACATTTATCACAGTTTTTCCAAGTAATAGTCCTATTTAAACACAACTGAGTTCTTGTGTTCACATTTTTTAGTTTTCCTGTCTTCTTCACTCTAGGGCTAACTCCTGCTGTTAGGATTAAACTGGCCAGAAACAGTTACCCTACTCCACCAGAAGGGGAATCTGTTGACAAGTAGGAATTATTAAAAAAAAGAAAAAAAAAAACACCCTAAAAATTAGAAGAACCGTGTTCAAATTAATAGTCAACAGACTCTGAGTCATCATTGTGAACAGGGAATATAAATTCCTGTTCATGAACTCCATATAACAATGATTTTGATGACTCAAAATATTATTATTTTTTTTTTACTTTCTGCATGTTTCTTGGCTATGTTCCAGATATTTAAGTTTATCACGTGAATGCCCTGTATATAGGGGACATCTCATACTACACTAAAGTATTTTGAAGAAAAAGTTTCCTCATAATTCCTTTTCACAGCAAGTCCTACAAATGCAACGGTAAACTTTTTACAACTCACCTACAAATCTAAGAATTAATTAGTGTAGTAGTCTACTTTGATTTATGTTGTTAAAAGAATAAATTAATTTTTAAAGTTCATCTTTAAAAATGCAAAGATTTAGGGTAAAAATGTTATCAAGGAGTTTTTTTCTACCTCAAGTTCACAGGAAAGTCATAGAATGAAAACATTGACTAGATACAAATGGACTATAAAAAGTACCTTTCTAACATTAATAAAATTCACTGCCTAGTCCACAATTAGGAACATCAAACTTAAATCTAATCCTGATAAACTATACAGTAACATTTTGTTAATTATATAGTTTAATTTCCCCTAGTTCATACCTTGTCTTTGCTAATTCTACATCCTTGAGTTTTAAATTGATAAACTGAAAATCATTTTAAAATCACCCTATTTAAAATAAGTATAGGGGCTGGGGATGTGGCTCAAGCAGTAGCACGCTCAGCTGGCATGCATGTGGCCCGGGTTCGATCCTCAGCACCACATACAAACAAAGATGTTGTGTCCGCCAAAAACTAAAAAAAAAAAAAAAAAGTTAAAAAATTAAAAAAATAATAAAATAAGAATCCTTTAAATGAGAGACTCTAAGTTAAAACAGAAGCAAGCTAAGCTACCTGCTTTTACTCCTTTTATTTCTATCCAAACATACTCTTTAACAAGGACCTATTTTTTCATGTTTTAATAAAACATTCAATTAATTAGGCTAAATAACAGGACATTTGTCTCCAATAAGAAGTTTCACAGGGTTACAATGCTTATATGTATCAATTGATAATGTTTTCCCAATCAACTCTTAGAAAACTAGTTTTGAACCACATCAATGGTAATACCAATCTTCTTTCCTCGGTCATGAAAAGTCTAAAAGAAAGATATGACTCCATTCAAGTACATAAGTACCTTTAAATAATTACCAATAGAGATATAACTAAAAGGAAAGTAACTTGATTCATCTGAATTGAATAGTAAAGAAAAATTAAACTAAAATAGTTAACGTTTTCATGATCCCAAAGATACATACTAATAAGTGTCTCCTTTAAAACAAAGCAGCTTGAGAAGTTTGCATTTTAATTATCCAGAAATCCCAAGCTTCTTCAACATTAGAAATGACTGAACAACAAAATGAAAAAAAAGGGGAAAAAATAAAATAAATTAAAAAGAAATGAATAAACAAATCCAAAACTAAAGGAGTTAACTCCTTTATAAAGTGTATTAGAGTAAATTTTTTTCATAAGTGTTTTTTTTTGTACCTTTGAAAAATCTTCAGGCTCCTTTATATCTAAGGACCTTGTCGCAAATTCTAGCAATTCTTCAGAATTCTCCAGGGCATTATTACATTGACTAAGCTGATTCTAAGGGGGAAAAAAACCTAAATCATTAATATGAAGTTTCTTATTGCCACCAGAAATTTAAAATATACATTGTTATAATAAATTTATAAATGATTTTAATAGCAGTAATGAAAAAAAATTCAGAGAGCTGCTGAAGCAAGATAATCATGACCAGTCATATATTCAATAAGCTTATATTATTTTAATACTTTGTATTTCTTTCCATAATTTATGTAAAAAGCTTAGCTTTGTATGTATAAAGATAGAATTTAAAACAAAAAAGAAAAGAATTATAAACTACTGGGGCCAAATTTATTTGAAGATTCTTCTCTACTAATAAAAGTAGTCAGAAAACTATCTACAATTTAAATTAAAATAACAATCTACCTTAAGACAACATCCTCTGTAATGAAGACTAAATTTCTTAATGATAACTATTTAAGCTAAAGTTTGTGAAATGAGGTGCAGGTACATTCAAGTTGAGCATCACTTATCACACTATTCAAGAAATGCATACTACTGAAATATTAATTAAAATTTCCAAGACTGGATAGCACAAGAACTACAAGTCAAGTACCTAGAATTAAATAGGAATGAAGAGAAACAAAAGAGAGGAACTGTTATAGTGATATGCTCAGTATTCATGCTTACATATTAATTCCACCTAATACAATCTTATTTAGTTTTCTCTTTCACTTTCTCTTCTTCCCTTCTCAATTGTAGGTCATGTGAAAAGATTGGTAGTGATTCCACAAACAGAGAAACAAACCAACTACTAGGCTTTTAAATGTATATAAGATTCTTCTTCAAAATATTTAACTAGTCTCTATTCCATATTCAAGCCTACTTATTTTCCCCTTAAGATTGCATTAAAAGCCATACTACCAAAAAGCAATATCCAGATTCAAAGCAATCCCCATCAAAATACCAATGACTTTCTTCACAGAATTAGAAAAAAAATGTGTTAAATTCATTTGAAAGAAAAGGAGACCCTGAATAGCCAAAGCAATAATCAACAGGAAAAGTGATGCAGGAGGTATCACAACACCTGATCTGAAATTATACTACAAAGTTATAGTAACAAAATCAGCATGGCATTGGCATTAAAATAAATATGAAGACCAATGGAACAGAGTAGAAGACAGAGATAAACCCACATACTTATAGCCGTCTGATACTTGACAAAGGTGCAAAAAATATATTTTGGAGAAAAGACAGACTTTTAACAAATGGTGCTGGGAAAACTGGACAGCTATGTGTAGCAAAATGAAACCATATCCCTATCTCTTACCCTGCACAAAAGTCAAACTGAAATAGTCCAAAGACATAGGAATTAGACCAGAAAGTTTACAACCATTAGACGAAAACATGGGGTCAACACTCCATCATATAGATGTAGGCACCAACTTTCTCAACAAAACCCTTAAAGCTCAAACACAGGGGGAAATCTTCATTACACCACATATTGCAATACTGCATTTGTAACAAAAGCAAAAACAGATAAATGGGACTTGGAATAAATTCTGATAAGGGGTTAATATCCTGAATGTAAGGTTATGGGATATAACTCAGTACTACAGCCCTTGCCTAGCATGAGTGAAGTTCTCTAGATAAATAGTTAAATTAAAATATACCCAGAATGGGCTGGGGTTTGTAGCTAAGTGGGAGAGTGCTTGCCTAGCATGTGTGAGGCACTATGCTCAGCACCAACATATAAATAAGTAAAATAATGGTCCATTGACAACTAAAAATATATTTTAAAAAAATATTTACCCAGGATGTATAAAAAATTCCTACAACTTAGCCAGATATGGTGGCACACACTTGTAAACCCAGAGACTCGGGAAGTTGAGGTAGGAGGATCGAAAGTTGCTGAGATCAGCCTCAGCAACTCAGCAACACTCTGTCTCGAAATGCAAAGTAAAATATGGGGGTGGGGAAAAACCTGAATAGGCATTTCTCCAAAGAAAACAACAGAGATGATCAACAATTCAAAAAGATGCTCAGCATCTCTAATCATTCGAAAAATGCAAATCTAAACTGTAAAAAAACAACTACTATCAAACAAAACAAAACAAACAACAACAAAAAAAAAACCCAGAAAATAAGTTGGTGAGGATGTAGAAAAAAACAGAACTCTTATGTACTGTTGGTAAGAAGGTAAAATGGTATAGCCACTATGGAAAACAATATGAAAGTTTCTCAAAAAACTAAAAAGAGAACTACCACATGATTAGCAATCTGACTTCTGGGTATACAACAAAAGAATTAAAGGAGCATCTTAGGTTTATACTTGCACAACAAAATTCACCAAAGCATTATTCACATTAATCAAGAGGTAGAAATATCACAAACGTTGACAGATAAATGGATAAAAGAAAATATATACACACATGAAATATTATCCAACCAGAAATACAGGAAATCTTGATACATGCTACAACACAGATGAACCCTAGGGACATTATACTGAGTGAAATAACAGTATCACAAAAGGACAAACACTTTACAATTCTACTCATGTGAGATATCAAGAGTAATCAAAACAATGGAAGAGGAAACAGTATGATTGCCAGGAGCTGGCAGGAGGGGAAAATAAGGAGTTTTTGTTTAAGGGGCACATAGTTTCAGCTTTGTAATAAAATTTAAAAGTTCTTAAGCTCTGTTACATGATAACATAATTACAACATTTAAAAAACATCTGAAAGTAAATTTTGTTATTTCTTAACCATAATTTAAAAAAGAAAGTTTGAGCAAAGTTAAAAACCATTCTTGAATAAAAGTATAGTTATACTCACAAATTCACTAATTTTTGCTTTCAACACATCAAGCATTAAATAGAATATTCAGACTTAAATAGCTGCAGGGTCTCACCTGTAACTCGTGTGATTTACGAGCTTGTTCTTGCTTGATACTATTAATCATACTTTCTTTTACATCATCCAATATAGAGTACAAACTATCAAATTCTTCATCTAACTCTGAAAGTATGTTAGAAGAATTTTCCTGTTTTAAAAAACAAAACAGAATGCTATTACTGAAAAGCCTTCAAACATTTAAGAACTGAAAGGTATACACAAAGCGGAGGACAGGTTTCTATTACAAACTGCCAAAGCCCAATGTAAAAGTAAAAACTTCTAAATTTCATTTAAGGCTTTAAAAAGAGATGAATACAAAAAGCTGGCTGCTAATGAGGAGGGTGGTATTTTAGCTATGCTGGAGTTAAACTGCCTTTTATGTACTAACCCAAACACTCTTTACTTTTATAAAACTGCTTCTACAGGACAAGAAATAGGTTGTTTTAAAGTTCCCAACTTTATCTAGACCTTCAGGCTCTAAGGCAGTTCCTAAGCCAGTGGTTCTTAACTTTTGAAGTATTAGCAGAATGACCAGCAAAGAATGTTTTATCATTTTTTAATTTATATATGACAGCAGAATGCATTACAATTCTTATTACTCATATAGAGCACAATTTTTCATATCTCTGGCTGTATACAAAGTATATCCACACCAATTTGTGTCCTTATACATGTACTTTGGATAATAATGTCCATCACATTCCACCATCATTTCTAAACCCATACCCGCCCCCTTCCCTTCTCCTCCCACCCCCTCTGCCCTATCTAGAGTTCGTCTATTCCTCCTATGCTCCCCCTCCCTAACCCACTATGAATCAGTCTATTTATATCAGAGAAAACATTCGGCATTTGTTTTTTTGGGATTGGCTAACTTCATTAGCATTATCTTCTCTAACTCCATCCACTGATCTGCAAATGCCATGATTTTATTCTCTTTTACTGCTGAGTAATATTCCATTGTGTGTATATATCACTTTTTTGTAATCCATTTATCTATTGAAGGGCATCTAGGTTGGTTCCACAGTTTAGCTATTGTGAATTGTGCTTTTATAAACATTGATGTGGCTGTGTCCTTATAGTATGCTGTTTTTAAGTCCTTGCCAGTAAAGAATTTTAATAAAATATTGCAAAGAGTTTAATTCAGCAACTCTGAAAAACAGTTTGGGTATATAGGAATAGGGCTGATTTGTGTAAATTTTAAAATTCTTTAGGTTATCTAAAACACTGCATTTACATAAAATATATAGAACTTAAAAGACTATGAGCAATTCACTACTAGATCCTATGAGATTTATCAAACATTGAATTTTGTGCCAGAAGGAATATCAGAAATGATCTCATAATTAGAATTTGTAATTGAACTCCTCCTGCACTTTACAAACTAAAATATAGATAAGTGACTTTTCCAAAGCTACACAACTAGTTGTAGCTGCATCATCAATAAAGCATTCCAAATCTCGACTTTCCAAAGTTCTTATTGCTTCATTAAGCAGGATGCCACTATTTTAACAAGAAATAGCTTAAAATATTTGTGAAATCCCTAGATAGCAAATCCACCTTTGCAACAATTATGAAAGAAGAAATTCCCTTAAGGCATTTTTCAGCTTTGATAAATCATTCTATTAAGAGAAGCAAACTGGCATTGGTTAAGATGTCTTGTAATATATCCAAACTTTTGATTATAATGTTTATAAAATCCAGACACCATCTCAATATAGTCTCACAAAAAGTAGTGTTCACCATTTTTATTAGTTCATTTATAAAAGCAAAAACAAGCTTTGGAGAAGGAACGCAGAGTCCGGAAGGCAGAAGATTTACATCCCTCATTAACCACTAGTAACAGTGCAACCTTGTAAAAGCCACTTAAATTCCTATAGTGAGATTTTTTTCCCCTTATTTTCTTTTTCAGATAGTCTGTTGTTAGTATACAAACACTACCAAATTTTGTGTTGATTTTGTATCCTACAATTTTACCCAATTTATAGGTTTAACAGATTTTCATTACAGTTTTTAGAGTTTGCTACACATAAGTTTATATTATCAATTCCACTTCTTCCTTCCCTATTTGGATGTCTTTTATTTCTTTTTCTTATCTAACTGCTCTGAATAGTACTTCCAATACTATTTTGAATATAAGTGGTAACAGCAAGCATCCTTGTTTTATTCCTGATGGTAGAAGAAAAACTTTCAATTTTTCATCACAGAGTATGAGATTAGCTGTGCACTTGTCATATATGACCTTTATTGTGTTGAAGTACATTCTTTCTACACTGAATTTGTGGGAGAATTTTGAACTATGAAAAGATCCTGAATTTTGTCAAATTATTTTTCTGCATCTACTGAGTTGATCATGTGGTTTCTGTCCTTCGTTTTTATTAATATGATGTATCATATTTGTTGATTTACACATATATAAGGAACCATCCATATATAAGGACGAATTACACCTAGCCAGAGTGAATAATCTTTTCAATGTACTGTTGAAATCAGTTTGCTAATTTTTTTTGAGGATTTTTGCATCTATATTCATCAAGGATGTTGGTCTATAGTCTTTTTCCTCTTGTTGTATCCTTGTCTGGCTTTGACACCAGGGTGATGCTGGTTTTATAAAATAAGCTTAGAAGTAATTCCCTCCTCTTCAATTTTCTTGAAGTTTGAGAACTAGTATTAATTTTTCTTTAAATATCTGATAGAATTCAATTATAAAGTCATCAAGATCTGAGATTTTTTAAAATTATTATTGATTGAATTCAATTTCCTTACTTATTGGTCTGTTCAGATTTCCTATTTCTTCCTGATGCAGCCTAAGAATCAGTTTATCTTAAGTTTCCTTCTACAATCAACATCTGATGAAAAACACATGGATTGTCTACTCAAACCTGGGACCACTTCCTTAAATATTCCTCTTCCTCCTAATTGGGCACTTTAACTTTTATGTTTTATTTTTATCTATTTCATGTAGACCTCTTATCATCTACATTTTCTTTCTGCTATTTACTGTAAAAAAAAATTACTTGCAGGTACGTTGTAAGATACAATTTGCTCCTAGTTGGAATTAGAAAAGAAAAATATCAAATAGAAAAATACGAAAGTGAGCACTGTAATATTCCCTAGCAAGTACTCCAGAGTTTTCCTTCTCCTTTACTATTTGATTTTTCCACAAATAACACAGGAATGGCAAGGAAAGCATTTTTTACTTTATTTCCCATTTAAAACACCCTGCTCACAGCTCCATTAGCAGAAGTGTATTTGTATTTATAAATGTAAAGTATATTTATACTTATAATTTGACTCAATACTCATTCATTGTGATATTTACATAAATTTAATTAAGACTCATACCTGAACTCCTCTTAATGTTTGATTTAGTGTATCAATAAAGTTCTGAATTTCATCATTTTTATTTGCCAGAGTTGAAATGATCCTTTGTAGAGCTTCCTAGGATTAAAAAACAATTTAAATATTTCCTTTCAATGAAAAAGAACTACAAATCTTCTAACCATTTTCTAAACAAACTTTATGTAACAGCATATTACATAATAAATAGAAGCAAGTTTCTTCTCATTATTCACATTTTCCTAAGGCCTATTAATTCAAAAAATGACATATATCTGTACTATTTTTAACTCTCTAAGTATATACCTTAATCACCCTTCAGACTGAAAATGATCAGTATTATTCCTATTAATATTATTATTTGATGTTATAAGGCCATGGCAATGGAATAGAGTTAAATCCTTAAATGCTATAAAAACAAATAGAATTTCTAATATAGCATCAGGAAATGAAGAATAAAAGCAAGGAAACACTGAAATTTTTAAAAGTTGTATCTACTTATAAAAATTAAAAAACATTTTAGAAATATTAATCTAGGTAGTAAATTTGCATCTAGAATAATATTCATAGTAACATTTATAGATGCTATAGAATCACATAAAATAAAAAATTTTAGTAGTAAATACCCAAGACTTTGATAATACTTCCTACTTAAAACACAGGGTTATTATTTAACTTCCTTAAACTCAAGTTCAGTGCTATAAAGTAAAATTTTCTGCTATGACAGAAATGTTCTATATTTGTACTCATGTGGTAGTCCCCAGCCACATACAGCTAACAAGGTCGTGAACTGTGTCTAGCACAACTGAGGAACTAAATTTATTTTTTAACTTTAATTAATTTCAGTTTACATAGCCACACAGGACCAGTGCCAGCACAAGCCCAGATGCTTAATAACAGCAAAAACCCAACAAGGTACTTGTAGTCTCAGTAAATATCATATGTACTTTTCCTGTAGAATTTTTCCCAAAACAAAAGACTTATTTCTGAAAGTACCTACAAGTTTGTTTAATAAAACTCATAAAATTTGTGGGACAAAGATTCTCCTCAAAATATTATGTCAATCAAAGGTTATATATATATAAAGAGCCCAGGAATAATCTAAAAGAAATGTTTTATAAATGTTCATACAGCGTATTAGTGAAAAATTAGATTACAACAGGTCTAATTTAAGTGTCAAACAATCCCTAAAAATAAGGAGATATTATCATCCCTGTGCTCAGCCTAAGGGTTCTCTGTTATATTCGTTTACCTACACTATACCTTCCCATTCTCCTTCTTATGATATTTTAAGATAGTAACACAGTGAAGTTGTGTTATGAAAAAGACCAATGACACACCAAGAGTTAGTTGTTTATCCCTGTCAGTGATTTTCCCAGAACTAATGCACCAAGAGTCAAATCCAAAGACAACAAAAGAATAGCAGAGTGGAGCCAGGACTTTGGAGAAGAGTCGACACAGTTAAAGGGGTCTTAGTGGTGATACCGATATTGAAAAGGTAAGAATATTTAAAGGAGAAGTTTTCCAAGTACTCATGCAAGATAGGATCTATATGTACTTAGAAGCAACATAATGAAACAATAATAACTGTTCTGCACAATCTTCATACTTTTTTATAGTAAGTTTCAATTGAAATGATTGGTGTTAGCGCTTGGATATGAGCTGTACCCTGCCCCCAAAGATTCATCTTAGAGAATGTAGGAATATTCAGAGGTGAAATGATTAGATTATAAGAGCTGTAATCTAATCAGTGCATTAATCCATTTGGTGGATTAATAATATGAAAGGGCTACTATACTAGATGGTTAACTGATGGCAAATGGAACATGGCTGAAGGAAGTAGGCCACTGGGGGTATGTCCTTAGGGTGTTCATGTCTTGTACTGGTTCCAATTGTGTTCTCTACTTCCTGGCTGCATGAGCTGAGCTACTGTCCTCCACAATGCCCTTCTACCATGATGTTCTACCTCACCTTAGGTTCAGAGCCATGGACTTGGCCAACCTTGGACTGAACCTCTGAAACTGTGAACCCAAAATAAGTTGTTATTGTCAGGTATTTTGGTCACAGTGACCCAAAGCTAACATAATTGGGTTCTTTTTGGTGAATGTATCTGCCTCCCCTTCTATTCCTCACAATGGCAAGGGCCATAGTTTGGATATTAACTTTTCCCAAAAGACCCATGTGTAAAAGGCTTGTTCCCCAGAACAACATTATCAGGAGGTGGTAGAACCTTTAAGAGGTACAGCCTAGTAGGATGTCTTTAAGTCAAAGAGGACATGCCCTCAGTGGGGACAATAGAACCTCAGTCTATTCCTCTCTGACTTCTGCTTCTTAGCTATGAGGTAAGCAGTTTTACTTTCTGCCATGATATACTGCTACCTCACCACAGGACCAAAAGCAAAGGGTCCGACCAGTCATGGACTGAAACCTCTAAAACTGTGAGCCAAAATAAACCTTTTTTCTTGATAAGTTATTTAAAGTATTTGTTATAGTAATAGAAAGCTGACTAACATAGCCAGGGCTACATTCATACTGTACAGATGAGAAAACAGAGATTAGACTAGTTGCCCAAAATACTGCTGATTAGATAAAATATTAGGCTCAGTCCCACTCCCACACCCATGCTCTTAACTGCTGCATTAGAACTCTACCTCTGAATCCAATCAATTATCCTATTTTATGGTATACTCATACCATAAAATTATATATTCTTTAAACATCTGGCTTGCTAAGTTTTCAATGACACAGAAAACTGCTGGAAAATTCATATTACAGAATCACAACTTGAGCTTAAATGGTCCACTGCTAGGCATACCTAGCAGACATCAACCAAGGTAAAGACAATAAAGCTGGACCAGAACAAGGGACAGAGATCTTCTGGAAGATATCATATACTATGAAAACAAGCAGCCAGGTCCGATGAATTCAGTCCAAAAACAAAATTTCAAAATCATCATGATGTGTGAATTCAATAAAAACTGAAGGAAATTTTACATATACACACATGCAAAAAGTGAAATTTTGGAACATAAAAGAGGCAGATCTACTTCAGAAGGGGAAAAAAAAAATCTCCTGAGCACAATATAGCTTCCCACTTTTACTTGTCTAAGTTTAGCAGCAAATTTTGTGTTTGAAGATTGGTAGTAAAAAACTCTTGAGACAGCTGAAGCATACTGCCCCAGCTAAGTAAGCTGTGAGCTCCAAAGGTTTTTAATAAGCAGCCTGTTTTTCAAAGCTCCTGTTATTTACTAGATATAGTCAGATTTATAAATGTTCTCTCATTGTTATGAGGTCTTTAAACTAATTCCTCTATATCATTAAGAGTTACCCATTTGTTAAAATTTAACAGGCCCTGGTCTAATAGTGATGATAGAAGTCAGAACACAACCTTTACCAATGACAATGCTCTCCTTCTTCATAGAGCAGAATTGTTCAACAGAAATACAAAATGAGCCAACAGTAGCCACATCAAAAAGTAAAAGAAAGCCACATGTGGTAGCTTACATAATCACAGTGACACAGGAGGCTGAGGCAGGAAGATTCTAAATTCAAAACCAGTCTCAGCAACTTAACGAGGCCCTAAGCAACTTAGTGAGACCCTGTCTCAAAATAATAATAATAATAAAATAAAACAAAAAGGGAGGGGGATGTGGCTCAAAATTAAGTGTCCCTAGGTTCAATTCCCAGTAACAACAAAAAATAAATGAGAAACTGGTGAAATTAATTTAATATTATACTTAACCCAAGAGATTCAAAATATTATCATTTCTAATCAACATTTAACAATGAACTACCTAGCTGGGTACAGTGGAGCATGCCTGTAAATCCTAACTACTTGGGAGGCAGAAAAAGAATCATTTAAGTCCAGGGATTCAAGGCTAGCCTAAGCAACAAAATGAGACCGCCAACTCAAAAAAAAAAGTGAACAATTTTCAATGAGTTTCTTTTTAAGAAATGGGGGTACTACCTCTTCAAAATCCAATGTCTACTTTCAATTTACAACATTTCTCAGTTTACATTCGTCACATTTTAAGTGCTCTAAACCACATGTGGCTAGAACCAGCCTGACAATACAGATTTACAGACTTATTATACCATTAAAACAGTCCATATATTTCTTTTTTTAAAAGATAGATAGAGAGAGAGAGAGAGAGAGAATTTTTTAATATTTATTTTTTCAGTTTTCGGTGGACACAACATCTTTATTTTATTTTTATGTGGTGTGAGGATCGAACCCAGCGCCCCGCGCATGCCAGGTGAGCACACTACCGCTTGAGCCACATTCCCAGCCCCAGTCCATATATTTCTAAGAATGGCAATAGAGCAAAGATCCTCAATCAATTCGAATTTGCACTTAAAAATAAACAACCTAAATGTTTTCTGAACTTTTTTCTTGGAAGACTTGAATTTCTTTAGGTTCTATGTTATCCCAGATTCTTAAATTGGGGCAAAAGGAACTCTCCTTTAAGATTCTTCTAAACACCACAACACAAGGGACAAATACACTCTACTTGCCTATAAAGTTTATATTGCTCATTAATATTTTTGCTTAGACAAAATTTTCTGTAAAACTACAAATATGCCAAGGTTGGCAGATGACACAAACAAGACTGCAACTGAGGACTGCACTATACTATGTAGGAGGGAAGAGTTTTGAAGCCTCGGCTATAAAATACCACTGAGAAGTTGTAAGAATAGATAAGCCAGCAGCAGAGGGCTTTAGAGCCCTAGCATTTAAGATCACACGTGGTTTCTTTTTCTTTTTCTTTTTTGGTACTGGGGAATGAATCCAGGGGTACTTTACCACTGGGCTACATCCCTAGCCCTTTTATTTTTATATATTGAGATGGGGTCTAAGTTGCTTAGGGTCTCCCTAAATTGCTGAGGCTGGCCTAGAACTTGGGATTCTCCTGCCTGAGCCTCCTGAGCTGCTGGAATTACAGACATGGACCACCATGCCCAGGTACTATCACATATATTTTCAAAGCTACCACCAAGTGCTTTATAAACTACTAAAGAAGCAACCACCCAGATCAATAAGAGACAGAAACCCAAAGAAACCAATATGACCTTGGTAGTGAATGCAGATAAAGTGCCTTCAT